CCCTGGAAGGCTGCGTCTAAAATAAATTGGAATCAGTTAAATGTAAATGAAATAATATAAAATAGGGTATAATACTTACGATCTACAAAAGGTCTTCCCTGAGAATGTAAATATGCCGGATTCGGTGGAGGAGGAGGCGGTGGCGGAGGCGGAGGATAAGCTCCGTAATAGGGTGGAAGAGGATATTCACCGGGTGGTGGCGGAGGCGACTGATAATCAACGACTGCCGGTCCTCCTGCGGTAGCACCGCTACCGGGACCACCACCTCCACCAGATTCCTGATATCCATAATACTGCCTGAAAAGATACCTTTATTTTTACAGCATATTAAAAAGGAGTCACAAGTCTTCGTAACTAACGTGTGCTAAAATTACGTAAACTGCAATGATAAATAGTTTACCTTCTATAAGTTGGTGCATATTTATAATAAGGCGGTGGATGAGCATGTGGATGAGAATATGTTGGTGGATAACATAAATCTGGATATTGTGGTGGTGTACCATAGTATGTGGGACAATATGCTCTATAAAACCCTCCTCCTATATGAGCAATATATAACATTTCTTCAATACTTAAGATGTATGGTGAAATTTAAACGAAATTTATAATTAATGAAATTCTATACCTGTACTACTAGTTCCTCCCGAAGTAGTGGACGTTGCAACTAAATCGTCTGAACCTTCAGAATTTTGCGGAGGTGTCGGAGTTGGTTCTGGAGGAGGTCCTTTAATAGGTGGTAAAGTTGGTGGGTGTTGTATCAGTGGACCAGCCGGCTGATAATACCCTAACATCGAAGAGAAAAGAATTACGATTTATACGTTGTTAACAACGATAAATTATAGAAAAAGTATATTATACTTAATTTACCATGTTGATGCGGAGCAGAAAACGCAGAATGTCTTCGAGGCGACAAACTCGGATGATTACCTTGGCTGCCCGGTGGTTGCATAGAAGATAAAGCACCTAACGGTGTATACGATTTACAGGGTTGCTCCAATTTTTGCTGTTACAAATTAATGTCAATAAATACTTTTTAATAGTCGATGTATTTGAAACAAATAAAAAGACCGACCTGATCGTGAAGCTCTGTAGCAACTGCGGTAGCTGCAGTTTGAGTATGACTCGTTGAACTTATTCTATATTGCATACCGGCGAAGCTACAATAGCCTTCATGATGCGTAGATCGAGTTTGATTAACATAAACACCTTAAAACAAGAGTTTTATTTTAATACACCGTAACTATACACGCAAAGTCTTTTTTACTTAATGTAATTAATAAATTACCAGTAATAGTAACATCTGTATCTTGGTTCAAGATAACAAGTTTGTTAGATGGTTTTAAAACATCATCTTGTTCGGAATTTTGCCTTGATTTTCGTTTCTCGATATCAGAGTCAGTCTGTTTGCGTCTTCTAATAATCTCGACTTCCGATTCGCTGGAAGAATCAGAGCAACTACTACCGCACCGATTCTTTTCGTCCGAATAAGAAGCGGCTAAGATAGCCGAAGCGTTAAGGCTCGCCATTCTTTTGCAAACAACCATGTCTTTTAAATCCATTACTTCTTCGTTCTTCTTTCTTCGTTTAATTATCTTCTTCTTGTGTTCCGTATTCTTCTCACGTTCGTAATCATCGTCGGAGGAAGACGAAGACGATGAACTTTCTAACATGTCCCAATGCTTTCCACGTAAACCTGGGACGTTTCTAAGTTTTCTTTTCGGAGTATTTTCTTCCGTTTTAGTTTCCGTCTTCTTCTCTTTCTCCTTGCGAACAGGTTCCTCTTTCTCTTCCTTCGTTTTCTTTTGCTTCTCCTTTTCGGGTTTCGGTTTACAGAAACCACCGAGATACACCCCTCCGGTTTCATTTTCGTACAAACAATGAACTTTGGCTAATGCGTTTAAAGAAGCTACCCTATGTCGTTTTGGTCCACTCCAAAAACCAAATAATCTCATTCGTCGAACGCGTTCATCAGAGGGTGAACTACTCCTATCCCCTTTCTTAATATCCTTTTGTTTACCACTCTTTGACTCGTCGTCGCTTTCTTCTTCCGAATCTGATAATAACGCGTTATCAGTTACATTGTCCCCATTGATCGTTTCATCTTTGGGACTTGCATCAACTACAGTCTCGTTATCAATCTCTTCTTGTTTCGAAGAAACACTATCATTTGTGTTTTCTTCGCAAACCTTCATTTGTTTACCAGACTCCTCCGAAGATATTTCTTCAGAAGAAGACAAAGACTGATTACAGTTCACTGTCTTCTTCTTTATTACCTTTTTACCTATTCTCGAAGTATTTCTTACAGTTTTCTTAATATCCTGTGATTTTAATTGCGATAGTTCTTCCTTGCAACCCTTTTCCGTATCTTTATCCTCTTTCATTTCGCTCTTTATATCAATTATTTCTTCCTGTTCTTCGTTTGTTTCGATCGTTTTAGGCTCGTTTAAAGATTTATCCGATTCCTTTGAATCCAGTTTCTTCTTAGGTACAACCTTATCTACGAGCGTTTTAAATTTATCGTCTTTTCGTAATACAGAATTTATTTTATTATTCTTTGTAGATAATTTAGCTTTCATATGTTTTCCTAATTTTTGCTTCTTCTCCTGTAAAACTTTGGTTTTAGACATGTTAACGCTTTTTCTTTTTGTTCTTTTCAGTGCTTCATCCTCTTCGCTTACCGATGTTTCTTCATCTTTTATCATTTTCTTTAACTTAATCTTTTTATCTACCAATTTTTGAACTACCGACAGATGTGCTTTTTTTGCCAAAACGGTCTTTCTGGAAATACCTTTTTTTTGCATTGATTTTGTTTTAGAATCCTTCTTAGTACACGTTAAAGAAACTTTGTTTACTGTACCTTTTCCAAGAAGCTTTTTGCGCTCTGATTTTTTATCCTTTATCACAGATATCTTCAAGCTTTCCTTAATGTCTGACTTGAGTAGTTTTGTATCTTTCCTCTTCTCATCCTTGCATTTTTTCTTAGCAATGGAACAAAAATTTTCTACTTTCTCTTCCTGTAATTCATTTTCTCCTGTAGGGATCACAAGTTTTGCTTGATCTTCCACATTTTCATTGCTGTTTTTCTTTTTATCTTCCAGTTTATCAGGCTTTTTCTTATTTTCTACAACTTGTTTATCCAATTTAGTTTTGTCTTCTATTTTTTGTACTTTCTTTTTTTCTGCACAATCATAAGTGCACTCATCAATGATTTTTTCATCCATTTTATCTAATTTTCTTTCATCTACTTTCTCTAACTTTCTTTCATTATCTTTACATTTCTTCTTCTCATCCACTTTTTCACATTTGTCCTTTCGCTTTTCCTCAACCTTTTTCTTATCCTCTACTTTCTTTTTCTCATCAGTTTTCTCTAATTTCTTCTTATCACTCTCCATTTTCCTCTTTACATCATCTAACTTCTCAAGCTTCTTAGACTTCTTCTCTTTCCTGATATCAGATATAGTTTTCTCTAAAAATGAGCGACGTTTTTTAGCAATTGTTGGCATTTTTGTTGCCTTCCGGGCAACCGTTGCCTTTTTCTGTGGCTTCATTATAATTTTTCCCTTTACATCTTCAACTTGATAAAAATATATTTAAGGTTCACGAAAACTCTGAGAAAACCATCAAAACTACCTAACTGCCATTGTAAAGTATTATAAATATTGTAACTTTGTTGAAGTTGACTATCTGTAAATAATAAAAAAAAAAAAAGATATAACTTTATTAGACACTTATCATAGAAAAATATCATCTAATATACAAATGTAAGCTGAACTTTTTTTAAAACCTATTTTTACCAAAATTATACTTCTACCATGTCAATAAAAATGATTCTATTTTTTTCATCAAAATATCGAAATGACGACCCACTTACACGGATATTTTTTCGAGTATTGTTCATAACGAAATACACTTAATTCATAACAGAAATAAAAGAAATTTGATGTTTCTTTATAATAAAACAAATATTCGATTTCATGATGGGAGAAAAATAAAAAATAAAATAAAAATAAAGAAGAAATACGATCGAGAGTTTCGGGTGCGCGTACTTTCATCGACTTGTTGACAAATCGATCCCTTTAAATCTCGTTGCTCCCATCATTTAATATACAGCTGATAAATTCGCTGCTTATGATTTCCCACTATGACTGTATAGTATTTAATAGGCGAAGGACAATACTACTTGGAAGAAGTGCAAAGTTCACATTACAGATAGAGAAATTAAAAGGACAAGGACAACAGGATACCTTTTAAATGTATCCGTAGATGGCCACAAGTGGCTAACATAAACCTACTCTACTGATCGATGAATTCGTCACGTACGAAATTTCACCAAACTTATACGCTTTTACGAACACTTCTACCAACATATTTTCCAAACACTCAGTTATATATCCGATGTATAAATGTAATTGAACGGCAAGAAGTGAATATGAAGGAACGGATAATTTATGTTTACCTCTAGCGAGCCCTTTTGTTCCTACACACAGCCCGCGAACGCTTTTTTAAACGATAAATTAATACACGAATGTAATCGACTAATCCGTTAATATTTTAGTCAATAAAATACTGAAGGAAATAATAACACGTCCTTTTTCCCTATATTTTCCGTTCGATTTCGCGAGATCTAACACGGATTTTGCATTTCTTTCGCCCAAAACACGTATCTCACTCGACGTCCCTGCCCTTTTACCGTTGCCTTGTCGGCCATTTTCTTCCTCGCGCCGCTCCCCCACTTTTCCTCTTATATAGTTACCAAATAGCAGATTCTGTTTTCCGTTTTCCCTTCGACATCCACTAGATGGAATTACTTATACTCTATTCTGAATGCCGGTTCTTCAGTTTTCCATACGGTTCTCGCTGTTCATTCATTTTTCGCCACCATGTATATGATGGTCGACCACGAGGGCAGAAACAAGCTGTAGAGGGGCATCGTGCTCGTAATTAGAAATTTCCCTAGGTTGTCGGGCTGCACGATTCGGTAGTTTGAATAGAAGTGCCACTTTTTCACGCAAAAGAAAAAAATTTCTTTATTCATAGAAATAAGTGTCATTATTTTTATTTTCCGCCCGAAATCCTTTACCGGAAGCACAGTCGCATACACAGGCCCGGCAACTTCCGAGGTGGGGTGATCGTCTAATGAAACACAGCACTACCTCAAGCCACCTAAGCATGTGGCAGCAGCATCGACGAGTCGACAAAATAATATAATCTCGACAAAAATAATATAAATGAAGAATCAAATTCCATCTATTCGATCTGTCATTCTTCAATTACCGTCTTATGGTTCTAGCATCGCTGCTTATATGTATGCATACAGAGGTCTGTAGCTCCTCACCACTTGCGTATAAACGTTCATGCAGAAAAGTTTGAATCGATATTTATCACTCATACTTTTTAATTACATACTAAATATTATAATATATAATAATAAAAGAAATATTTAGAGTACTGTTTACTTTTTACAGAACATAATAAAATGTTTTCGTAAAACTTTATCTTTTATAAAAATGCGTTTATAAGATGCCCACAAAATAGAAAGAATTTCTTTGTTCCATCTCCGAATACGTAATTCCTTCACTTTTCCTTCATCTAAAATAAAAATAAAGCCGTAATTATTCTATGTATTAATCATTCAGTATAATAAGCCTTACATTTTAGAAAAACTTTTATCACAAATCTTGCAATTAGTTTATTACTGTTTTTGATAATTTTAAATATACTTTCAACATTAGTTTGAATATCATCGAATAATTCATTTATTAAAATGCAAGCACGATTTGCTTGCACTAAACCTGCATTCTCCAATGCTGCTTTAATTGTTGTTCCAGAATTAATTCTGGTATCTAAGACAATGTTTGATAATTTCAGATTTGCTAACTTACATAATCGTAATCGCAGAATCCTAAAACGAATCCGGAATTAATATTAAAAATTAATACTCCATAATACAGGTACAGAAATACAAAAAACTTACTTTAAAGGATTCAAATTTTTTTTTAAAGACATCAAATAACGTAGATTTATGTTTGGTATATTATATTGTACTTCTGAAGTTGTACAATTAATCTTATAACCAATGAAACTAATATTATCTGTAACTGTACCTTCATTGCAGGCCACATTAGTTTGCGTTTTCGCTGTTTTAAATCGACAATTATATTTTGGGATTCCTTTTGCTGTTAACTGTAACAATCTATTGTATGAAGAGAGTATATTAATAACATTTATTTTTTCCGATAATTGAAAAAATATTTGTTATTTTACTGTTTTGCAGAATCCTCATCTTCAGTTACAAATAAAATATCATCCACAAATTTGATAATTTGACCAGTTCGTAGAAATACTGCCATTTCCTTTTGTATTACAAAATCAAAATATATATCTGATAAAATAGGTGATATTATTCTACCTTGTACGATTCCTTTTGTTACAATATAATATTTTTTACCTATTTGTACCTGTAAATTAACGCGTTAATTATGAATTAAAAGTACTTTAAGCGGTACGCACTTTTTCTTTTGTAACATACCGTCTGATGAAAGATGTATTTTCGAATTTTTTCTAGCAACCAACTTTTTTTTATTTGTTGAATATGATTTGTACGCGCATACAATGTACCAGGTGGTACTGATAATTGCAAATGTGAGTCACAAAAATATTGTTTATAACATAGAATATCATCTTTTGATATATTACTTTTTACGGCGTAATGTCTCAGTATTAAATTGTCAGGAAGTTTCTCACAAAAAGATCGTATAATATCAAATAATTTTCCTGAAAATAAAAATTTTTAAACATGGTAACACATGCTCGAAATTATAAATAATTATACCTTGTATTATAGAACCAAAAGCATCCGTCACATCACATAATACAAAATACAACCTTTTATCTTTTAAAGTGTGTTTGTGTTGAACAATTGACCTCCATTTGTCCTCAAAACTATTTAATCCATATTCTGTGATGTGTAACTGTTTTAGAAATTGTTGTACAATGAAAAAATTTGTTTTTTCATTATCATTTTTATACCTAATAAAGAAATGCTTAAACAAATTCTGATCTTCATAGAGCTATCATCATATAAAATTACTTACCGCAATACAAATAAAGGTCGTACAGTAGAATATTTAGGGTATAATTTATATACAGTTAATGGTGGCTTCCAATGATTACAGCTAAGATCTAGTTGTAAAGCATTTGAACGAATCTTTCGTTGAATAAATCGTTTATTAATTTTAAACCATTCTGAACGTACTATGTATATTCTTTCATTATTGTAGCAAGACACTGTTGTTACATGAAAATAAATATGCAATACTTTTAAAAGAAATCCAGTGAAAAGCCACTTTACAAATTTCGCAAGAAGAACCCATGCTATATTTGGCTTTTTAATGCTTTGTAACCAATTAATGCTAGAAATCTAAATAAAAAAATTATACTGTAGTAACACTTAAAATTTTATTTAATTTGTTTTACTAATTAAATGCAATTACTTACATCTAATTTATTAATATATAACTTCAAATCTAAAGCTTTGAAGCATGGTATCTTTAGTAAATGAAACAGAGCTTTCTTAATTTTTTTCAAATTTCTTAACTTTCCAAATATATTCAGAGGAATTACTTTAGTAAATACAAGGTTGAAAAATAGCTTCATCTGTTTCGCGTTTATTGCATATTTACACTGTGATTTCTGATTAACTTCTTGTTTAGAAATTAAATGCTTTAATATGCTAGAATAATGAAACATTTTATGATGCTTTTGAAATTTTTCCAAAAGTAAAGAAATTGAAGGAATAGAAGCTTCATAATCAGTAATAATAATATCGTTTACAGGAGTGTTTATAATGTCTTTGTATATTTCCACTCCAGTTTTAGCTGTATCTAAAGTACATTTTATTGACATCTGACGAAATGTGTGAATGGGTAAGATTGCAGATGTATTACGTAAATAAATTTCCAATGATAAATTTGCAAGTATTAAATTAGAAGGTGGGTATGTAGTTTCTTCGCAAGATTTTTTCTCTCTTTTTGGTGCAAATATGTACTGTTTACATAACTCTATAATAGTAATGTCAATTACATAAATTAACTCATTAATATTCTAATAAAATGGTTAACAAATTACCGTACTTTGTTTATGATCTCCATAATTTGAATAATTTGGACACGAATTCTGGATCTTTATCAACTGATAATTTAATTGTTTCTTCTCTTTATCAAGAAATTCTAAACATTGTTTTAAAGCAACAGGATTAGATACCATAAAAGCATCACATTTATTTTTTGTAAGTACTATTTTACACTCTTCACAGAATCTAAAACAAAATATTTATTACATTAAAACATAGAATAATTATGATAGCAATGAACTAAAAAAATACAAACTTTTGAAATTCTGTACCAAAAATTTCTTTCACGCTTTCTGTAGTTAAGTTATCCATTATAAAAATTTAGTAAAAATATTAATTCGTATTCATACATTTAGAGCATTAACAGTGTTATGTGGCAGTACTTTTTAACATAAGAACAAAAATGTAAACATAAGTAACAATGCCAAAATCATTCGAACAAAAGAAAATGTCTACACATGCGCGTTTAGTTTTTATATAAATCCGTTAAAATCGAAAGAAACATGTTCTTGAAAATCTTAATATATGATACAAAAAAATCAGAATATTATGGATATAACGGCACAAAAATGATGACATATTTGTACATTATAATACGATATAATAATTTATTCTGAAGGAAGGAACAAAAAGGATGCAAATATTAACATTACGCATACAATTTATAAGCGCATAAAGTTTATTAACTGATTTATTGATATAAAACTTATGATTTTTTATTCATCGAAACGTCTCTATTAAATAATATTAATTATTCAATCTTTCATAAATTAAATTTAAATATTGAAGATAATACATATAATTATATAAAAATGATATACATGTCATAATATTTGTAAAATTGAATAAATAATGATAAATTTTCCAATTTCGATAGAATCATTATTGATCATAAATGAAAAGTTATTATTTTCATTTATAATTTTGATTGTGTTGATTTCTGCCTAATATGGAGTTGGTAATCCTGGAGACCGGTAAAGACCACATGGAAAAGACGAAAACATAAAGGAGCAGAGGGGAACGACAGATCAGAAGCGCCACAAAATGGAGATGCGGACATTTCGCAAAACATTCGGCATGGATCGAGCTCCATGTTCGCCCGTGAAAGTGATGCGGTATCTCCGCGATTAGGGGATATAAATCTCGTGTCTAGTGAAAGGACGTTGAACAGTTTGTATGTATTGTATCGTGATTCGCAATATGTAATCAGTTATTTTGAAAATGATAAGGTTAGTTTAAGGGTGTGTAATCTTAGCGCGTGCCGTAAAGTAGCGTGGCGAAATAATTCTCGGTCCTATCAAAGTGTACGACGAAGTGTTGGTAGTAAGATCGGATCGCGGCATTATGAAGTAATAAAATTTTCTGAGAAAAACATATCTATAATAGTAAGAGTAAAAACGAGATTAAGGACAAAGGGTAAAGTAACAACATTAAAAGTGGTGACGGCTATAGCGATAGTGACGGCGGCGACAGCGGTGGCGCAAGGTGTGAGGACGAGGTGAATGCACGGCGGCCGCGGTGTGTGCCAGTGGTGTGCGCGCTCGTCGCTCGTGGAAACCCGCCAAAACCCGCGGCCGCGAACAACCACCAGCAAGAGCAGCAGCAATAGCAATAACAACAGTAGTAGAAGGAAAAGGAGAAGGAGGAGAAGGAGAAGGAGAAGGAGGAGAAGGTGGAACAGCATTAACAGTAGTAGTAGTAGTAGTAGTGGTAGCAGCAGCAGCAGCAGCGGGAGCAGAAGCAGAAGCAGAAGCAATAGTATAGTTGCGCGTGACGTTGTGCTGTTTTGACAACTTTCCGCCGCGTCGGGGCGTCGCGCCGTTTTTCTCGCGGCGGCGGCGGCAACGGCAGAAACAACGACAACAGCAACAAGAACGACAAAGGCTTGTTCTAAGAAAGTCGCTCGTGACGGCGGTAACGGCGACGACGCTGCTGACCCCCCAGCCCACACGACGACGACGACGGTGGCGGCGACGACGACGGTGGTGGCGGCGGCTGCGTTCTGTTATTATTTTGCCGCGGTGCTTTTGACCCTTCGAATTGGGCGAGTTCATTGCAGCGCTTTCGCGGGGGTGTCAGCCAGTTTTATTACTCCGGCCTTCTCCGTCCGCAGCAGCAGCGCCGACGGCGCCAGAACACGATGTGGTATATGCAGTATGTCTACTAGTGTACGTACTCGATCGCACCAATAATCTGGACTTGTTGAAGTAATCTATTCATAGAGCGAGAAGTCGCCGACAAACTCTGAATACTGACTCTTTTGGTGTATAACTTGAACGAGAGTCAATCGAAAACGAACTATATATCAGTGACGTTGCGACTGAGAAAGGGACGCGACGAACCACGTGATATACCTGTCGTCGGGCTGCGTCATGCAAAGCATGCTCGATTCCCCGATGGCCATAACCTGAATTGAGCCGATTTGACCCGATTAAACCCGATTCAACGTATTCGTAACTAAACGAACGAATGAAAGAAAACAAACGGTAGCCATTAACTTTTTTCCTCTTTGCTCGTGTACGCTTTATTCTGTGGTGTTCTCTATGCTTCTTGATAAAGAAAGCGCTAACGCTTTTACACGGCAAAGACGTGAATCGTTCGTTCGTCAGTTTACAAGTTATAATTGTGCCTCGACGGTGTGTATTCGTCTGATGAAAAGAAAGTAAAATTTAAACAGGAAGAGGGTCACCCTGATTACACTTACTAACAGGTGACTAGATGAACAATGGACGGATTTTCATGTTGATATACGCATGGCTATATCTTCTCGTTCTTTCTGTATTTTCCTATAAACGGTGAAATAATCGTGCTGTGCCGCGTACTCTGCACATAGTGTCATTGGTATAGTGTCAACCATTACATGTAGTTATCTGAAGGTGGTAGCGTGGGAGTCCGACATTTTAACCGCTCGTATTAACGAAAAGATACAAGTGTCCACGTGTAAAATACGGTCGGTACATCAGGGGCGTGAGAATCGTAACGTCGAGTTTACATTTAAAGACGATTCTTTAGTGTCTTCTACGATTGAAATTTTATCATGCATGGGATTAATATTTAATTCCATGATCACAATCTGTTTATTTTTTCATTATCATAGTCACACTGTTGATTACCAAAGGAAAAGGTGTCATCCACGTTTTGTACTGTGATCGAAGAACGGAATTTATGTGACTTCAAGAGAAGGAAGTGAAGATTTTTACAAAACAGTACATCCGCTAACAGTTTAACGGTATTGTTGAGACATTCGTGCTTTTTTTTTTGTACTTTATTGTGAAGTGAAGTTTGACAGTATTCGGTGAAGCGGATGATAATGAAAAATACCTGGTGAGTTGAACAATTTTTTCTTTTTTTTCCATATAAAAATGATCATTTGTTCTTGCAATGCATATATTTTAAACACTTATTCGAAACAAAGAAAAGAAAACAGGACGGTGGAGGGGAGATTAGTAGTTGAAATGAAAAAAAATGTATTTTATACTCCGCATTATCGTTGATAATGAAAAATAATTACAACTGAGGGAAATTGATTTGTTTCACTTTTATCTTTTTTTCTAAATTGAGGTTAAGTTTTTAACGTTAAGTGTTCCGAAACGTACGTATTGCATCGAAAAGGTAAATGACTTAAGAACGGTATATAATACGCTTATATTTCCTCGTATATATAGTAATCAATTCCTATGATTGAATTTTCTATTTTTCTTTTTCTTTTGATTTTGTGTTCTTTATTGAGAAATTCCTGATTTTGTAATCATTATGGTTCGCAAGACATGCAAGCATACATTGCTAGGTTAGGTTACTAATCGTTATAACTTAACCTCAAAAGCAGTCGTAGAATATTTCATTTCTTATTTTTTATTTTATTTCGGTTATTATTATTTATCAAATGTTGATATACTGAATTATACGCTACATTTATATTTATTCATATTAATAATTGCGGGTAGCAGAACTAAAATAAACATTTTTGGAAAAGTGCGCTTATACATGTGTTATTTTTTCAAAGCATATCAAGAACAATACATTTGTTATTAAACATATTCATTGATGAATAGATGCATTAAATATTATCAATATTTGTTGTTGAAATTTTTTTACAATGGTATGAAATAACAATTCAAAGTTTAAGTGTAATAAACATATTCAAGGTCATTTTATAATTGAAGTACCAAATTGGCATTTGTTTGTGAATAATATTTTTTTTTCTCCAAATGATTGCATTGTTACTCTTATTGTAATTTCAAATTGTTTCCAAATGTAATGTTAGTTTGATTTTATAAAGTAGCAATGATATCACAACATTTAATATATTTAACACAGTTACAATTAATTTTTAATTAAATGTCTTAACATTTTAATAATTTTAAATATACTTTGAGTTATGTTTAAGTTAATCGAAGAAACTTATGAGTTATGTTTATGAGTAGGTTCAGTTATGTTTAGAGTTGCATTAATATTGAAAAAAAATTAAAAGTTCAGATCTATTTTATCTAACTAAAATTGGAGAAAGATATTGTGATGCATATGTTTATTATATTTAAAGAAGATCATATGAATTATAAATAATTTTGTGTACATTTGCAATTGAATTTAACGTCATTGCAATTCAAAGTATACAGTTATAAATACTTGGGTAAAGATGTTAATAAGTTATAATATTGCTATGTCCATGAAACTGTGTAATTAGTAAATTACGCGGTTCAGAAATACCTTTCTTATCTGCATTTATTATTTCCCTAATACATTAGTAAAATATTAACATCCTGCAGTTAATTATCTATTTTATTGTAGTATATACTATATATGTTTATTATAAATTTAAATTTATTAATTCTTGTATTATCCTTGATTATGCATGTGACCAGAAATTAAATGTTGACAAGGTCATTAGCAATTCTATGTTAACGTTCTAAGGTTAGGTAATAAATCAAAAACACTTAGGACAGTTATAAAGAACATTTGTGTACAAGAAAATTATTTGATGCATTATAAAAATATAAAATACATGTGAATATGTAATATTAAAATGGTGAACAAGTTTTACAAACAATTTATTAAGTAACAGCTGATTATTTACAATCAATTGTTTATAATATTTTATTTAATTTAATTATAAAAATCAAGTAATTATAACAATATTGACACATTGATACCGGGACGATTTTTCGAAGTCTACCATGGGTTCCTGAAACTGTAGAATTTGTATTAGAGGGTAGATCTACGGTTCGTCTCACATAGCGTAGATCTACGACCTTTAGTCACAAGGTATTCAGATACGTTTATGCAAAAATGTTGAAAAATATTCTGAATAATATATTTAAAATTTTGATTTATTATGTAAACTTCAGTGTGCCTAATATTTCTACATTTTCATAAGATTGAAAGTTTCGTAGAATGTAGCATAATTAAAAGTATAAATGATTAGACTACTTCTCTTTTCACTAAATAAACCTGTGTATAACGCATCCTACGTGCGCGTATGCGGAAACGACGCGTCTAATAATAGGCGACACGTTTACCGTCGACACTTATTGGGTAGCTTACTCGCAGGATATATTTTGAAAGTAATCAGATTGACATTATTAAAAACATTTTGTCAACGAGTTAGTCCATTGACGAAATTATTTTCTAAAATTCTATCAAACTCATATATTGACTTGTGAGTTCTATTTCTGAACTCTAAAACGATCATCTAGAGTACAATTTTACCGTTAAAAAAAGATTTATGAGTTAGGTACGAAAAATCATTATGATACGATCATTAGTGTATCATCACATTGAAATACTATTTATTAAATAATTTTCAAACTTTAGCTTTTAAAGTTCCTTTTTTTCCGCTATTAATTCGATCGCAGAAAATATAAGGCACCGCGCCGGTTACCGGTGATCCACATGGCAGCCAACGTGTCAATAAAATTGTTAGGTTAGGTACGCTTTCAGCTTGTTTATTTAAATTTCTTTTAATCCAATCAGTTATGTGTGTGTATATATATCGCACAATATAAAAAATGGAGATGAATCATTAAAGAGCCTAGATTTATTTTTTGAACGATACAGGAAACAGGCGATCGTTATACACGTTCAACATATCCGTTCAATGGCGTATGGACAGCGCGGATAATTTTGAAATACGTCACTAGTAATTCCGTGTCCGTCTCATAAGGGTTAAAATTGGATGAACGCGTAACAAATTTAGTAACAAGTTCGTCTCGGATTATAAGCTCATCAATTCTTTAACCTCTTGTTCTATATACCGACTGACAAACACATATCACTTTGAAAGTTCTTACACTTCTATGCATTCTTACGGATTGTCAGAACTTAAACAGGTGACACACGTAGTCGGTGTATTTGTAATCAATCCTCGGAGATAAAAATCATATATTATTTTCGAGATAATTATGAACAAAGGTAGTTAACGTTTTGTCAGAATATTTATAATATTAAATATATAATTAAAAAAACTTCAGTTTTCAAATCTAATTTTTTACATTGCATTGCAAGACCTTATAATCATTTTTATATATATATATATATATATATATATGTATAAAATAAATATAGATTAGCTGTCATAGATAAAAATACTAATGAAAATTTTGTATTGTTTGATTTCAGACATCAGTACTGAGGATCATGGAAGTTGATAGTGAAATTGAATGAGAGACTCATCTCAGTACTTATAACAATAGAAACAGAAAGAGGAAGGTGGTAACTGAACGTATCGTCGCCGGAAGTTGGTGGCAAGAAATAATTTAAAAGTACGGGAAGAAGTTTACGAACAAGGGAAATCGAAGGGGAGGGAGGTGAAGAAAATCGGTTGCACGCACTCGTGGATCACGTAATAAGAAGGGAGAGAGAGAGAGAGTGAAAAAGAAAAAAAACTCAGCGCGCGTTGAAGCTTGTAAATAAGAGTTATTTTTCGTATGAGGGAAAAGAAGACTCATCTACGTCGAAACGAGGAGATACGAGTAAGAAGACGTTTAGAAGTCCTTGAACGTAAGAAAGTTCCAAGGACTTTCTCTCTCTCCCTCTCTCTCTCTCTCTTAGAAGGATACACAAGAAACGGATCGAACACTAGTCACAAAGAGGAGGAAAGAAAAGCTCGAAGAAGGAAAAGGGATATAGTGGTCATAATAATCGAGCCTTGTTTTTTTTTCATGTTCTTCATTCAAAATTGATCCTGTTGTGGAGAGTGACTGGCTTAAATTTAACGAAAAAAAAAAAAGAAAAAAGACTGAGACATTTTTGCGATAGAGAGAGAGAGAGAGAAAGATAAAGACAAACGAGAGCAACATAAGAAGAAAAGAGAGAGGGGGAGAGAGAGAGAGAGCTGACGAAAGAAGCTGAAAAACGAGGGTGTAGTGATTGAGAGAAGAAAGGAAAAAGAAAGGGACCCTGAAAAAAAAAAAACACCTGGAAAAGAAGGGCTGCAGAGAAAGAAAGAAGATAAAAAGGGAAGTGTGTTGCGAAGAAGAGAGAGAGAGGGGGAGAGAGAGAGAGTGCGCGCTGTGAAGCGGTATTGAGAGGGCTGGCGTGCCCCATGTTGTGAGCGTCTGAAGACTGCCGGGGGCAGAAGTGAAAGGGTGGGAGGGAGGGAAGGGTAAGGGTGCCGCTGGTATGGAGTATGGAAGCGGCGGGGGCGGAGGCGGTGGAGGCCGTGGGGGTGTCCAACCACCCTCCGCAGGTGCGAGGGGTATGGCGAGCACAGACACTACTGATGCTGCGTGGCATAAACATGAACAAATGATCCTTATGGAATCCAGGCATAAGCAACAATGTAAGTATATTGCAGTACTATGATGACCTTTCTTCGGGCTTATGACTTTCTATGAGTTTCTCTCAAGAGTACAAGTGCTTCCTTAAACTGCATAATTAGATGCACTATTTCTGCAGTTTATTATCGACGTCGTACATAAAATAGGTATATAAGTTTTAATAGATCATGTATTAGATATATGAATTAATTTGGTGCTTTTTATTAATTACAATTTCAAATTTAAACATTTCCCGCGCTTTTATAAAAGTAACGCACCGGATTAATTTGTACACCTAATGTTATAGGAAAATTAGAGTTTGCTATAATAAATGTCTTAAGAAGGAGAATATCACTGATGTTTATTGTTGATCTGAAATTTTTTAGCAATTGATACATATATTTATGAATTACGTAAAAGCTTCCGTTCGAATTCATGATTTCTTGGTATGATGTACTTAGTGATCGCTTTAATCTAGACGATGCTAACGTCATTTTGATAAATAGAAGTAAATAAAATACGATGAAATTCTCGTATATTATGAATCATACTTTCCTACAATTATTCTGTAATTTAATGTTGATTTATGATCATTTGGGTACATGTAACATTATAATTTAACATAATTATTTTATAAAATTGTTTATCACCGGTTTAATTCAATTTTCATTAAATATCTACATTTTATTTAAAAATTTGCATACAAATGAGCTTGCAAATTTATTAATTTATGAATAATTGGTTTACATTAATTTATGTAATCATGATAAATTATGTATTTGAGGATAGTAAAGTTATTTAAAATTGAAATTTATTTCCGCAGTACATATTTCGTTTTAGAAATGAAATTTCAAAAATAAAATATAATAGAATACAGGGTCTTGAGGGGTGCGATAAAAGATTAGATAAATATTTTTCGCGGTAAATAAATTTTTTTCAAAGCGTTATATTCGTAAGCAAGCTGGGAAAAGACTGACGCCACGAGGCTGTCTCGCTTCTTTTTATACAACCGAGGGCGATCACGTGATCGTGTTCTTTTGGCGGCAAACTTGAATAATTCGCTAAACGATACATCAGCAAACATTGATTAATTCAGGCAATATTAATCAATGAGATAATATTTTCAGTACATCAAATACATCATTTTACATAGAAAATAAAGTTTACTTATAAAGCTGGAAATTAAAATCTTTCATACGTGTATACACTTTTAATGTAACGTATTTGAGAAAAAATAATAAATATATCACGAAAGGGAGAAAGTTGAATTTGCAAGTGGCGAAAGAACACGCTGGCAATAGTATAGTAGGATCCATTTTTGGACTGATGCCTGATCGGCGACTCTCGAAAAATTCAAAGACTTTAGACTGCACCGTTCGGTCGGCTACTGACTGATATGTATTTTAGACTTGGCACTCTGTCCCTTTAGCATCATCTCTTTTGTCTTTCTCTTCCTTCTAATTTCATTTTGTATATCTCGGTTAAAGAACCGACCAGTGGCAAGCGGTTGAACTTGCGGGAAGAGGAAACAATCCTTCTTTTTCTCAAACCGTTTGGTATATGCCAAATATACATTTATCTTTTTATCTACTTTTTCTATCAGTCTTTGCCTGAACAAAATCCTTCCATATCTAAACGAATAGGACATCTACTTATATCTTACCATCCATAAGTATCCAGACATTTATAAAATTTCTTTGTGTCTGAATATTTGAAACCTCGATTCATCTGCCCAGAGAATTTTCTTTTACTCTATCGATCAATTTTCTAAGTTTTAATAGCGGTTTCTTCGATGCTACACATCCCCAACAGATACCGGTGCGAATCTAACCATTTATGTAACCATCATGGTCATTCAAGTTTTCAAAGGGAACTGATTAAAAGTGAATAAAATTGTGGTTGCAGATTTTTGTACGTGAAAGGCTTCTATAATTCTTCTAAAATACAATTGGGATAAAAAAAAGTTACATGTGACTCCTTATAACCCTAATTCATTTAATTTTAATAATTTATATGATAAATTTATTTGAGACCATGATGTGTTTAGAGAAGTATAAAATATTTAGGGGATGATTAAAATGATTGGATAATGACGAAAAGTTAGTAATGTCCTGATACTTATGGACGGCAGTGTAAATCCACCTTCATTCTGTCGACGCAACTCGCGCCGGCATAGAAGACAGACAAGCCAGCCAGTCGGTCGGTCGGTGGTGGTTCCTCCACCCCCGTGCGACACGATCAATACGCGACTCTCCTCTTTTGCTATCGCACTTACCCCCGATCTCATTCACACAGAGGATGTGCGCACTCGCGCACCAACTTTCTCGTTTCCTCTCTCCTCGTGCGCCAGCACGTTGTGTACAGCCGACAGCCAGATCGGCTTTCCCCGTGGTCGGTAACGGTAGCAGCAAGAACGAGCAACACCGTACTACATAGTGGAATATTTCCATTGAAAAATTACAATTTCAAATATATAAGTTTAAATAAGGTACGGGCCCAGTGATTGGACGAGTACGATTGATTGGACAGACCCGGTTACTAGACGCTTTCCGATTGGTCAAGAGCGTTTAATTATTAGGACTGTTCAAACACTTGTAATGTCCCACCAGTCGGCCCGATACTTTGCTATCAAATACAATGCATTCTTGAAATAACAAAGAATACCTACGAAATTATGGAGAAGAAGCGACATTTTCTAATGAAACGTTTCGTAGGATGCACGTGAGTGCACGTTGTGTAAAATGCAGATTGCGATCATGGGGGTGGTAACCTGATGATTGCCGGGCGCTAAATTCAAATTGAGTTACGTCAGCAAGAGTTATTAACCTGAATTTAAACGTATCACTTTTACCTAAATCAAACAGTTTCATATATTGGAAAAATCATTTTCAAAGGAACAGTGGAAAATTTAGAAAATGAAAATAATATAAGATAGAAAATTAAAATTCAGGCTCTCTCCATGCTCTGCGACGATTACGGTGACTACTATTTGTCTTAAAATTGAAATCGTATTTCGTAGTAAACGAATATTTTTGATAAGAACACGAATTCATACGAATTCTACACGATTACAAATTTATCCATTTAACGGAGAAATATGGGATCTTGCGCAAACATACATAGCTTTCATTCAAGAATGCTTACTGTGAAACGGTGCGCTAACGATGCAATTATCTGTGCAGCGGTACCGTTTCCGTAGTTTATTTCAATACAGGAAACTTATTGTTTCTTATGATAGTATTACGGTATAACTTTATAACCACTGTGCTCACTGTAATACTATGCCATACGATTTCAATTCATCGTAATTGTGACTCACTAATTTATGCTACAACCGTATTATTTAAATCTTATCCTTTACAATTAGAAGCACTTTATATTAAAAACAAAATATACAGGGTGTTCGCTGCAACTAGACCAAGCTATAGTTTCAAAGGTGTTGAAGATAGACAAAAATTTAATTAGAAACTGTGTTGGATTTTACTGAAAAACTATATCCATGAAAATATCTATTTATATACATAATCGTGTACGTAATATCATACGATTTGTACGTACATAAGATCCTAGATAATTTTAACCCTTCACTTATAATGGTACTTCAACTAAAATTAGACACTATGCTCCTATTATTGTTATTACTATCACAGTTACGTTTCGAACGTAAAATCTTGATTGTTGAGTACGTTCGAACAAATGAGTCAGTATTATGATAATTCGTTTAATTAAAGGATGAAATATTTTTCTAATCTCTTCTTTCAACAATGTTATTACTGTCGCGTTATTTACCGAAGAAACGTGTATCATTTCTGTAAATTTGTGCCCACCCACAATGTGCAGTTTGCGTTGAAATCTCCGGCAACGAAAGGATTAATACGAACCACTGTAGGTCAAAGGTAGCACGTGTTCCCTTGACACTCGTAGCAAGCAGTCAGTAACAGAGCTCGATTCAACCTTTACCCAGCGATTCTCAACACGTGGAGCCGTGTTTAAATATTTCGCGATTATTAATTAAGACACCAATTAAAGCTGCCCAATGAAATACGTAATTACATTGTTCGCAGTGTTTTGTTAGATCTCTCGTAAAACCGATGGTCGACTTCGATATATGGAAACTCTGATATACATATAATTTCATGACAGAAAAGTATGATAAAATTGTACTTCTGACACGTCAATTTGAAGCTTAAGCTTCGAAGAAATTGACTGTGTAAAGACATCATCAATATTCTTAACAGAAAATTACTGGTTGTCAGTTGCAGCAGACGATGCTATTATAGGGTAACTTGTACGGTTGTTGACTCTTATGTAATGATCAATCCTTTTTCTAAAAAAAAAAGTAGAAAATATACGTAATAAACTATAATTCTATTTAGAATTATACCGTGTAAAATTTAGACAATGAAAGTAATATGAAGTACAGAATTAAATTAGAATTGTGGGTTTCTCCGTGGTCCGCCGTCTTGAGAGTCTCTCCATGGTCCGCAGTCCAAGGGTTAAGAAACGCATTGTATTATATTTCTTACTTTTTTATCAAAAGGTTCAACAACTGCACACTTTACCCTACAAATATATCAACCATCTAGTTTTAAAACGTAGGATTTCTAAGACAATTTCATAACATAAAAGTACAGCTAGATAATACTTACGATACATCAATTTGAAACTTAAGATAAATTGAAAATATCTACATAAAAGTTTATTAACTTTTTATATATTTTATTAACCATATATATTATTTATAACACAGTGTTTAAAAATTATATCAATGAGTTGAAATGAGCCGGGTGGTCCTTTTAGGTAGACAGAACCTTTGGTGCTCGTAGTGTTTTAACGGGTTAAGAACTGCCATGCAGTGTACTTACATTCACAAATGCTCTCTAGGGGCAGTTTTAGAGAATGGTCGTATATGGGTGAAAGTCAGTCTATATCAAGAAACATGAATGAAGCAGAATGCGTGCTGGTTATCGCACGACCTGTGTCAGTCTTCGTGACCCCGTTGCGTGGATTCTCAATCAATCGTAACATTGTGCATACATACGTGCTGCGTGTAACCGTGATTAAACCACTTTTAAGCAGATTCATATCTTTTTTTTTTTTTTCCTTTTCCTTTGTATTTCAATACAAGCACTTTACGTTCAAACGAAGCGTTTCAGTCTCGTGTGATCTTTTACTAATTGTATACCTGATTTCTAATAAAATGATTCTTTGACGACCAATCAGTATTGTATTATGATCATTAATAAAACCCTTGCGGAATCAATTATTTCAAACTCTAAGCTTTAAATTGATCCATCATAAGTATTACTTTTAGATACTTTTATGTCATGAAATGGTGTTAGATTTTTGATATTTTATTCAAAATTTAATACTTATTATTTCCTGTTCGCTAGCTATATTTTAATAATAATTTCATGTTGTTTAATTTTCAGTAGGTGGGAGAGCGGGTACGGGTGGAGGCGGGGGTGGCGGTGGTGGCGCACCCCTATACGGTCGTCTGGTAGCGGAGGAACCCTTGCCCCCTACGGTATGTGGGGGTGCCGGTGCCGGTGGTGGTACCGGCGGGGTTCCGCAAGAAACCCCTGCGGATATTCACGCCATGCAAGCCAGGATACCCCATAGGTTTCGTGATCCAGCTACGGCACCCCTTAGGAAACTCAGCGTCGATCTTATCAAAACTTACAAGCACATCAACGAGGTAACAAGATGTTTTAGATTTTTCATTTTTCATCACTTGGAACCCTCGACTATTGTATTAGAAATACGTTTAAAGACGTCGGTTGATTGCCATTCTAATCACATTGACGTCAATGTGAACAAAACTATGGAAACGTATTTATTAGAAATATTTATTGTTATCGCTCGTCATTCATTTCTTGTCAATATACGCGCGGCCTGATTCTTATTTCCTTGAATTTTCTTATATAGATTCGAGTATTATACTCGGAGGTTTGCGTGGATGATCGTACGTACATATTTGCGTATCTTATGATTTCTTTTTTTCTACAACCAACTGTTCGTTTGGTATCTTGTTAATTTCTCAAATCAAAACTGCCTTCAATTCTTTTCATCTTTAGGCTTTTATCGCTTACCGTGTATTCGTCTTTTGTTATCTTGAAACTGTGGCATAATCATCTCTTTTTTTCTTTATATATATGTATATTCATATTTTATCTTTTTTCACAGGTTTATTATGCTAAGAAAAAGAGAAGGGCGCAACAGATGCAAGGAGAAGACGGTTCCCATAAAAAAGAAAGAAAATTGTACAATGATGGCTGGGATGATGATAATCATGATTATATTATCAAGAATGGGGAAAAGTTCCTCGATCGCTATGAGATCGATTCGTTAATAGGTAAACAAAAATAGTATTTGTGCGAGTAACAGTAAAGAAGTGCGGTCAAAGATTATAGCTTTAAAGCAATTGTTATATGGTCAAGTGCTATACAATATATTCATGTTTCATAGGTAAAGGCAGTTTTGGCCAAGTAGTAAAAGCGTTTGATCATGAAGAACAAACGCAAGTGGCAATAAAAATTATCAAGAACAAAAAACCTTTTCTAAATCAAGCGCAAATTGAAGTGAGGCTATTGGAAATGATGAACAGGGCGGATACCGACAACAAATATTATATAGGTTGATTTTATGTTTCATTTATTCTAAAATTAATAACATTTTAATAGAAACAATTCTAACATCTTAACTTTGAAATTACAGTTAAGCTAAAGAGGCATTTTATGTGGCGAAATCACTTATGTTTGGTATTCGAACTATTATCATATAACCTATATGATCTACTTAGAAATACAAATTTTCGAGGAGTATCGTTGAACTTAACAAGGAAATTTGCACAACAACTGTGTACTGCCCTTTTGTTCCTGTCTACACCGGAATTGAACATCATTCACTGTGATCTGAAACCCGAAAACATACTTTTGTGCAATCCCAAGCGAAGTGCGATAAAAATAGTGGACTTTGGTAGTTCGTGTCAACTTGGACAGAGGGTAAGAGTTAAAATAATATTTCAAATTAATTGTATCATACAATTTTCAGACGGATTGAGATTATGGGTAAATGTATAAACTAACAATCTTATTAATATTTCTAGATATACCAATATATTCAATCCAGGTTTTACCGATCACCCGAAGTCTTATTAGGAATACCTTACGACCTTGCGATAGACATGTGGAGTCTAGGATGTATTTTAGTTGAAATGCATACGGGAGAACCTCTGTTCAGTGGGGCCAATGAGGTAACTATAGAAGCCAATGGTTGTACGATCGATATTTAAAAATAATTTTTATTCGTTGTTTAATGCGTTTTCGTGTTTTCTAGGTCGATCAAATGAATAAAATTGTAGAAGTACTAGGAATGCCACCGAAGCATATATTGGACCAAGCGCACAAAGCGCGGAAATACTTTGACAAAGTCCCCACGGATGGCTCGTATGTGCTGAAAAAATCCAAGGATGGTAAAAAGTACAAACCTCCTGGCACAAGACGCTTACACGATATCTTAGGTGTCGAAAGCGGAGGCCCTGGTGGTAGAAGGATAGGTGAACCTGGTCATTCAGTTTCTGATTACCTCAAATTTAAAGACTTAATCCTGCGGATGCTGGATTTCGATCCGAAAACAAGAGTGACGCCGTATTACGCACTTCAGCACAATTTCTTTAAGCGAACAGCCGACGAGGGGACCAATACGAATATCGCTGCTGCCAACAGTGCTAACACAAGCCCGGCAGTGGTATCAATGAGCCAAGATCATGGTAAGTTATCAAATTTTTTTTAACATTTATATAAAGCATAATTTTTTTTTTTCGCTTTCTGGTTTTTACACGCGCGATTAAATAAATCTGGGATTTTTATTCATAGTCTCAAAATATATGTATATATTATAGACGTTTTATTTGAATAATAACATTTTTAAGCGCTTATACTTTAAATTGTGTGCCATATTGATTAAAAGTTTCTTCGATAACAAATTTTATAATTAATACATGATGCGTCAGAAGTATAATATCGGAAATTAATTTCTTTTATATCAAAACAAATTTTAAATGTTATTATACTTATGTTTATAGACAGAAAAAGGCGCATGCATCCTTTACAGTGTAAAGTATGCAATAACTGTACTGACCACATGAATATATCACTTAATTTTATTTATTCTACATCAATTATATATAATTATTATTCTCTCGTATAATCACATGTCAAATTTATCTTATTTTGTTATCCAAAAGGTTAAAATGAATTTGAAAAATGTTAATCGTTGTTTTCACTTGCTTTATTGTAACGTTTTCTCTCACATATTTAAATTGAGGCAAAATAAAAAGAATGCAATACGTAATTCAAAATCTCTGATTTAATATCAAGTTAAAATTAAAATCAAATCTTTGTTAACATAAACGGCATACACAATGAACTATCGAATTAAAATAATATACATTGGCATAATTAGGTAAAAGAAAATGTGGACTGGCCCCTTCACTATTCTAAAATCCATTCGTAAAATCTTATCTTAAGAAAAAAAAAATTATAAATAAATTATTGTTAGTACAGCTAAGGGACATGGTCCACCCTAGAAGGAAACCCTAGTTATGCCAATAGTAATCCAATGATTTGCATTGAACTTTTTAAAGAATTGCTTCATTGCATTGAAGATTTAGGCAGGCTTTAATTTGTGCAGAAAATAAGAAATTGACCTATACTATAATATAGATAGTAAATTGGCAATTACATTTATAAAAGATTGTTTCAGTTACATAATAAGTGAAGTTTTATTAATCACAATTCTTCTTTAATAAAACTTAACATCTTTCTTTTTTGTTAGAAAAAAGAAATAGAAGCAAATTAATATAATTTTTTTACCGGTATCTTTTTATTTTCTGCGCAAACTAAACGATACTTGTTGTTGCCCGTAGATATGATGGGGGGACAGTACGTGGCTCGATGACTGTCGTATCCGCGGGGCGGCGACGACCTGTCCTAGGCCCCAACCCTAATCTTACTTACTAACATAAGTAAGTTCTGTCTAACAAACAATCCTACAAGCTAAAAGACTAACAATGTCCCTGATAATCATATCCTGGCCTCGGATGTAACATACGAAGCTTTGCTTGCTTGAAACGAAAGAAACTCAGACTTTCGGTTCTTCAAACGAGACACGGATTCATGTTAATTGCCCGTGTGCTCCTCTAACATCTTGTATCTGTCATATGATTACTACTAGACTAGTTATCTAAGAATGTCCGTCGATATGACGGTGCTATAATTAGACATTACAAAGCAGAAATATCAAATATTATAGCAGGAATACGTTCTTGTATCACATCATAATCTATATAATAAACATCTAGTACATACATGCATTCAACTGATCATTTGCATTCACAAGAACACGTATTCTTGCCAGAAATATTTGAATTGTATATCTGTATATTCATCATTTTTTTTTCTTTTTTTTTTTTTCTTTTTATTCTGTAGAGTGACTACTTCGTTGTCTTGTCATTTATTTCGTGCATGCGTCAATTGCTTGCATACAACACGTTTCGGGGTGCATCTTCGTCATATGATATGCAAGACGTTCAAATTTTGTCCTTACAGCGAATATTTCATCCTTTGTTTCGTGTTTCATCTTTTCGAATGTCTTATTTTCTACCTTTGTACAAGCGAATGTACGACCAAATCACAGTTTTGTATACATATACAAGGTGTCCCGAAGAATATGATAAGAGATCTTATAATGCAAAGCAAGACGATTTTGAAGGGTAATTGAGGAAAACAGATAAGTGTGCATGGAGAAAATTGAATCATTTATAGACTATCGTACGTTGTAATCGTGGTGTATCCTTACGATTAGCATGCATATCCCAAATTGTACATACATCGTTTTATTTAAGATTTCATTAATATTATTATTAAAGATGCAACTTTCACATCCTAATATTCCAAAAGGATAATGATGAAAGTGATTATATTTTAAGGGTAAACGTATTTATATAGCAGGTTTTATCTACTTATCCTGAATTAAGTTACATATATTAATATTTTTAAACATATTTTATTAACAGTCAGCATGTTATTATGAAAAAATTCTACAATTCGTAGATCTTACCAAAAGATTTATATGAATCTTTTTACTTAATTTTATAGTTAGTTTACTTAATTTGAGAGGGAAATTTATTTGTAATATAAAAATTAAAAAATTAATGTTTCATATGTATGAAATATTAAAATGTACAAACATGTTAATGTATAGTTACGGAAATAAGTTTAAAAAATATAGATTTATTAAGTAATTCACTTATTGAACTTTATAAATTGTGCACATTTTTACCTTATTTTCATAAACAAAGAATTTCTTACTTAAGGATTATAAATGATAAGCGTAATATTATTTAATATATTGATTAATATTATTATCGAAAATGATAAACAAAGGACGAAATAAACACCTTTTAAAACAAGCAATCTAAAATTGGAGAAATATAAAAATCTCTATACATCTCACAGATTGAAAGATTTTTAATTTTCTTATTCATGGGTACAATACCATTAACGGGACACCCTGTACATACACGTTCTTAATACTTAAATGAAATTTTTTTATTGTTATACAGATAGTTCCATAGATAAAAAGTTAAGTTTTTTCGTAAATAAATATCCAGTAAAGAATTGTTATAACTGTAACTTATTTTTACTCATGAGATTTATTAGATTTTTATATCTCTACTTTTAAAGCCTTTGTTATTTCTTTTCCTTGCATAAACCTTACACTTATGAACTTTAGAAAATCAAAGCTCTTTACATCTTGAAAATGTCCTTTATGGATATTTCTAGTTATTTTCAGGTTGAATTACTTTGTAATAAGAATATGAAGTTGTATTTAATTGTCCAAAAACGTCCATTGATATTGTTTAGCATATATTTAAAGCATGATAATATTTAATAAGAAGATAAAGGTTTTAAAAGAGATGCACTCTTCAAAATCGTCTTTCAAATTTAACGATAATTTTACATGCATGAATTATAATTTCTATGAAACGTACTATTTTATACATTAAATTAACAAGATTATAGTTCACTAAGATTCTCATTTAAACTTTCAGTTATCCCAGTAGAAAGAAAGAAACAATTATAATTATTGCTTAGATATTAGTATTGTATTGTCCAATGTGTAAGTTTCATACATAGAGTGTTTCATGAAAGATGTATAACATGAATATAACAAATTCTTTTCGACAGAAGAAATTGAATAGTATTTTACCATTTTACACATAAGGGGGTTTCCAGCATTCCTGGAAGTCGAGAATACCCTTCAGAATAAACTTGGAAATTGAAAAATGGCAAAGGACTGTAAAATTTCTTTTACTATGAAGAATTTTCAGTTTCTAGGATGTGCATCTTTTTTGAAACATCCCTCATAAAGATAGTAAGAATAAATGAAAGATAAAGAAACGTAACGTTAAGCAGCTCAAGGCCTGGAATGTGTACCCGTAGTACTTTGGAATTGTTTATTTTAATTTTCCCATAGTGACATTCTATCGTAAAAGCTAGTGTAATTCATTGGATGATCTATTTTTCTTTGCATTAGTGTAAAAATTATTATATCTATGGATATGTATCAATCTAATGTTTTGTTTTCTTGGTGTCCCAGGACTGGTAACCATGTCAGGACAGGGAAGCAGCAACAGTGGCAATTCGATGCAAGTATCAAGTCTCCTTGGTGGCTATCAGCCGATGGAGTGCGAGTCATCGCCTCGTCATCTGGGTAATCGACGCGGGGTGACAGCAAGCTATCCGTCAACTTCGGCCACTGGGGTGCCTGCATCCGGGCCGATGTCCATGCAATCTGTAGACAGCTCCCTGAAACAAAGCTCTCTTGGATCGTATAATAGCCTAATTCTCCCTGGTATATCCCATCTGCCTGCTATGATGACCTCGCCGATGATTCAGCAGCAGAATTTCTATAATTACGGTTATCCGACGACTGACGCGCACGGAATAGTCAGGCAACCGTCAACAGTTTCAACTGGTAAACAGAGAGATCCGGAAAGGGAAGACAGTCCTATGGTCGGAGTATGCGTCCAGCAAAGTCCAGTTGTTATTCACTGAATAGCAAGCAGAAATAATAAAAGGAAATGAAAATGAAAGGAAACTACGACGACGGTCGATGATAATTAAAACACTGTCGCCGCAATCGCGCGGTACCGTCAGAAAAAAATATATATATTAGGTGATTATACATACTGTATATATACAAAGTTCACGACGATACCGCAAATGTTTATGAGAAGAGAAGAAAAAAATGAAGGAGGGAAACAAGAACGGGCAGTCGAAATCCTTCCCCGTTGTCTTACTTTACATTTCGTCGTGGTCAGCTGTGAGGAGTGACACAAGTTTTAAGAACAAAAAAGTTAGTAACTGATTCCATTCTTAAGGAAAGGTTCGATTGAACAACGAGGAAATGTAAAGGAAGACCACGAGGGAAGTCTCCACTTTTCCGTCAATTCTTTCCTTTCCCTTCTTAGTTTTTTATTTGTCTATCATAAGAAGCCGACTGGTCTTACATTGGGCACGGATACACCGCGTCCGGCACAGAAGCTTATGATACTTTGCTTATGTGCACGGACAGACAAAAAAAAAAATAAAAATGGTCTAGTGAGGATGAACCCAGCTGGCCTCTCGGGTCCTGCCCGATTCTGCAAACACTCCAAAAAGAAAAAACTGAAAAAGAAACGTTTTTAGTCGCGTGCAACGTCGTTAAACAAATTTTGGCACCCAAAAACAAACTGTGTGGCCTAGAGAGCGAAAAAGTGATAATTATTATTATTATTATTATTATTATGAATTATTATTATTATTATTATTATTAAAATGCATAAAACAGGAGAGGGGATTTAAAAAAACATGAAGTAAGAATTACCAGTGTAAGCATATACTCCAATAGAGTTTTATACACAATGTCACGAATGTAAACGGTTTTTAGCAAGTAATTGCTAGCAAACAGCCGCGTCAAATGCTAGTTATTTGTACAATATATATAGATAATTGATAAGAGTGCAGCTTTAGGATTTAGCTTATAAGTGTGAAAGAAAGAAAGAAAGAAAGAGAGAAAGAAAGAAAGAAAGAAAGAAAGAAAGAGAACACTTGACATTGTAAACTCGACTCGTTTATTTACTTTGATGAATAGAAAAAAAAGAAAAATGAATAAAATCACGGGGGGGGGGACGTTGCAAACGTCAGTTTGTTACCGACAAAAAAAATGGACTTTAAACAAACGAGGTTTGCATGATTTAACAACAATACATATTTATACAGAAAAAAAAACACAGTAATAAGAAAGTTAAAGAAGCAGTATACACGTAAGATCGATCAAGAATGATATAATCATACAAAAAAAAACCTAGATACTTTATAATAACGCGCGTAAACTCATATACATATGTTTCCAATGGCAGTCGTAATTGATTTTTGCCGTTTCAATTGAAATAATTGTAGCGTTATTTATATTATATTATTATATCGTTTTCTGGCATTCTCTGTTTTCTCCAATCTTGTCTACCGATTATTATTGAAACATAACTTTTCTAAAAACCATATCTTTTCTCATTTCTTTCATTTCTTCGGTTGTAAAGTATATACGACTCGATACAGAAATGTTTAATGCCAGAAGGCGAACTAATTAAATAAATTGTGTCAATAATGGATAAGATTAATATAAAAACGAGATACACGACGAACAATGTAAAATTTCGATACTTATTAATAACATATTACCTGCTGCAACAGATCAGTGATTCTTGATACAATATACTTTGCATGTTTCTGGATTCTTTGTTGTGACGTATACAGGTTCATATTTTTAAACAAATTATTTTACTATATTTTATTGACCGTTTTGTATTATTTTATATATAGAAACGAAACGCTACGAAATATAGATTCGAATCATACTTGATAAATATATATATATATTTAAATATATATATATTTTATTGTACTCACTCGAAGCATGCGACAGTATGATTTTTAACAATGAATTTTTTAATAATCTATTTTTAAAATGGCATCGTTTCATTTTTCCTCATGTGCTGTTGTAATTTACATCGAAATGGTTCAATTCCAAAAGAAAAACCAATGCGAGAATATTAAGGATTTTTTTCTCGAGGAATTTATTCCGCTCTGTTATAAACTCGAGAAAAAATTTCAAATTTTCTATTGACTGCCTTAGTTTTGTTCGCTATAGGAATGAAAATGTGAAGGGAAAAAAAACGATTCTTTTACAAATAATAACGGACTCGTTAGGATTTTGCATTTTTAAAACATCATCCGCAATGCGAAATATTTGCAGATAAACTTAAACGATTCGCCAATACGATATTCGTTCGAACTCATATTAGATTTTCAAATAATAAAAAACTTATACATATATATATATACATATTATATATATATATAGTATTTTTACTTTGCCCTAATGTGTATGACGATCATTGCTTATGTTACTTTAAAGAAAGAAAGAAAAGCGTAACAAGTTTCTTTTTGTTTTAAATGGAATAAATGGAGAAATGATAAACGTAATGGTGTATATTCGATCCAAAGTCGCAATTACTAACAACCATAAAGTCACTCGATTTCTGTAACAAAACAGATGCTTTATTTTTTAGTTAACTTTAATCCTGCGGAGTAAAAGAATTTAAAGTCTGTGCTGCAGTAATAATTTTAAAAAAAGACAAATTGTACAATTATATGAAAAATGTTAATTATGTTTTAATAGGTATAGGGAAACATATGCGAATAGTAAGGGTAAGCGAAAACCCTGTAACAGTTATTTTTTGTTTAAAAACATTTATAAGGAGACTTCGCTGCGATCTCCGCAGGGTTAAAAAGCATTGACCTTAGAGACGTATAATTTTTATTCTAAAAGAAAGATAAATAAAACATTGTTTGTCAGATTTGATCAGGACAGTTTCGCGATAAATTCTGACATTTCGATGATTTTGTTGAACGGCAGAAATCAGTACGCTCTATAAAAGTAGACAAAGTGTGTGATTAAAGTCACACGTGCCCTCTTCCGAATTCAGATTATCGTATGTTGTGCTCATTAGTCCTATAAAGAACTGAAACTTCTATTTTCATTTCTTTTTCTTTTCTATTTTTACTTGTATTTTGGTACGAGAAAGTTCGCTTTTGATAAAAATGTAGCGTAACTGAACCAAGTAGAAAATGAAAAATCCATTTAAATCTTGTTTGTGCGCGAAGATTTAAACGGTCGACTTTTGGGCACAACGCGATTATGTTTTCAACGCATCATCGAAGCACTTTTCTTATTTGACGATCGTTGATATTTTCAACAAAACAATTAATATTACTTCATTTGTACGTATTGTATTATACACTTTTAGCTAATCATACCACAGTCGTTGCTTTTGAAAAAGGAAATTTTCGCTCGAAAATTGGAAAGGATGTTTTCTTTTTTTAAACGCAACCTCATCGTAGGAAACATCTATCGAAGAATAATACTCGGAAGAGCGGCGGTCGATTATTTAAAAAAAGAAACATAAATTGGTAATACAAGAAAAGTATAATATATCGAATAATGAAAAGGAAAACTTTTCGGTTAAGAAATGGAATTCGTAATTATACAGCAATAGATTAATTTCGAACGCGCCGATTGATTTTTCATACGAAACTTTTTTACAGAGAATACGTTTCGAGATATTTTCATATTTTTCCATTCACAATAATGTGTACACGTTTCTTCTAGTTTTTTGTATCCCGAGGAAATTTGTCCACTCAACAATTGTCGCAAAATGTAGAGTATTTATGCCAATTAGCAAACAACAGAGTTGTATACATTTACATAGTATAAGAACCGATCACGAATTGTGTTCCAAATAATTTCTTTGCATGTTTAAACTTTTTTAATAAAGTGTGTAAATTTATCAACAATTTCATATAAAAAGAACGAAAATAAAATCATATGTGTATTTCTTACGAAATGGAAAAGGAACCCTTTTCGAATTTAAAAAAGAAAAAAAAATAAGAGATTGATTTCATCGTCGTTATTACATTTTAAAAGAAACCTATAAATAATCTTCTTCTAGTATTTTTTTAAGCACACCGAAAAATTTACATCGCACTCCTATTTTTATTTTACAAATTTTTATTTCCAGTCGAATTCTTTGGAATACATCGTGACCGGATTAAAATAACATAAGTTTCCTAACGTCATGTGTAAAAACATTGTGTTCAGAAAATATACTATAATACGACTGATGATATGCCTGTTACGCGAGGTGCGAGCGTCTTTCGAGGAAAGAATGGTAAATAAAGAAGCGTGTCATTTCAATGTCTCGTTCGATGATCGCATACGCTGACCGACATAAAAATATAAGGAATGAATACAGAAAAAAAACTGAATTAAGAAAAACCGATTTATTAAGATGAAAAATTAACAAACCTCCATACAAGATGAAAAAAAAAGTTGTATCTACCCTGTAAACATTTTCATATTATATTATATTATATTATATATATATATATTATTATTGCTGCTATTATTATTATTATTAGCATTATTGTTTTGATTATTATTCATCTTGCAATTATTTTTTATTGTTATTATGATTATGATTAATATTTTTATTATTATTTTCATTATGATTATTACCACTGCTACTGCTACTCCTACTACTACTACCACTACTACTACTACTACTACTACTACTACTACTATTGCTACTACTACTACTACTACTATTACTACTACTACTACTACTACTACTACTACTATTACTACTACTACCACTACTACTACTACTACTACTACTACAATTATAATTATTACGGTTATTGCAATTATTGCGATTATTATTATTTTTTTTATTTTTATTTTTATTATCTATAATAATGTAATTGAAAATTTGAAGCGATATTACATAAGGTTAATAATAAACAAACGCATCTTCATTTTTGTAGTTACATTTTTGTTGACCTCCTGAAGTCCTGTTTTTTTACGAACATTTTACTACATTTATGAAAAAGAACTGTAATAATTGCCAGAATGTTTTGTTAAGTGCATTTTTATAAGTGCATTCATTATTTGTGGAATCTAGACACTGAAAATATTGTAAGTACTATAAATTAAATTTGATTATACTTTAGTGGAAACGTAATCGCATCCTACTTTCCTTATTCCATAAATTTCTTTGATAAGCATTTATGATACTCGAGTTTAATTCATGTTATTGTTTTATTTTTTACTAAATAGAATGAATTACACTATTTTTTATATGTATAATGAAATATATTACAAAAATGAATATAGTACATCAAACGTGTTATCGGCACAGTTTAATTCATTTTCGCGCCATATTATGGCTGTTTCATTTTGCTCAACTTACAGCCAATCAAATTCAAACATTTAATAAACGCATGTTACTTGAACTAGTTGAAAAAAGTCATTCCGACTGCAATGTTCTCTTAAAATTTAGGTTTTTAAGGTAAAATTTGATGTAAAGACACTGATTATTATTTATCTATTTACATACTAACATAATTTTCTTTTTTTTAGGTACGGTGGTGTATTACTTCACGCATAAAGAAGATATATGGATGTTCTCTCTTGTATGTTAACAAAATGACAGAACCAACTCCAACAATAGAAAAATCGAAGAAGATTACTGCCATAAATAAACAAACAATTCATAAAATTTGTTCTGGTCAGGTAAGATTAACCTATAAGTACTTACGGGATGTTTTAATATAAATTTGTTACCTCGCTAATATATAATATTTTTCTAGGTGGTGTTTGATCTGGCAGGTGCAATAAAAGAACTGGTAGAAAATAGTTTAGATAGTGGTGCTACATTAATTGATATTAAATTAAAAGATTATGGGAAAACATGTATCAGTATAAGTGATAATGGAAGCGGTGTTTTAGAGGAAGATTTTGCAGGATTGGGTATGTATGTAAAGATATCGATACATTTATAATTTATCTTAAAAAATTACTTCCTGTTCATCAGGACTGAAACATCATACATCCAAACTGAAAGAATTCTCAGATCTGACTGAAGTAGATACCTTTGGGTTTCGTGGAGAAGCTCTTAGTTCACTCTGCTCTTTAGCTGAATTAAGTATCATTACCAGACATTCCACAAGTGAGCATGGTTTTAAATTAGAATTTGATCACAATGGTATACTGCAAAAGAAAGAAGCATGTGCAAGAGAAGTAGGTACTACTGTACATGTTAAAAATATATTTAAGTGTCTTCCAGTAAGAGCAAAAGAATTTACAAGAAACCTAAAAAAGGAATATGCTCGAGCTATCCAAGTGCTATATAATTATTGCATAGTTTCTACTGATACAAAAATAACATGTTCCAATTCGGTATCAGGAAAATCTAATGTTGTAGTTACTACTACAAACTCCAGCAGTATTTTAAATAATATTAATATAGTGTTTGGCAAGAAAGCTTCAAACGGTCTTCTTAAACTTGAGTTACTACCTCCTGATGAAGCAACATTACAAGAGTACAATTTACGAAATGATGTAGCTATAGATTTTGAATGGGATTGCTACGTTAGCAGTTGCGATCATACTGTCGGACGATCTACACCCGATAGACAATTTTTTTATGTAAACGGTCGACCATGCGATCCTGCGAAAGTAAATAAATTAATAAATCACATTTATCACAAATATAACAATAAACAATATCCATTTATTTTTTTAAATTTAAAACTTAATAAACAATCGACCGATATTAACGTAACTCCGGATAAAAGAACTATTTTTTGTACACAAGAGAATTTAATATTAGCAGCTCTGAAATTCAGTTTAATAAGTAAATGGGATAAGTTACAAGGAAACTTGAATGTGAAACCTATATCTGAATTAAATTTTGGAACGAAGAGAGCAATTTCACCGGCGAACACAAATCCCCCAGCAAAAAGATTTCAGAATTTACAAACATCATCGAATACAGAACATTTAGATGAAAATAGTGTACAGTATGATAATAAAAATAAAATTATTGAATATGATAACTACAATGTACAAAATGATATATCGAATCAAACAAAAATATTGGATGATGCTGAAATGTCAATTAGTATGTTAACAATAAAACAAAAGTTTCAAGAAAAAGAGAACAATTTATCGAAGCTTGTTACCACGAGTACAAGAATTAAATATAAGGCACAATTGGAAAGTGCTAAAAATTCTGTCGCCGAAGATGAACTGAAAAGGGAACTAACGAAGGAATCTTTTCTTAAGGTTTACGTTTTATTAAGTAAATATATTAGCGATAAAATATATTACACAATCATTAAAAGTAAAATATTTTATAGATGGAAATAATAGGACAATTTAATCTTGGTTTTATAATAGCCCGTTTGGAAAAAGATCTATTTATTATTGATCAGCATGCTACTGATGAAAAGTATCGCTTCGAAAAACTTAACAATGAGACGCAACTAAAAACTCAGAAATTAATCGTTCCCAAAGCATTAAATTTGTCTTCTTTAAATGAAACAATATTAATTGAACACCAGAAAACGTTTGAAGACAATGGCTTCTTTTTTAAAATTAATCACGAAGGTAAAATAGTTAATTCAGTCTTTTTTTTTAAATTAATATTGCTACGAAAACATATTTGTACATTTTAGCCGAATCAGGACAGCGTGTAGAACTCACAGGAATGCCAGTCAGCGGATATTGGCAATTTGGACAAGAGGATATAGAAGAACTGATTTTTCTTATTAGAGAAGGTGGCGTGGAACATAAAGAAAATCGTATATACCGTCCAAGTCGTGTGAGGCAAATGTTAGCATCAAGAGCTTGTCGTAGTGCAGTTATGATTGGTACAGCTCTTAATAATAACGAAATGCAAAAATTAGTTACACAAATGGCGCAAATGGAAAACCCTTGGAGTTGCCCTCATGGTAGACCAACGATAAGACATCTATTATCATTACATCTTGTGCATAAATAAACTATATTTCTGAAGTTTGAATTAAAAAAATTTAGAATCATTATTCTAGAATTCTAGTTTAGGGTATTATTTTGATTGCAAATAACTTTTAAAACATTGTATTCTTAAAGAAATTAGTTTATTATACACTAATTGTACGAAATATGTTAAATCCTGAATGTGCTGTCGATATTACAACACCAGTACATTGAGGATGCCAATGTAGTTCTTTAATATCAGTTTGACCTTGATGTATAAATAACAACTGAGAAGGCAATTCCTTTAATTCATTATTTTCTGTGGCTTCCGATTGATCGGCTTCTACTGACAAATCCCATTGAGCAATCTGATCATCGGCTCCACCGGAAGCAAATACAGTAGCTTCTTGTGGATGCCATTCCACTGTTGTAACAGGTGAAGTATGCTGTTTAAATATGGCTAATGGACTTGAGCCACTAGAACCAAACTGGCGCAAATCCCATACACAAATCAATCCATCGTCACCGCCAGACACAAGAAACTGGCTTTCATTGCGATTCCATGAGATAACGTTAATGTCAGCAGTATGTGTGCCAGATGCTGTCAACATGCAAGCGGACTGCGGGCTTGATCTCGTATCCCAAATTTTAATACTGTAAAAATAATGTGAGTATGACCGATTATTTTATTGAATTTATAATGATATTAATTAATATATGATATATACCTTTTGTCAACAGAGCACGAAGCAAGCACATGCCTTTCATTAGGAGACCACTGAATATCTTCGACGCTATGTGGTGCGTGTGAATTGTATGGTCTTTGATCCACGTGCCATGTCGCGCTATTACCATTACTAATACGCCATATGTGAATATTTCCTTTACAATCACCAGAAGCTAAAGTACCTATTTCAGTTGGACACCAATCTAATCCATATCCTTCCGACAGATGTCCTTTAAACGTGAATAATGGTTTGATGCCTCCATCGTGTTTCTCACACTTCTTACGATAAGCACGAAGCATTTCATCATTATCAAGTGCTTTTAATTGTTCATCTAAATTCCAAATATGTACACGACCCAATTCACTCCAACTTGCTGCAACAGTTGCGTCGCCGAGTTTAGCGTATCTGTTGAAACAAATGAAACATTATAAAATACAGGTATGAAGCTGCAAATATCATTTAGAAAACCAAATATATTTACCTAACTCTATTAATGCAACCCTGATGTTTAATTGGTGCAACAGACATTACAGGTGTATTTGTATCATCATCACTGTCTAGTTCATCATCATCTGAGTCATCATCAGAATCATCCTTGGTGGCATGAAGGTTTTTCATCTTCATAACCAGAAGATTATTAACATGCGTCTTGGCAGCTTGTGTTCCAGCAACAAGGTACATACTCAAAGGATAATTTTCTCTATTATTACCTAAGTCATCTAAGATTATATCAAAACTAAGACATGGTGCACCAGATTGTGCATGATGTAGAAGTCTATATGCTGATTTATCAACCACAAGTTCTTCTCCACTTTTCAGTGGTTGTCCAGGAAGGTATACTTTAGATTCGGTATTTTGATTTTCTTTTCCTTCAGTATCTTCACTTTCCATGGAGTCTTCTTCTTCTTCACTCTCACTGTTACTTTCCTCCATATTCTCGTTAATTTCATCCATCGGTTCGTCCTCCATTTCTTTAGGAATTTCTTTATAAAAGATAGTCATCTTAAAAAAGGTACATCTATAATGTTTAATAAGAATAATTTCAGTAAGTAAAACCTAACCTCGTTTATTTTCTAATGATTAAATAGAAAATGAATAAAAAGATATTCTACAAAATAATTGTAAAAGATTATTTAATTTTTAAGTAGGATCTTAAAGAGTTTTCAAGTTATTTGTTATTATAAATGGTAATTGAAAAGTTACCTCTCAATTTGTACAAACTCGACACACGTGAGACATAAAATGGCTAACCAACACACACTTAAAATTATATGGGGTTATGTGTGTGTCTGTTATATTATAAATTAATCTTTTTAATGACTTTTTCCATTTTATTTTATTGGCAACTTTTTGTGCGAATCAAATCATTTCAATTTGAAATAATACAAGTTAATAACATTGACAAAAGTGAGTTAGAATATTTCATTAACGACATCTGAGAAGTCATAGAAAATTTAAATACATAATTACAAAAAATGAAATCTACAAAATTCATGGTACATCCATGTATCTATATTTCATTTTACATTAAATAGCCTTTATACTAATTTCCTTTTTTTTACGGTTTATAAGAAGAGAAATGTTTATTTTTTCGGAAACGCATGTTCTAAACAATCCCTACAGCAATTCGTTAAACAATTCAGTCTGTAAACTACATACTGACCCATAGTATGCAAAAGGTAGTAACTGTTACAGAAACAAATTACAAAGCATTATCACATATCATCAAAAATCTTGTTTAAAAGAAATAAATGGTTGAGGTATAGATATGTTTCATTATGAAGTTTGTAATATTCTTTGAGTATATGCAAACAACATGAGAAATATTCTAATTGTGAAATCGTTTTTTTTTTTTTTTTTTTTTGCATAAAACACCATCCACTTTACGTATGAAAATTAGGTACTTATTTGTACATGAAATATAAGCACTAATTGTTTCCCTGACAAGAATATGATAAAAATGAGAACTGAACATCAGCATAACTAATTGTTAGGATTTTAGGATCTTAGAATGATGAGAAACCCAGTCTACATTTTTGGGGCAGGGTGGCAGATTCACCTTGACCCCTAATTAGTTACACCAATAGAACCAAACTAGAAAAACTGTTCCTTTTAAGGAGTGATTAATAAACTAATCTGTATGAAAAAGCAATAACACTGATAATAGCACTGACAATGACAATAAAAATGGCTGTAATAGTGATAATGATAATAATAGTTTTTGCAGTAATGATAGTATAGCAATGGTAATGAAATAGTAGTAGTGGTGGTGGTGGTGGTGTGGTGATAATCATACAGTAGTATTAGTAGTATAATAACAAGATTCGGAATAATTTTACTACTAATCACAAAAGAAAAATAAGAAAGAAAACCAGAGAATGTACAAATAGTGTCATTTTACATACGAAACACAACCTTAGTGGTTGTTATAACTGTACGAAAGTAAATGAGCAGCAACAAATATTTAACATTTGATCTCAATCGTTTACGCAAATGGATGGTATTTAATATTAGCTATGTTTGTTCAGATGAGGATTGTTACTAGAATTATTCATCAACTGAATAGACGTTACGGTAGTATGCGAATGGTGAGGAGGCGAGATGTTAGGATTATATCGAGGATTAGTATTGTGGAGGCTGTGTATATAAGAACGCTGGACGGGCTTGTGCTGAGCAAGCTGAAACAAGGCCTCTGGTATAGAAAACCACTTTCGTTTTCGACCAATAGCACGTGAATCTTCCCATTCTGGCAGTTCTTCAGTTACACGCATAACCCATACCTGTGTCCTATGTTTGTGTTCCACATTCTATAAAAAGAAAAAAAAGATTATTTCTGCAATTTGTCCAGGGCTCTGATTATTGCATTTATATTATTACTTCAAATATGCCAAGACATCTGCCCAACTGCCCTAAAACCCCTGCTTCTTCTCTAACTTCACGTAATGCAGTTACTGCAGGTTCCTCCTCTGGTTCAACACCTCCACCAGGTACTATCCAACTATCTGGCCTTCGGCTGGATGTAACCAAAAGTACCTGACAAGAACCCAGGATCATACAAGAGTTTAGTTTATATGATATAATAATAAAGAAATAAGAAAAATATTGACTGATATTAGATAAATATTAGGATATTAAAATTAAAAATATCAACTGCCATCTGCTGGCTTACCTCATCTTCAAGATCGTTTTTGACGCAGATACATGCTGCTCTACGTCTATAACCTTCTGAATCGTAAATACGAATTGAATTTGGTTTTTCTTTCACCATGTTCGATTATTAAAATTACAAAATTATTCCATAAATTCATATTTGTCAGACGGCCAAGCAGGCCAATCTGTACGGTAACAGTGTTTTAACGTTATTTGGAGCCGACATATTTATACAGAATTGATTGTCAAGCTTCAACTGCTCACATAATTAATTTCAAGATTTTATCTATCGTCCGACAAACAGGACGATTTTTTGCCGAAATAATGCTATATCACGATACACACCACCAATGTTGTCCTTGTAGAAACTTGTTATAACCTCAAAACTTTTAAAGTATTCACTAGATAACAAGTAGCTCCCTCTAGATTAGATTTTTATTAGAATATTAAAAGGTGAATATTCAACAAGATTATTTCACAAAAATGTGTAACAAATAATCATTATACTCAAATTCAGAATACAGGAAAGATAATAAATTTCACAAGAGAATACAGTAATAAAAATAGATTGGAAAATCTTAACACTGTATTTGATAAAATCAGAGGACGTGTTGCATAAAAATTGATAGTTTTGATAACATTAGGGACAAGTATAGATATTTTACAGAAAACATAATAAATTCCATGAAAAATAAACCACTGAAATATCAAATGAAAAATATCAATATGCTCTGAAATTAGTATTAATAATCACCATGCTGAAACTGACAAAAGAAAGAAAATTTAATAATCAATACAAACAATATCCGTAGTCAGAAGCCTAACCTAATACATACATAAGGGTTATTAATCTATTTATAAATGAAGAGAGGAAATATACAGTTAAAGTTTATTTATTATTGCTTTTTAAAATAAAAAATGATTTGTAAATTTTACATACAGTTTTAAGGTACAACAGATTGAATCTTAAAGTTTTCTATGATCTATTTAAATATATAATTATTACTAAATCATTTGCAAATTGTACAATTTACTATTTACATAAAAGGGATTACAGGTCAGATCTAACACCAAATCCAGGTCCTGGTGGAGGAGATGTCAATGATGTTAGGCCACCTGCAGGATCTGCTGCAAATCTAGGTGAGTTTTGAGGACCCGGTGGTGGTCTTTCTCCCTTTTTCAATGCATTTATTATAGTAGTAGCACTTTCAGGAGTTAAGTCTTCCTATAAAATAAATTAACATATGTTGATGCCAAAATAAATTAACAACTAGATTATACTTACATAGTAATCATCATTCACTTGAAACATTGGTGCATTAGCACAAGCACCAAGACATTCTACTTCAGAAACTGTAAATAATTTATCCTGAGACATTTCTCCAATTTTACAATTTGTAGCTTTGGTTACAGCATCTACAATAGAATCAGAATCTCTCAACCAACATGGTGTACATGTACAAATTTGCACATGATACTTTCCCATTGGCCTTCTATTAAACATTGTATAAAATGTGGCTACTTCATAGACTCTCATTTGTGGTAAATTCAATATTTCTGCTACTTTGTGCATAGCAGAAATAGGTAACCATCCATGTTGACGTTGAGCTAAATCCAAAAGTGGTATCATTGCACCACGTTTATGTCCTTCAGGATACATTTTTAACAGAGCTTCTATACGTTTTTTGTTTGCTTCATTGAATTCAAAGGGAATTTTTGGATTATCCACTTCACTGTCTCTATGCTATAAAAATTAATTAATTAGTATTAGTGTGATACAAAATATAGATACATGTGACATATAATAATACTTACTACAAATAACTGGTCTGATGCGCGATTAGCCGATGTTTGTAATCCTCTAACATTTTTACAATTCTATTTAATAAAAAAAATACGTAATTAGAAAATACTTATATTAGTATAATATGTACAGTAGAATATAAATAAACAAGTTTGAAGGTTACATAAGGTGATAGAAGGGGTTATATAGCATATAATATTAAAACGTCAGTAATATTTAACTCACATAAATAGCACGGACTGATCTGGAAGTGAGAAACATCTTTACGAAGTTGCTCTATACTTATCAACAATAATATTTTGTACTTTACTCCACTATTTTTTAATTTATATTTAAATCGTAGTACGGAACAAATTAAATGGCATTCTATATTAGAAGCGCCATTAACAAACTACTCGACATCAGCGCGGTTCATAGTTTAGTGGCAAAATTTTTAGAGTTAGTACCAGGCGCTCGCCGCTAGGTGGCGTCACCGTCGTGAAAGTTGGGGCGGGTGGTGCTGCGCTCCCCTACTCCTCGGCACTCAGTGCGTCGCCGACTTCGTCCATGGGAGGATCGTTTTATTAAGAGTTTCTCCCAAATGACGCTAATTGTAAGCGAAAACGCATTCTAATTCAATTATTTCCACATATTGTGTGACTCCCACGTTCTCATACTGCGGGTATCCGGAGAGCCCACAAAAGAGATAAAACTCTCCCAAAATCATTCTCTTTTTTGACAAATAATTCATTCTCTTTCATAATTGATTCTTAATCTATACATGTACCCAAAGCAACTTTCTAAGCCGCCCCTAGAGAGACGTAAAGCAGATTTCTGTAAAAAAAAATAGGGATTCTCTTTCCGCTGGGCTTTAATGAGGTCTTTTTAATTTTATCTAACTTATTAACATACGAATTTGTTATATTTCCCGAAGAAACTTATATATGTACAAATTATAAATTTCATTATGTATTTATATATATGTATATACATGTAACATACACAAAGACGCGTTAAGACATTATTAATATGCTACAATTGATGCGTGATACATATATAGAGGGTAGGCCACGCAACTGTTTCAGGTGACAACTCCGTTATTAACGCATTTATGAAAAAAAAAAACAGTTGTGTGGCCCACCATGTATATGCTTGAAAGCACATTATCGTGTCGCGTGTGTAAAACCGAATAATCTAATAATTGTGATATCCACGAGAGGAACCCTTTGCACCTTTAGATCTTCTACCATACATTTTCCTCTTTTCTCGCTCTACTCTGAAAAAGCACATATACATCCAATTTCCAATCGTGTACAAATGTACGCTAGCACATATACATACACAAGAAGAAATGAAGTTATAAAATCTGCGTAAAGGTTCCTCTGAAGAACACTGTATCTAATATATTTTACAAGAATCGACAAAACCTAGCTCCGCTTCTATTATGATTAATGATGGAAAAGAATATCGTTTTTACGCCCCCCGATTTTCTCTTAAACATTCACAGAAATTACGGACGTTAAAGGATTAACAAAAATCTTCTTCACCCTCATACGCACGTTATTCGTTTGATGCACAACTTTCATTCTCGCAACGCGTTATCCTGTTTTCAATCATTGTCGAAATGAGAGATCAATCTAAACGAATTACTTTACATTTTGTACATCGCGCAAATGTTGTTCTCCATCTGGAATTCGCTACAATCGATTAGTTAACGCGCCTAACAGAACGAACCTTCCTCTACAATGTTCGTAAAAAATATAATATAGAATATATCATTGCGAGGAACTTAGATTTTCTGAATAATGGATTACGCTGGCAAAGTATTTCAATTGTCGACTGATCTCATCATACGCTTTTCCGCGGCATATACTGATTTGATTCTCACATTCAAGAACGATGCACCTTTTTTAAACTGAACTTACGATTTTCACTTGAATGATAAACTTATAAGCAAATTTGAGATAACAACTTGCATTTAAACGATCGGTACAGACGAATCTGACAAACAGCTAGAAGAGAGTAATTGCTTACAATTTATTTGAAAAATAAGTGCGTGGAATAACTATCAATTACGATCAAAACGACAGATGATTTATAATCGAAATTCCATTTCAAGATTCGAAGCTTTTCATTTAAACATTTTCTATTCAGAGCTCTCAAGATGATTATTTTAAGTGGTTAAAATCTGAAAAAACAGCTTCTTATTGTATCCAAGTATACAAGATAGAGATACGAGTTGAAGCACTTTGCCAATTTTCCTAGTTTGAATAGATAAATGGCAGTTATGCTTCTTATTGGAAATAACACTGCTATAACGATATAATAGCCCGACAATCAATAACAGTAGCTGTATTACACGCCGCCTAACAATAGAATCCATAAAATTTTCACATTTCTAACATTTCTTACATCATCGCCGGTTTGTTTCGCTTTACATATGCAATAATTGTTCATCGCCATCGTATAAAATCAGACTCAACAGTATACTGTGCTCTTAGGTCGCGTAACAAATTTTCGTATAGCGTAGACGATACGACCAACATTATTTTCACTACAGTTAACGTTACACGCTTGCAGAACGCGTTTTACAATGAATTGTTCGTATGCAAATTAAACGTGAATCCTGTCACGAATACAAATCTATTCCCCTCAAACGTATGCACGCAACATAACTTTACAATTGGAATTCTAAACTTCGCGAGATTCGATACCACGCCGATAGCAATACCATGATTATTAGATTCATTAAAGTTTATCTTACTTAGCATAACACCAGCCATGTATGTATATCTCTGTTTAGGAATTTTTACATTGTTGAAAACTTTACGGGATAAATCAATTAAATCACAAGAGCTACACGATAATAAAAATAATCTATAATTCACTCAATCATATCTCAACGAATTCGCTAAAAACACATTCCGTGATAAAGCTGATTTTTATCAAACAAGTACCCTGTGTACAATTAACAAAATTCTATGCTTGGAGCACATGTTTCTCAGGGTATAAACTAAGAAACACAAATACATATTTTACGTTAATTACGATTTAAGTTAAAATTTGTTAAAACTTGTTAAAACTGTGATGGTTTTCATTTATCCATAATATTATTTATAAGCAATTGTTTGCTAACGATATAATCAATTTATCTTTGTTCCATTGAAACTAAATTGATTTCTGTAAAATAGACACAAGTTTGAAAATTTACATGTGCTCGGTTAAAACGTATGGCGCGTCTATTGATGACCTTGTTCTGAGGTATGTTTGCCTGTGTTACCGAAGAACATTATATTTCTGATTACCAGGACATTTTGTCGACGAATATACAACTTAGTAATTTTATCGTGGTGGATACCGAATTTGCTGTTGCATATTCTTCACTGAATGATCCTTCATCTCGTTCGGGTTGTACATCATTGGTCCCTAAAGAACATTATTTGTTTTTCAGTAATAAATCAATAACAAAATCTCGTTGAAATTATAAACGATGATATCATAAATTTGTTAAATCATTCTCACTATTCTTACACAATTTCTTCCTAAAACAAAGTTACATAAACTTAGGAAATTCTGTTCTTTTTTCGTTATATTATATATTCATAACTTACATAACTGAATGTGACACAAAGCGTAAAAATGTTGGATTTGCAATTAATGTGAACATACATTGCGAGGCCAGTACCAATAATACATCCTTCACCAAGCTTTCCCATAGTTTTGCCATTTAAATTTCACAATAATAAAGTGCTTGATATAATGAGTTTAAGCTTGATTTAAGGGCGAAAGCTATATGGCTATGAATTAAGAAAAAAATTTTATCTTAAATCTATTAAACTGTACAGAGTATCTTTTAAATGGCTCTATTTGTCTCTAAAAACATGAATAAAGTACAATGCTACTTGTAATGAAAGCACCAAATAAAATATACTCTGTATATATAACTATATTATAAATTTTGTATGAAAAGTAATAAGTTAAAATTTCTATCATATATTGATGAATAATATTTATAAGTGATCACCTCTGAAATGAAAAATGTTTAATGCCGCTGGATTACCTTGTTCCGTTGGAGGAGACGCGGATCCTTCATAGTGTAGCTCTGCACCTCTCGCGATAACGAGCTGGTTGAGCTCCATCGAGAGAGCTGTATGCCATATACAACACACAATCTTATCTCACTAACCGATACTTGCCCTGTTACTATCATTAAGCATCAAAGTATGCAAGGATGCAACACCGACGTTTATTAAATGTAATAATAGGTATTCGACTTCTTTGCAACAACATAAACTTCTTCTTTTAATGAAAAATTAACAGTACAAGAAATTACAAAGTTATCAGAAATATAAACGGTTGGTATTGCAAATCTCTTGCAGTGTAATGAATAAAAATGTGATATTCTATATAAAAAGAAAAAAAAATAATAAATAATCATGCTGAAAATATGAAATTATAAAGTAAATATACTAATGCATTATTTTTAGTGTCCTGTACCATATGTTAGACTATGAACCTAAATAACCCTTGTTGGTATACTACTACCAAAAAGTCGTGTAGGTGCAAAAGAAAAGATTTTGAAGCAGCGTCAAGCTGTAATGTGATATTTAAAAGAAGGTAGAATTAAAGAACACATGTAAGACAAAAATATGTTAAACAACAACTTATCCAACAATTGTACTTCACTTTCTACCCTATCTTTTTCATTGGAAATTTAACTGGTTGAAGTATCTCAGCAGATTATAGACATACTGAAAGTTGTTGCATCAAACGCACACGCGCACAATATTCATACTATCACTCGTGCTATTAAATAAATATTACAAACCATGCATGCACAATGATAAAGAACAATATATATAAAATTAATAAAATAGTCCTTACTATCAGCAACAATTATTATTTGGCTACATCATTCTGCCTCCCCGACTGCTTGCAAAGGAAACATAAAAAGAAAGGTGGATTAAACACAGGTTTGCAAACAAGAGAATATCTATTGTGATCTTGGAAAATCTAATTAGTACGACAAATGATAAAGTATGACGCAGGAAGCACACAATTTTTAGATGAATAAAAATGAAATTTTAAATATATGTATTTGTTTATATCGTTCGATTGGATCATTTGAAAGAAACAAGACCTATTCAAGAATTCGATTGCTTTCCATTACACAATTCAAATAGCCATATGAACGATTAACTTTTATACAAATAAACAATTAAGAAGACAATTACGATACTTTTGGACAAATAGAGAATGCACAAAACTAAGGGAAATTTACGGCATCTACAAGTTCTCATCACGTATATAGTTCTAAAAGACTTGAATGAGAAAATAACGTGTTAACATTACAGTTCCAGAAACACGTTCAAAATACAACTAAGCTGCATACCAGCATACTGCAGCCATAACATAAAGATAATTAGGGGGACTGTGTGTAATGGGTTTGAAATTGTAGATGTACACGTGAAACTGTATTGTTAATGTTTGTGGTAACAAGACACGATTCAATGTACATAGAGGTTTCCAAATATTAATTTTAATATGAAAAACTTACCCCTTGAGATGTATTTTCGGAAACATTTGTGGAAGGTGCAACTGGAGTTGAGGTAGGCGTTAAAAAGTCCACAGGAGCATTTGGATCATTGACTAGAAAAATTCAAACACACATTTAATTGGAATAAAGAATAAAAATAGGCTAACATTAATCAAAAACAGAATCAGAGGTTATTAAAAGTTCACCTGGAGCAGGAATGAATAATTGAGGCGACGAGGCTGCCATAGGCACAAGTGGAGATGTTACCGGAGTTGGTATACTCGAAGGCGGTGCATTATTTTTCATACTGTTAGGATTCATTACGTCTATGTAGTTAGCGCGCATACTTCTTCCCTTCGGTAATTTAAACTTGTTCACTGTTGATTCGTCAGCTTGTGAAGGTGGTTGAGATAGTTGAGTCGGTTGTGGTGGTTCAGAGGTATGTTCTGCCACAGGTGCTCTAAATCCCATATCAGATGCTTTTGGAGGTGGAGCTAATGTTGTAGAACTGCTATCTACGTCTTCGTCTTTGTTCATCCATTTTTTAGCAACAGGATCCCAAACAATCTGTTGTAGAATTAGAAAACAATAGGAACATAGATTTCTTTACTTGAATAGATGAAACAAAGATAACGCCATTTGTGCAAACTATAGGGCTCAAACAATTGTACTATGTCCAATCTCGTGTGTTAGAAACGAAATTTAAAATGTTAAGCCAGAATATATCGATAATTCATTAGCTGTTAATTAAATGATCTAACATTGAATTATACTGGCCTTTTCCTCTCCCATCATAAAAGGCATCATAATAGACGTTCAATTACCATAAGTACCCGCGTGAGCCCTTAAGCGACATAAAACATAAAACCATCTATCGTAATCTTTTAATAATCTATGAAAAAATACAATGTATTTTGAAAATCTTACCGTCGGATTATTGTCATCCGGTAGAATCATCTGGTTCCTTGGTTTTGGGGCAAGCTTGCTAAAAAGACCACCGAACCAAGAACCTCCGCTATTAGAAGGTTTCTTCTGTGTTGACTTTTCTGGAACATTTTTAGCCGTGGCTCCCGATTTCGAAGTTTGTTTCGGAGTCTCGAGTGCATCCAATTCTTCTAATGGATCATACTGTTTTCTTGTAGACGGTGTCATAGAAATCATTGGTTGAGACGGCTGAAATAAAATATACAAATCATCATCGCAAAGTTGTTCCGGCAAAGTTGATCACTTTTTACTGCAATAGTACAATTTTATCTTCATAATTTTAGCATATTTTATAAACAATGAACAATTTTAAAACGTTTAACTACTACAGTAAATAGTGAGAAACTTTGCTTATATTATAAATGCATTTACAATCAAGACGTATAAATATATCTATTTGCAATAAACAATAAAGAGGATCAACTATCAAAAATTCAGAAAAATGAATAACATGTGAAACTTTATTATATACTTAATATTAACAGACTTATATACATAAATGATATCTAAAACAGAAAATAAGAACTATAAATCACGTTCTGTTTTTTCCTATCAAAGATCCCCACTAATTAATCACTCACACTTTTTTAAATAACATGACACAGTCATTTGCCAGACATGATTTTATAACGGAAGAACTTAATATGTCTTGCAATTATCACCGCAAATGCGTAACAATATCATACTTTTAATATCTAACAAATATACTATCTACTCGCAATTTATGGGAACATCAATGTCATACGTTTTAGAAAACATATTTTTGAAAGGAACGTCCGTGGATTCGGTTGAATAAAAATCAGTTTTAAAACTAACTGGTAAATCTATCGGATAGGTACCACCGAATATTAGCGGTTTATACCGACGCAATTCGGTGGAATACTTCGAAGAATTCGAATGAGACCATACATCTACCGTGTCACAAACAACATCTTTTCTTCGAATGTGCGGGGCTACTCTCCTCATTTTTTTATCCTCAAAACTGCAGTACTGTCTTAGAGTTTGAGTTTCATTTTCAGAAACTGTAAGTGTTTCGTTTTTTGAACTTGAATCAAACTTTGAAATAGACTCCAACTTTACTTTACTAAACTGAATATCTAAATCGGTGGTCGTTGACAAAGTCAAATCATTTTCTTCTGTTTGGTCCGATACTTTTTCTCGATTATTCTCAGTTTTTCTTTTAACTTTACATTTTAAAAAAACTGGGGGTTTCAAAGAGGGTGGTTTTGTATACCTGCCGTCTAATTTCTTTCTTTTACTTATACTTTTTGGATCAATTTTATCATTAGATAAAATTTTTGGATAATTTGCATTGATTTTTGGATACGTTATAAGCTTTTTAGATTTCACATATTTATCGTCTAGATTGGTAGATCTATAAGGATTAGAAATCAAAGACATGCCCGCCGAGACGTTAAAATTAGAATCAGATGAATGGGAAGCGATGCATTGGTCTGAATCGGTTAATACTTTGCGCCGTCGTAATGAGCTAATATTGGTGTCATCCAATAACCACTCAGGATCGAGATTACTATCCGGAGTAAGCATGTAATTACTTACTTCAGGAGTGGGTGTTTTTTCTTCCCTTTCCGTCTGTCCACATGCAAGCATCAAGAAAAAGGTGAAAAACATGTTATTCCTATATGTACATATCATTCATTACCACTGTTAAATATACTGGTGAATGAACAAAATAAGCTTAAAACATTTGGATGCATAAAAGCATGCATGTAAAGGAGATGTTCAGTGATAATGTACATGTAATAATATGAAACGTATGAATGCAATACTTATGATCATGTATCATTATGATGCAACTGCTACGATTAATTTACCTCATAGTTCCATTTTTCCTGTTGCTGTGAATTATCGATGTCACCTTGTTCCGAAGGATACGATGTATGAGTTGATTGATGTTGCCAATTGGTAACGGTGCTTTCGTTTCTTCCATAATTATTCTGATAATACGAATCTTGACTCCAATAATCCTGCTGTTGAGATTGTTGATATTGAGACGATTCATCGGTATTCGTTATGTACTGTAAGCTTTGATCGTATGCCTCTGGCACGTTGGACGGCAAAGATAAAGGCTGCCAGTCTGATTGCACATTACTCGAAGCTACTTCCATCATTGATGTTGGACCTTCTCTGTATTCGGATTGCATCGTGTTCGATTTTTGTTTCGTTTCCTGCATTCCTATATTTGGATTGTACTGTGATATTTTTGATTGTGGAACGTAACCTTCATTTTCATTAATTTCTCCAGACTGTAAAAAAAATAGAGATAAGAATATATATTTTCTTCTTTTACAATGTGAAAATAAAATAAGCTTCATCTCTTGCTTAAACTTACCTGAAATTTGCCCACAATTTCAGCTAAATTATTAAACCATGTTAAGGTTGTAGCTTCATCTACGGATTCTTTATAAACTGGATCATGGTATCTAATTCTGTCTCCTAAATTGTACACTGCATCGATGAACGATTTCTTATACTTTGACGGTTCATTGGCAATATTTATTGCAATTTGTTCTATGTACAACAAAGCTTTCTCTATTAATCCATGATCAACCATTTTTACCGCTAAATCAAATTTAAACGTTTGAAGATCCACCAACGTGAATCCTGGCTCGCTAAGATTTCTAGCGTATTCATATATTTCTGTAAGCATGACTGCTTCTGTCGACAGAAATGTATTGTATGGTTTATGATGATTTGCACCAATTAACACGAGTTTCGCATTACTCGCTTCGTAAGCACCAAAGTCAACTTGCGCAAGTATGTAACAAAAGTGTGCAGCGTGAATATCTCCTCGTACAGAAAGCGTGTCCCCGAGGGTCGTAATCGAACGACGATTGATTTCAGGATTGGCAGACGTATTCGATATGATCATAGCCAAATGAGGCCTCCAATCATCCCATCGTGGATCTGATATAGCGGTAACAGCAGCCGGTGTACGGCCGGAATGAAGTTGATACAAAGTTTGCAGCGGATCGTGATACGGTAAACTATTAGCAAAACGTGTCATCACAGATGCATGAGTACGTTTATCTAATTTACTAGCCAAGAAAAGTGCATGTCCCCAAAGTCCTTCGTTCATTGCATATTCTGCATAGAAAAAGGAACGAAACACGTTTAAATGATTCTTATATATTGAATTAACACACCAAGTACACATACCTAGAGCTTCTTGAACCAATCCATAAAGTAGCGTATTTCTAAACTCGTCTGTTATTTGTTCGACACTTTTTCGTGGTTTACTTTCGACTTTCTCAGAGGTTGTAGCATCTTGATTACTTTGAACACTATCTCCGACAGTGGCACCTGATCTTTGCGATATCACCGATTCCCTTCTTCCTGAATCCTTTTGTTTGTTAAGATCGTAAGGATATGCATCTTTGTTTCTAAGTAACAACGCTGCTATATCAACGCCAACAACATTCTGAAAAAATTTGCAGAGTTACGTAAAAACACACTAAGCATATATATATTTAAAAAGTGTCACTTACTCCATTTTGTTGTATCAACATAATCATCAGTTCATACAAAAGTATATACGAAGCACAATCAGTCATCTCTTCGTTTGATGCTGCTTTTTTAATTTTGCTTTCACAATACTCAATAATAGTTTTCTTATGAGTTACACCCCTGCATAGAAAAATATATACTAATTAATATCTAAGCATGCATATCTGTAAAGTACAAACTGTAGCATAGAAAATTATAAAAAATTCAAGCAACTAGAAAAACGCATGCTTAGATCATAGATATATTGATTACACTTGCTTGATTAGAGGTCCAGGATAAGCTCGTAAGTCTCGTGTTACAGAATCGTGTGAAAGTAAACTATCCAATCTAATAATGTCAATTTTGGCTCTTTCACCATCAGTTGGATAATTTGGATGTACATGTATTAGAGATCCAATTGAAAAACTCCCTAAAAATAAAATACTTGAATAAAACGTATTACTCCATAATCTGTAGAATACATTTTAAATAATTTTAGGCTATACCGTATACATGAGAAACGGAATACTTGGATGGCGTCATTCGTGCCGAAGTAGTTATCGAATCTTCAAGCATAGACATATCCCCTATAGTTCGTTTATCACCTGTCGTTCTGAAAAACATCGGTTTCACTTTAGTACGACGACATAATAATATAAAATCGCAACAGAAAAAGCAATAGTAATGATCATGAATCTCCTTTTACTTATGAAGAAAAAGAAATCTATATTTAAAGTAATTACTACTACCTACAGGGTGAAGAAGACAGATTATGTTTGAAAAAATCTACAAGGATAATAAAAATTAGAACATATTTCTACCGAAGGACCTAAATGTCTAACTTAGAAAAAAAAATTCTTTTTACAGCATGACGGTTTTATAAACTACATTGCTACTAAAAACAAAAGATCAAATTTGTAATATTTGAATAGTGTCGAACCGAGAGAATTCTCCCGGTCTCACCTATGTAAATTTCGATAACTTGAATTCTGTCTTCGTTGTGGACTTCTGGTCCATCCAGGATACCCGAAATACGGAACATACAATGCTTTGTTCGGTGAATGGAAGCATGCACTTGGATTTGTAAAAAATCTAACACATAATTAATATTATAAAATCTATAGAAAAACAAAGTCGGAATATTCAGATCCAATTGCTTTCTTTCTTTGTGTTCTTTTTTTTTTTTTTTTTAAACATTTACCTTTCGTCGCAAGAGCTACGTCCCGAATGAACACTTGCTCTATCTTCTGGATAATTAGTTGCACCTCGAGATATGTGCTGCTGCTGCTGCTGCTGCTGGTGTTGATTAGCATAATATTTATGATACCATTCAGAATAAGCAGCAGGATTTGTACGTCGTAAATTTTCTATATACGCATAATAATTACTAGCATAGTGAGCACCATAATCATATCCAGGATATCCTCCTATATCACAGAATTATGTATGTTATTTATTTGATAAGAAAAATTTAATCAAATACCCGAAAATGATTTATCTACATACCATTATAGCCGTAGTAAGGATCTCTTGCTCGCATATAATATTCTCGATCTCTGTCGTTGTAAGAAGATCTACTGGATGGCCTAGATCTATATAAAGATACACGATTAAACTAACTCTATATTCGACAATTGTTCTATAAACTGAAATAAATAAATACCCTCTGCTATAAGGATCATCGTAATATTCTCGTCTGTACGGATCTCTTATATCGTAATCTTCGTATCGTCTCGATCGTCTTTCATCCCTTCTTCTATCGCGATCAAGATATTCTCTAGAATATCGTGAATCATAGTCTCTAATTTCTCTATCCCTGCGACGCGGATCGTCTCTTTCTTTTCTGCGATCCTCGGGTCTCCTTCTGCCGTCTCTCTCGTCCAAATCTTCTTTACCTCTACTTCTTCTCTCGATCTCTTCCCTCGCATGCCTATCCAGATCATCGCGACTATGGTGCTTGCGATCGTCTTCTCGAAATGGAATTTCTCGACGGTCGAATTCATCGCGCACAGCGTACGTTCGATCACTTTCTCCTCCACGACGACGATCATAATAATAATCATCGTCGTACTCTCGTTCACGATCATAACTGCAATCAGATCATTGGAAAATTGTTACAATAAACTTTATTAAATATATGTACGTTTATTTTATTAAAACACTGACTATGTGCTTTTTCGTTCGTATTCGTATCGCCGTCGTTCCGAGCTACTGTCACGACGTCTTTCTCTACTATCGTCTCTACTATTCGCAGATCCTTCATCATCCTCGTCTTCGTAGGAATCTCTACGATTCGATGATGCGGCAACTCCCTGATTTTCGCGTACGGAAGCACCAACCGCTTCTTCGCGTTTGTTTCTTGAATCGCTAGTTTGGTCTTGCAACGTAGCTGAAATTAAGAATATGGATTATTCGTTCGAAAATATAAATTTTACATAAGTAGAAAAGTTTCTCTCACAGCCTGTAGAAGCGATTTCTTGAGAACCTGTAACTATCCTGCCATTCGGTCTGTCGTCGGAACTTTGAATAACTTCATTCGGAGATGCACCTCCTGGTATCTGTCTCAGATTTTCATTAGCTTGCTGAGTTGGATCTTCAGGTTCGTTACCCCTTCCAGGTACCTCCCGTGTTTCGCTAGGTTCGAGCATGATCTGTGCTTGAGGCTGATGCCTTTCCTCCCCAGAAGGATCGTTGCGAGACTGCTGCGGAGGTAGAGATCGTTCTCTGCCAGATGGATCGTTTCGACGCTCCATCGTATCAGAGTCTGAACGTAAAAGCAACGATACGTTTCTCTCCTGTCCTGGTGGTACGTCACGACGTTCTGATCTGTCAGATATATTTCGTAACTGAACAGTCTGCTCCTGACCGGAAGGATCGTTTCTTCTTGGATCAGATAGCCTTTGACCGGATTGAATATACTGTTCCTGTCCGGTCGGATCGTTTCTCCGTGGATCTATGGAACTCGATTGTCCTGGTACTTCTCGCAAGAAAGGAATGTCATTAGGCACTTCATCGTTTTCGTCGTCTTGACTCGGCGGTGTAGGTTCGTGTTCCTGATGAGAATCTGTTAATTCTCCAGTTTCCAAAAATGTATTCCTATCGTTTGTCGCAAACTCATAATTATCTGGTACCTGTTCCGATTGAAGAAGCGCATGAGGTCGTGCTGACTGCGGAGCAGAAGGTACCTCGATATTATTCACTTCTTGCCTAAAATCGCGCGCGTTAGTTGTTTCCTTGATTGGATTCACAACCGGTTTCGGATCGTTATCTAAAGTTTCCTTATTTATGGAATCTCTAGAGCCGTACATATCGCGTTTTTGTAACGACGGCGCAACTACTTCTAAATTAACAAATTCTGAAGGCTGTTGAATATTTTCATAATTCTCTACATTTTGTTCGGTAACCCATTCTTTGGGCGGGCAAACATGATCCTTCGAATACCAGGTATTATCCGAAGAATGCGGCAACGCAGCTTGACTGTACCACTGATCGTATCCACTTTGTGCTACATTATCCATTGGCTTAATATTTGACATTTGATATGTATTGACCACTGGATGTTCCTGACTAATAACATTTTGATTTTCCGGAGGTAGTAAAGGTAGTAAAGAATAATCCAAAGGTAAACCGGGTATATTATCAGGTGTGGTACTCTTATAGGAAGCTGTATTTTGATTCCATGCATCCTCAGACATAACAGGATTTCCTTCTTTTGTTTCATTTTGATTTTCTAAATGTTTGTTCAGTTTAGTACCAAGATTTAATTGTTCTAATTTTGCTGGTAATTCTTCTGTTGAATTATTTTTTCCCCGTTCTACTGGTTCGCTAACTAGATTAAAATCATTGCTTTCCTGCATGGATACATTTTCAGAGCTAGCAACTGTTGATATAGTTTCAGGAGTAACAGACACGTTAAGTCGAGAATCTGGTAGTTGTGGTTTAACAATATTTGGTTTCGCATGTATATTAGCATCCGCAGAGTTTAAAGAATTCGGATGTAACGAAGGAATAGATTTTTTTCTTTCATCATCTGTACTAGGTTCTGTTGTTGGAATCGCATTAGGTAAAGTATGATGAGATAATGTATGATTCTGTTGCCAGTCACTTGTTGCAAGAACAACAGTTTTATCTTGTTTAACGATTTCTTCTGATAAATTATTATTTTCTTGTTGCTCCTGCGACCACCGAGTTGAATATGCGTCATCTGTGTGTTTCCACTGCTGTAAAGCATCTACACTTCCTGCTTGTGACCAAGAAATAAATTCATTACTGCTATTATAAGCCTGTGCTGGTTGTTGACTTTGACTGGATAATACATTTTCGCGATTTTGGCTGTTTCTACGAGAAGCAGATGCGGTCACTTGATTGGACCAGTTATTTGCTTCATTTATGGAATGTTCTCTATTTTCAGTAGAAGATAAAAGGTGCTGATTTGATCTACTTTGTTGTAACGGTGGTACACTTTGATTACCCGTATCATCAAAAGTGTACACCTCCTTTTCTGTTTTTGGATCTTGTACGTGTCCTGGCAAACTAACATGACTTTGCCAATTATGAGGAGTCATTAAATTTGTTTGATCAGGCTTGTTCCAATTATAATTACTACCAACTAGAGCAGGACGCGCTGCTTGATCTTTTTGTTGTTGAACATTTGATATTTGTTGTCCATAAGGAATATTTTTAGACTGTTCACTTGTCCATTGAGATTGATCAAAATTCAGAGAACCAGATTTGGTGGACATTGCCTGTGGGGGTGGTGGTGGATACTGCTGATATTGGGTATAATTTGGGTAAGGTTTAAAGGTGTCCGAATGGTTTGAAGTTGGCAGCCTATTGGCAACTGTTGTTGGTGCATTTCTATCTAGCATCAAGTTCTGGTTGAGTAAATCTGACTTGTTACCATTAACATTTTGATAATAATGATCTTGAACAGAATTGGAAATAAGTTGCCCTTGAGTTGTATACGAAGGTACATAATGCTGTTGCTGCTCTTGCTGTTGAGGCTGTTGTTGCTGATTATCTGTTGTTTGTTTGTCAAAGTCCCAATTCCATGAATTATTCCAAGGATCAGTTTGTTGTTTTGACTGATTCACAATGGGTGGTTGATGTTGAATAGAATCATTTGATGGCATTTCTGAGAATACTCTAGATACTGGATTCCATACATTTTGATTATGAACTCCATATCCTAAATTGTGATCTACCTTAGACCTGGTTGGTCTGGCTCTATAAGGATTCTACAAACATGTTTGAAATGTTAAAACATAATGTAACATTTGTTTAACTTTATACAATAGCTTTGAACACAATATTTTACTTACACTCATACTGCCTTTAGGATCACTTGCTTCTTATTTTTGTAAAACCTATAAATCATCAATCAATTTACATGCTATAATCTTTTAATTCCTTTAACATTTAAAGTACATTTTTGAAGAATACCAATAAATTAATGAACTAGAGAAAAAAATTTTTTAAAAAAGAAACCTACATCTAAGTCATTAGAAATCCGTTTTTTACAATTTAAATAATCCTTTTCGCGAATATGTAAGGATTATGTAAATACATAAGACATTTAGTGAAGATCAAGTAAATTAAGAAGCTGATTGATATAGGCGTTAAAAATTGTGAAATCTGTTCGAGTTCGTTAATCAGTTTCGACAAGTTGTATTGGGAATAACAACCTTGGCTTCCGTGCGACAAATCTCAAAATTATTGCAATTATGTAACAAAAATCATGAGAAAGCAATTTTTGTATACAAATAACGCTGTAAGCATATGGGAGAAAGTTAAAATATGTAGGATTAAAATCATCACGTTGAAAACCAGGATACCAGCTGTGATATCCAACTTAGCGTTCAGGGACCTCTCGTACGTTCACTCACCTAGCTATCGTTCTGGCACTGGTGTCCATACGCGAATATAAGCATTATTTTCTTCCACGGAACATTCGAATCGTCACTTTGGATGATTCGATCGTTTTTTATCGTTGTAAATTGAGCTTTTACAGGAATAAAAGGAAAAATTCTAGGAAAACGGACATTTTACAAATACTATAAGAAAAATGTGGGTTAAGCACGTCACGAATTTTTCTCGTTGACTTTCCACGCGAGCAGAACCATAGACGCGTACAGCGCGGACGCGTTGATCTTAAACGTCAAAGAGGTTTCTAGTAGAATCTCGTTAGATGGCATTACTACATAATTTAAAAATTTTCATACGTTGCAAAAAAATACGAAAACTCTCCGTTCCACGAAACCTTACTGTAACTAAATGACAAGTTTTCGTTCTTTTTGCGCATGTTATTCGATTTAACTCTATACATTTTGTAATCTATGATAAGGCGCATGTGCTTTTACGACGACCGTTAGGCGAAAAGTGTATACTCAGTGTGCAGAAAGTTTAGTCATAACATTATGCACATTATGCACATTCACCGTATACACATTATTACCGACCATGTATATGCCCACGAGGGCAGAAATAGGCTGTAGAAAGATGTCATAATCGTACTTTGAAATTTTCCTAGGTAGGTTGTCGAGCTGCGCGTAACGCGGTTGGTATAAAATTCACTTTACAGTGTTGGTAACAGAATATGTGGAGATTTCAAAGAGTTCCACGGTAACTGACGTGGTATCCCAAGAGTGGACGTTTGACGCATTGGTCCCACACGGTGGCCACTTTTGTGTAAATGGATTTTAGGTGGTGAAGTTCCATTCCTTTCACAGAGATTTTAACATTTTTTTTTTATATTTCTGCTGAGAAATTAAATTAATTTTTGGAAAAATGGTATTGTTAACGATGATTGCAAGGATAGCAGATGGTTTGCCACTCGCGGCAACTATGCAAGAAGACGAACAGGTTAGAAATCTGTTATCATGAAATGTCAATTTGGTATTAACTTCAACAACATTTTATAAATAATTGTTCTGATAATGTCAAATTGAATTAAATGATGTTCGATCGTATAAATATACCAATATTCATCATTAAAATACCTAATTATAATATTCTTATTTAATTATCCATATTTAACTGATTTTTATTTGGTATGTATATTTTCCATTTTTAATTTCGCCATACTATAATTATTTTATGTAGCTGCATGTAATGATGTTATTTTTAATTTATGTTATAGGTATGGTACATTGAATAATTCAACATGTTTTCTTAAATGTTTTTAGAGTGGAAGGAGCATTTTAGAATATCAGAATCAAGCAAAGATGTTATTTAGAAAGTTGGGACCTCAATCTCCAGCTAGATGTACTATAGAAACAGGCCCATATTTATTCCAGTAAAATTACTTCACAGCTATAACATATTTATAAGTTTTCTTAACAGCAAATTATTAATCATCTGAATTTACAGTTATTTAATTGAAAACGATATATGCTATTTGGTATTATGCGAAAGAAATTACAGTAAACGTGTGGCATATAGTTATCTTGAAGATATTGCACAAGAATTTCATTCTTTATATGGAAAACGCGTTAATACAGTTACCAGGCCTTATAGTTTTATCGAATTCAGTATGTATTCATTTCTTTATCCTTTCACAACATTTTTTTCAAAATAAATTTTATTTGTGCAATATATTTAGCAATAATTTTTTCTCCCAGATACATATATTCAAAAAGCAAAGAAAGTTTTTCTGGATGGTAGGTCAAGGAGAAATATGAATGCACTTAACACTCAGTTGCAAGATGTGCAAAGAATTATGGTTCAAAATATAGATGATGTTTTACAAAGAGGGACAGTTCTTTCAGGTATCAGTGCAGTTCATTTTTAAATGAAATATTTCTTTCATAGGAATACTTTTTATTACATTGTAATATATTTTACAGAATTAGACACAAAAACGCAAAATCTCTCCATGTTATCACAAAAATATAAAAAAGATGCAACTCACTTAAATAGCAAATCAATGTATGTAAAAGCTGTAGCTGGGCTTGTTGCATTTTTAGTCTTCCTGCTGTACTTTTTTGTTCTTTAGTTGTTCAATTTAATTTATCAGATTTGTTATTATTATGTAAAGACTACTAAAGTTTTCAACTGCTCTGTTTTTTCCAAATTAGCACTTTACTATGAATTTACTCTTTGGTATAATGTATTTAATTTTTAAGTCTAATACAGTGTACATAAGTTGTATTCAGAGAAAAAAACTAGTCACAAGGAATACAATGGTATTGATACTATTCAATAGACAGTATCATATATTGTCACCTAATAAATATAACAATTGTTTAAATATTGTATCATCATCTTTAATCCAGTTTAATAAAAAGTCATGCTAACAATTTCATTGAAATAAAAGACAATATGTACAGCTACAATTATGTTATACAATAACCGCTCGATAATTCATTTTCGAGACTTTAGAGGTGGACCTTTCCAACAAAGAGGAAATTATCATGCGTCAGTAGCATGCGTGTTTCTTCGCAGTTTGTTTGCAGCGTGCAAATTAAACATAACGCAGCCACGCATTCGTTCATACGTACGTGTGCTGAGTAATGCGGTGAGTATGGGATATTTCTAACACGGAACTATCGAGCGATTATTGTATTAGTAATTGAACCACTACTATTATTTTATTTATAAATTGTGAGAATCGATGTTATTTTCTTATATTTATTTAAAGCTGTATTACTTTTATTTTGTATGTAACTTATAAATTTTACAAAATTCTGAATAAGAAGTCATATTTATTCTTGTGATTGTATTATTCTCTGAAGTATAAACGGTAATAGATTTATATTTTTGGAGAGGGAACCAATGAGGATGTTACATTAATTATGTATTGTCACTAATGTTATTACATTTGTACATCATTCAGTTGTATTAATATACTGAAGTACATTATATTTACAATAAAAAAACTGAATTTGTATATTCATATGTTTAATCGAAAATAATAATTTACATGTAAATTATGTTTGTCTATACAATATAAAACATTTTACTGTTATGTTTTAACTAATTCGTCATAATATGGTATGTTAAAACCTGATAATTGTTTAGCTTTGCAATCATCATTCATATTTTCGTCTTCAGATTCCGAAGTATCAGAATTAAAGAAATAATTTACAGTTGAGGTTTTTCCTTCTTCTGTATCGATTTGATTATATTTTCGTCTTTTCTTTCTCAATATATTGTTATTACTTTTACAATTTGAAGCACATACAGCTTCATCATCTAAAATATTATCTAATTTATTATTAAACTTCCTAACGTTAATTACAATAATAACATAAATGAGTAACATACCAGTATCTATAATTTCATATGCATATGAATGATCTTTCAAAATTACATATATCGTTGGAAATTCTATTATAGTCTTACTTTCTAAATTTTCTTGCAATGTACATGTAACATCCAATTCATAAAACCTAGTAAATAACAATTTGTTATTTAATGGTTTATATTCTGTAGACAAATTTAATGTATTTACCTTAAATCTGACTTTGCAATCTTCTCTGCCTTTAAAAGAATTTTTATTCCAGATAAACCAGCTGCTTGATAAAACTGTAATCTCTCATTTAAACGCATTTTTAAATTTAATTCTTCTATGTCATTCTTGTTTTCTAATGACTTAACAGGATCTAACATTTCTTCAATGAGTGTTGATAATCTTGTACTGTCTAAAGCTCTGTAATCATTGTAATATGACTGACCATGAAAATGGCTATAATACATGTATTCTAGAGATGTTACATTCTACCTTTCAGTAACCCATTTTGTATGTTCTGCTTGTGGAAAGATCCATTCTATCCTCCAATACAATTCATTAGTCTTCCAGTTTAAAAATGTTGTATTACTTTGATGCCTACTAAAATTTTGTGGCATAAATTGCAAATTAATTGTCTTTTTAAATGCAGCTGCCCTTAATTTAGTCAGATGCTAGAAGAATATCATTTAAAACACGAGTACTATGTTATTCATTGAAAGAAATATATAAAAATGATAACTAACCACTGGTAAGTTATTTTGCCGTGTGCATTTTTTTGATGGATCTCTTTTAAGTTGATCTACTGTCCTACCGACTTCCTCAAGAAGTCTATAATCTAGAAAGTAACAATTATTATTTGAAAAAACTTTGAATTTTGGCCAAAATAAAGTAAATACATATTTATATAATTTATACTATTTACCACTTAAAATATCTAAGTCTGTAAACGAGTTTAATCGTACAAATTTCGTTTTATCTCGAATGCCGTCGCATTCTAATTCTTTCTTATGAATGTTTACACACTGAAGACAACAGGTTCTAACCTCGCACTTGGGACACGTGTACCTTGCGTTATTCACCCCGCATACCTCGCAGTCTTCAAGTCTAAAAGTAACAGCTATTTTAATATATATGTATATAACAAAGAATTGGGATAAACGTAACATCTATGTAGATAAACTAATGTAATAAAAATATTTATCAATGTAATCATACTTCTCACTGGACGTCGCCATGTTAGTATTCAATGACCGCCGTCAGTGACTACAGATGCTAAAGACTGGACATGCTATTGTTTTCGAGGGGTAATGAGTTATAGGGATCCCAGACAACCCAGGATGTAATCAGAACGGTATGCATACAGCACCGCCAGTGCTGAGGGGTCCCTGATACCCCAGATGCAATCGGGTCGGTATGTACAGAGCGCCAATAGTGCTTCGGGGTCCCAGATACCCCAGGACGAAATGAACTCGGTATGTAGACAGCACCATTGACGCAACGGGGTCCTAGACACCCCATATGGAATCAGGGTCGGTATGTACAGAGCGCCAATAGTGCTTCGGGGTCCCAGACACCCCGGATGTATTCATATCGATACGTATACAGCACCACCAGTGCTAAGGGGTACCTGATACCACAGCAGGATATCAGGTCGGTATCACCTCCTGTGGCTCGGGGGGCTCAGAATACGGCCACGGTATCCCCTGCCTGTCGTAAGAGGCGACTAAAAGGGGGATGTAAAGGTGCGAGTAAAATGTAAAGAAATAAACAAGTTAAATAGATATAACAATTGTAAAATATAAAAATTAATGGTAGTATTGTACTATTTCGCCATTTGTTTGGTTTTTATGTCTTATATTTCCCTATTTCCTATCAAATCCATCGCTATCCTGCATTCACTAATTCCCAATTGTATTTCGCTAGATCCGGTCAAACCCATCACTATTCCGAACAAGTGAGTTTCACGATTTGTTCGATTTTCGTTCTTATATTTCGCTAGATCCGGTCAAACCCATCACTAGTCCGAACAAGAGAGTTTTACGATTTGCTCGTTCTTCGTTCTTATATTTCGCTAGATCCGGTCAAACCCATCACTATTCCGAACAAGTGAGTTTCACGATTTGTTTGTTTTTAGGTCTTATATTTCGCTACTTCCGTGGGGTCCCCGAAACCCCAGATGCTACTGTCGGTATGCAGAATCACCGGAACTTTGGGGTCCTTAGAAACACGCGACAGTATAATTTAGATATACAGAATCAACGGTGCTTGGGGTCTTTAGAACCCCGAGACAATATAATTTAGGTATACAAAATCGTCGGTACTCGGGGTTCTTAGAACCCCAAGACAGTATAATTTCGGTATACAGAATCGTCGGTGCTTGGGGTCTTTAGAACCCCCAGAGTATATAATTTAGGTATACAGAATCGGCGGTGCTCGAGGTCCTTAGATCCTGGAGACAATATTTTTTAGATATACAGAATGAACGGTGCTTGGGGTCTTTAGAACCGCAAGAAAATATCATTTAGGTATACAAAATCGTCTGTGCTTTGGGGTCTTTAGAACCCCGAGACAATATAATTTAGGTACACAAAATCGTCGGTGCTTCGGGGTCCTTAGAACCCCGACACAATATAATATAGGTATACAAAATCGTGGGTGCTTCGGGGTCTTTAGAACCCCAAACGATTTAACTTTGGTAGGCAGAATCATAATTGCTTCGGGGTTCTTAGCACCACTAGATGATATCTTGGTATTCAGACAAATCCGCCGCTGTTTCGGGGTCCTTAACACCCCTCGATGAAATCAGGCTCGAACGTAGAGGGCACAACTAGCATAATATTCGTACTCGAATTTCTTTCCGGAGTTTATTTAATTTACCTCATTTATCTTGTCCCGGGTGTCGTAAAGACATCTGAAATTATTTCATTTTCTCCCTCTTTATAGGCCAAGACCCATCCCTTTTAATTATTAATTATTTTATCCTCCTTTATGGGCCAAGACCCATGCTCCCTAACTATTTCTTATCCTACTCCTCTCTATGGAATTTCTTCATTCTTTTTATGAGCTTATCCTTATAGCACTGCATCCCTCACATCACTGTTTTCCTTACATCTCCGTATCTTTTACATCCCTTAATTCTTTACATCCCTCCAACCTTTATATCTCTGCATCCCTTACATCCCTTATGTCCCTGCAACCCTTATAGCACTGCATCCCTCACATCACTGTCTTCCTTACATCTGCGTATCTTTTACATCCCTCCACCCTTTATATCTCTGCATCCCTTACATCCCTTATGTCCCTGCAACCCTTATAGCACTGCATCCCTCACATCACTCCCTTCCTTACATCTCCATATCTTTTACATCCCTTAATTCTTTACATCCCTCCATCCTTTTCATCCCTGCATCCCTTACATCCCTTATGTACCTGCAACCCTTATAATAAATATATTACAAAAGCTGGTTCGAGTAAAGGTAAGTAAAGGTAAGTAATTTTTGAATTATTAATTTTTGAATTTTCAATTTTGTGCCCTCTAGCGGCAAAAATGTGAACTAAAATTTCGACCTCGCGTCAGCGCCATCTGGTTTTAGAAAAAGGAACTAAATAATGCTGGAATTTTGGCCCTCTAGCGGCAAAAATGTGAACTAAAATTTCGACATCGAGTCAGCGCCATCTGGTTTTAGAAAAAGGAACTAAATCATGCTGGAATTTTGGCCCTCTAGCGGCAAAAATGTGAACTAAAATTTCGACCTCGAGTCAGCGCCACCTGGTTTTAGAAAAAGGAACTAAACCATGCTGGAATTTTGGCCCTCTCGCAGCAAAAATGTGAACTAAAATTTCGACCTCGAGTCAGCGCCCTCTGGCGGCAAAAAGAGGAACTAAATTTCGCAAAAATTCAGCTCGATGTTGTGCTTTTCGGTGCAGGGATGTAAAGGATGTTGAGAAGTAAAGGATACAGGAATATAAGGGTTGCAGTGATGTAAGGAATGCAATGATATAAAGGATGCAGAAATGTAAGGGATGCAATGATATAAAGCATGCAGAAATGTAAGGGATGCAGGGATGTGAAGGGTGTTGAGATGTAAAGGATACAGGAATATAAGAGTTGCAGTGATGTAAATGATGCAGGAATGTAAGGGATGCAATGATGTAAAGGATGCAGAAATGTAAGGGATGTAGGGATGCACAGTGCACCACCAGTGTTTCGGGGTCTCAGACACCCCATGATATGAAGTCGGTATGCACAGACTGCCGTTTCTGCTTTGGGATCCCTGAAACCCCAGGATATCATGTCGGTATGCATGGAGCGACAATAGTGCTTCGGGGTCTCTGACACCCCAGGATATCATGTCGGTATGCATAGAATGCCACCAGTGTTTCGGGGTCCCTGACACCCCTACTGGGTGCAACCCCCGGTGTTTAAAAAAGGATATCGAACTGAATACTACGGTAAAAATACTGTATAGTCTTAATGTTTATTTATTAATTTTTATACATAGATAATTACTTCTTATGATCTAATGTTCTGTGGAAAGGTAAAATTGCAAATATATGTACATCAAAATATAGACAGTTTAGCTCTATTTTTTCGTTGATTTTGTTCAGCAGCAATACTTTTTTGGGATGCTCTTAGACCAATGAGTTCTTTTTGTTTTTCGTTATATTTCATCATGATGTTGTTGTAGTGAACGCTTCCCTTTACATGTTTTGTCAATGATTCTTTCAACTTCGTCGATTCCTTTTCTAATCTTAAAATATTTTCACCAATTTGGAAACTTGCTACATTTAACTGTCGGTTAGACTCTGCTTTAAGATTATTTTTATTTTTTGAAATAGTTTTCTGTGTTTCAGTTTTAGCTGCAAAGAAATGTTCATACATTTAATATAATGTTCAAAGAATGTTAAATACAATGAAATTAATGTTCTATAAACATACGTTTATCGCCTAAAGTTGCATTTATGAAATTAAATACGTTATTTTGTTCTCGCTCCTTCTCCCTTTGATATTGTCTTTCTCTTTGTTGTTCTAATTTTTGTTGTTGTTTTTGCATTCTACGTTCAACTGAAAATAAATTTTTATCTCCGCCTGCATTTTCTCGCAGTTCCATACAATGGTCTAAAAAGAAATATCTTTTGCTGAAAATATTTGTACATAGTAATGTTGTGAGTAATAATGCAAAATATAGTATCATACCTAATGATTTCCCAGCTGGCAATACTGTTGCTTCAACAGGTTCTATTCTACCATCTGATCGTTTTCCAAGACCAGTTCCTACTACATATCCCATCTGAGCCATTAATTTACTACCTATACCACGTGTATGTTTCTCCCAATTTCCTATCGGTGCATTACTTTCTACCGAGAGAAGAGATGTGTGAATTACTTGGTCCCTGGAATACTCTGTCAGGTCATTTTCACTGTCAGCATCATCAGATGTGTCTGACATTTCCAAGTCTGCATCACCTATTCCAGTAAACATTATAAATTAATAACATATAACTGAATTTGAACGAGTATACATATAATTACTTTATAAGATATTAACCAAGAGGTAAAAGATGTTGTAAACCAACTTCTATGATGTTACCAGTTGCTTCAAATTTAACTCTAAAGGGGTCACCTTCTTTATCTGGTATTTTTAATACAACACATCTGTGCCATAATTCATTCTTTTGTTTTGCTAGTACTCTACTACCCATTTTTATACTCTGAAAATCAGGCTCTCTGTAAATAAAGATACGTATATTTTTTATGTACATATTTCAATCATTAAGTATCAATAGGGTTTACCTATATTCTTGTATGCTAGATAATGGTACTAGTTCACCATGTGAAAAGTTACAATCCTCATCAGAAAATTTACATCTTCCATCTAAGTAATAAGGACATGGAAGCATCTCTCTATGCGTTGGATTTAGAAAAAGTACCCTGACCTAAATAATAGTTACACTGTACATATGTATTCAGAATCACATGAAAAATATAAGCACATAAAACTGACTGTTTCTAAAACCTATGCTTCAAAAAATTCATTCAAATTAATAATATAAATAACAAAATTTAATATTATCAAAAGGTTTTTTCTTACCTTTATATCTTGCATATTTTTTATTTCTGTATCGTCATTCTGATAAACAGAGGATACCATAGCATTATGATAACCGATACCTCCCCAACTGCTACCATGAGGAGCTCTACATTTCATACCTTCTAGCTGCCTCAACTCTTCCTACAAGATGAACTTGCACCGTATAATTGTGTCATTGCTATGCCATATACAATACTTGAATACTGACTTCTATATTATTGGAGTCACCATCTTGTCTATCCAGTTCAGTGTTTTGAGAATCATTTGAAGTGTTCTCCAGTTCTGCCTGATTAATTTACATTAAAAAATATAACATGAAATTATTTCTATATATCTTTTATACGTGCATTTTCTTAATAATTTTGTAATCACCTTAAACAAGGCATATTCTTTTGCCAATGGATCTTCATCTTCATTACTTGAATCCTCTAATTTAGACGTGTTTCCTACATTAGCCATTTCAACACTCTGTAAGCTTTCTTTTGTTAAGTTAATAAGTTCTTGGATATCTGACTGTAAACTTAACAAATTATCCCTATCAGTTTCTTGCGTAGTCGTAGATAAGGTTGCTTGAACTTGAGTCAGCTAAAATATTTAGAACGAATATTTCAGATAAAAAATAAACGTAAATATAAGAATGGCATGTAAGATCATCTTTTTGCATAAAGAAAAGTCATTTGTATCTGCCTACCTGCTGTTCATATTGTGCAATAGCTTCTTTTAAGCTTCCTGCGTCAGCCATGATAATCTAAATTATTTTATTTTATATCAAGTTCAAAATTTCTGAAGAAATACACGGGTTTGACACTTTGCGCCTAACTCCTTTACTCCTCTTTGGTTTAACGATCGTAGTGGCATTGACTATAGCAGTGACTACAGACACAGAAAGACTGGACGTACTTTTATCCACGCGCGGTTTCACATACCCCATGAAGTCGATATGACAGTCTGTCATTTCGACCGTAGCACTATCTATACAAAAGCGGCTCAAACTACTTGACAACTTACCGACAACTGAATTTAAAACCCTTCAAAAACAGAGGCATGTCCAATCTTGTTGGGTCTGTAATCACTGTTTCAGCAACTTCAAATAACTTGAAAATGTCGATGATACTGTGTGACGTGTAGTCTACAATTCTTCTACTGTCAACAAAATGGAATATTTTAAAAGTAGCCTAAAATCTGTTTTAGGTTCTACTCCTGTAGAAAATGAAATGTCGGGTGCTGATACGGTATTTAAAACTTTTTTTAATGATTAAACTTACGTTTTTCTCTTCCAGTTTCTTTTTAAAGTAACACATGGTATCTTCTGTTCGTGTGACATGTAGTATAAAACAAACGTAATATAATTTGCATAATCAAATATGTATACCTTGAAATATGTATGAATTTTTTCTTTTTATATTTACCCTTTTTATTAAAATAATCACACAGGTAGAACGATTGGTGGATAGGTTACAATCATCAACCTTGTTAAATGACAGACGAGATGCCTGTCGAGCGCTTAAAGCCCTTTCACGCACTTATCGCGTTGAAGTGGGAACTCGAGGAATGGATGTACTGAGACAGATTTTGGAAATAGATAGAACAGATTGTGAAATCATCGGTTTAGCATTGGACACTCTTTGTAACATAACTAATCCTATAGCATTTGAAGAAGAAGGTAACATTACAAGTTTGATATTTTTCATCTAACTTTTACTGCATTTTACACAAGTATTATTTTCAGTGGATAAACATGGACCAAAGAATAAAATAGGAGAACAATTCACAGAGATATTTATTAAAAACACAGATAGCGTAGGATTAGTCTTAGCACTCTTGGAAGAATTTGAATTCAAAGTTAGATGGCCAGCTTTGAAATTATTAGCACATTTGTCAGCTAACAGGCTAAAGGATATACAAGAAATAATTTTAGTTAGCCCCATGGGTGTTTCTAAACTGATGGATCTCCTCAGTGATAGTAGAGAAGTCATACGTAATGATGTATGAGTTTTTTCATCTGTTCTTTTTTTCCCATGATGTTTTCATGAGTTTACAGTATACCTTTACTGGATAGAAAGTATTATTTATTATTGTTACAGGCCTTATTACTTCTTATCCAATTAACCAAAGGCAATGCAAACATTCAAAAAATTGTTGCATTTGAAAATGCATTTGATCGCATTTTCGATGTAATTGCTCAGGAAGGTAATGCGGAAGGTGGTATCGTCGTTGAAGATTGCCTGTTACTTATGTTGAATCTTTTACGGGGTAACATAAGTAATCAAAATTTTTTTTATGAAGGTAACGTGTTACTAAAAAAAGAGATAATTGTCAGTATGTATAGTGCAGATCAAAGTAGTGTTGTGCTATAACGTTTTAGGTTGTTACATTCAGAAATTAACTCCAATGTTTCAAATACCATCTGAAATTGATGACAATCCTCTTGGTGCATGGAGTCCACAAAAAGTGTCAAATGTTCACTGTATGGTACAAGTGATTCGAGCATTAGTAGCACCTAGTGGACCTGCTCAGGTAAATGAAAACATTCTATACTCATTTGCATTCCTTTCGTTTTTGATACTGATTTTTATCCGTAACACGTATATAAAGGCAGTCGCAAATTGTCAAGAAATCATGAGAGCTTGTGGACTTTTACAAGCTTTGTGCAACATATTAATGGCTAGTGGTGTACCTGCTGATGTGCTCACAGAAACGATTAATACGGTAGCTGAAGTTATTAGAGGAAATGCTAGCAATCAAGAATTCCTAGCAGGAGTAATGGCCCCAAGTAGTCCTCCTAGGTAACTGAAACACACTTAAATATATAAATGTATTACATTGCTGGAAAAATGTTTATTATTTTTCAGGCCTGCAATCGTTGTTTTACTTATGTCCATGGTGAACGAAAAGCAACCATTTGCTTTAAGGTGTTCTGTTCTGTATTGTTTTCAATGTTTTTTATATAAAAATGAAATACGACAAAGTCAGCTTATTCAGACTTTGCTACCTCAAGGTAACGAGGTGCCGTCATTAACAACAGGTTTGTAGAAAACCGTATTATTGTATCTTGTACAATTTCAGTTTTTACAGTAGCGTATAATGAACGTAAAATATTTTACAAATGTAATGTTGCTAGGGCAGCTGTTATGCGGAGGTTTATTTTCCCCGGATTCTTTGTCGAATTGGTTTTCTGCCGTGGCATTGTCTTACGCGTTAATCGATGACAATGCGCAGAAAGAGCAATTACTGCGAGTACTTCTTGCAACTAACATTGGTAAACCACCTGTGACTTTGATGCAACAGTGTGTCATGTTACTGCAACAAGGCAATAAGACGCAATGCAAGTTAGGTCTTTTAATGTTACTCTGCAGATGGACTGCTCACTGCCTAGCTGCCGTGAAATTTTTCTTGCTTATCGATTCTTCTGTAGCTTATTTAACAGTCTTACTATCGTCGCAAGAAAATAACGACGACTTACAAGAAACATTACTACAAAGTATGTGCGCTATGCTTATTGGAATATGTGTACATTTTAATGATAATAGTGTTCCTAATTATACGAAGGTAATTTAGTAAAGACTTGAAATAATACATTTTAAGACTATACGTTTATGCTACTACCGTAGATGGTACTTTACAGGAAAAATTGTGCAATTTAATTGAGAATAGAATAGGAGTAGAAAGATTTCAAGATGCTATTGGCGGTCTTGCTAGGCATGAGGTGTATTCTAGAACTTTAAAACATCCGCAACCCTCAGCGAAGAATCCATCGGAACTTCTATTAGATCATGAGTTTTGTAGACTGTCAAAAACATTAGAGGGTAATAATTATTTATTTCTTCTATGTTTATTTAATTCCATTACAAATTCCATTAATTATATTACATGTATTTTTCAGGTATAATTATGGAATCTGTTTTGGAGGGAAGTAACACGCATCAGAAAAATCAAATAACGACGTCGATACTTCCAGACTCTGTTTTAGTAGCACAATACAAAGAAGTTATTCGAGAACAAGATTCTCAAATACAGAAGCTTAATCAAGTTACAGAATCACTAATGAAGGAAAAACATGAACTCGAAGTACGGTACAGTATAAAATTATAGAACATAATTGCGAAGAAATTTCAGTCATTTTAATGAGTTATTTGTGAAATTACTAACTATTTCGACAGGCACAAATTCATGATCTACAATCGACCGTTAGTCATTTAAAGGATCAAAATTTAGTTCTACGAGCCGCACAAACCAATTTGTTATCAGAAGAAAATGATTCTAATAATATAACAAACGAAGAAGAATGCGCTAAAGAAGTGGAAAAATATAAACATGTAATTACGGATTTAGAAAATCGTTTAGATGAATGTACCTCGATGATAAAAGAATATAAACGAAAAGTAGAGGAAAAAAACGAGACTGATCTTGAACGGAAATTGAGAGAAAAATCAGAAGAATTGGAAAAAATAAAAAAAGATCAAGAGGATCTTCTGGAACTTTTAACAGAGCAAGATAGTAAAATTATTTTGTATAAAGAAAGATTGATCGCATTGGGTGAAAAGGTACTTTTAATTCTGTTCAAATAATTTTTTAGATCTGATACACGATTCTTGATAGACGACATAATGAATAATTTTACTAATTTTTTTGTTCTTAGGTTGAGACGGATGAAAGTTCTGCTGAACTTGACACTGACGATCAACAAGAATCTAGCAATTCGGTCGATCGTAATGATTAGTACCTTCCTAATTAAAAATTATTATGGCAATGATGATACTAGAAAGTATTTTTCCGTGTTCTTGTAATTCCCTTCTATTTATTTCAAACGATAATGTACCATCATATCGTATGATGATGTAGCAAATTCACACATTAGGAAGTAAATGCAGTTTTTATTATGTTGTTAAAATTTTATGTACAATATTTTTTAACGTAAGAATACTGAATGTGAATACCGATATGAACCGTTTTAATGAAAATCGATGAACGTTTGAACTGCATTATAGATGTAAAAAGAAAAACATGTTAATAATACGATATGTTTAAAGGGATATTTTTTATTAATTATAATATTGCTTCACTATTGATTTTAATCACATCAAACATTAAATTTAACAAAGTATTGTGCTCTACAAAATGGCTGCAAGAAAAAAGTGAAACAAACAATTAAGATTCCTCTGTTGAATGTTTGAACATTCCATTGATCAGTATGTACGTTTTGTTCAATTAATACACGTGGTATAATTTAATACCCTAGTAAAAAATAGTACTTCTTCCTTTTACGTACCTGTAATTAAAGCAGTATAGTTGCGATGCATTCTCATATCCTATTATGTATCTACCATAGCACAGTATCTCATACGTTGGTGATTAATTTTTTTTACAAAGAACTTTCCCGTTGTTTCAAAACTGCTTGCACACATTTTGCCATAGTAAGTGAGGCTCGAGATATTACGTCCGTCATAAAAAATTGATCTAACGTTTTCTGTTTAATTTCTAATGGATTCGATGACAACGAGCCATTCGTTTCCTTCATGAAAATAACATAATTTAGTATTTACTTATATGTTATGAAATTACGAAATATGTTGAACTCATATACATTTACCTTTAATAACTCCAATGCTTCGACAGAATAATTGGTCGGTTCTATGCTACCATACCTAATTAAATGTGGTGCTATTTCCTCCAGCCTGGACCTTACTTCGTTCAAAGTGTCATAAGGTAAACAAATTCCACATATCTATTCGAAATAATTAATTAACTTCCCTCTTTGTATCTGTACTTGATACTTTACAAATTTATTGATAATTACTTCTGAAAGAGCTCGTATAATCTTCCAATCTGGACGCGCCATACCTGGCGGTGTATTTGCAGCACAAGTTTGTTGAGGACGTCCTTCAGTGTTTACGTATGTTGCAACTTTTTCGGTGTACGCAGCTCCAGGAAGTATAACATCGGCCATCGCAGCTCCCTCATCACCGTGACTACCTAAAATACACAGGATTACATTAATATACTGATCTACAACAAAATAAATATTTTATGTACCTATGTATACAATAACGGTGTTGGGAAAGTCTTCTTTTTTTATATTTGCATCGTCAGCTCCAAGTAAAAATAAAACTTTTGGCTGTTGTTGTTTAACTTCGTCAACGGATGACGAGTAACCCAAATCCAAAGCAGCTACTTGCGACGCATTCGTGTGAAGTACATTTAATACGTTCCATCCTTCAGAAGTCTTGAAATGAAGAAAACTGTGTATCTGTGTGTACGAATAAATTAAAACCGGTTATAAAATAATTTGCTTACCTTCGATTTATCTTCTAAAGACTGTGCCAATAATTGTGTTTCACACAAAATTTTTGCCCCATCTTTTCTGGTTAATTGCTCGATGCCCAAGATAATTAGAGGTTTCTTAGCACTTTTCAGAATATTCGAAAACGCATGAGTACCATTCCTTAATTGTGTTATAATTTCTGGAGACTGACCTAAATGCTAACATTGAACTAAAACTTTAGCTTCTGTATACAAATAACATGAATTTAAAGAAAATTCTTTACTTACTTCATGATCATATGTTAGATCTACGTCCGGACCAATTAGAGCAATAGTCTGTTCACCATGAATATATCCTTTCCGTAAACGCGTATTCACCAATGGTGCTTCGTATCTTGGATTTGTACCGATCAATAATACGACATCAGCCTCTTCTATAGCAGCAATGGAATTATTTAATAAATAATTAGTTCTTATATCTACAATGTTTTTCGGAAGACTTTGTTCCGTTGCAAGAATTTCACCACCAAGTCTATTTACTAAATCTTTCAATGCCACAAGAGCTTCAGCATCAGCTAATTTCCCAGCAATCGCGGAACATTTATTCAACGGTACGTCCTGAACAGCTTGAGCAACTAAGAATATATTATTTTAATTAATAATAAAATTCTTTAAACAACACAATTAACACTAAAGAGAAACATTAAACTATAATTATAACGAACCCGTTACGAGAGCATCTTCCCAATTAACAGCTTCCAATTTTCCATTGATTTTCATCATTGGAGTTATGAGTCTCTGACGTTTCAATCCATCATAAGAGAAACGAGCTTTATCTGACAGCCATTCTTCATTTATTTCCTGTATAAAGTAGTACATGTATCATTAAAATTTTAAAGGACGCTTTGCATTATTATTACCATGATAATAATACCTCGTTTACTCTTGGTAAAATTCTTAAAACTTCACCCGTTCTATGCGTTACTACTATATTACTACCAATAGCATCAAGAACATCAATACTATCTGTACGACGTGTTTCCCATGGGCGAGCAACGAAAGCATATGGTTTACTGGTTAATGCACCAACAGGACACAAGTCAATTATGTTACCAGATAATTCTGAGAGAAACATCTTCTCTACATATGTTCCCACCTGTTATAATAATATGTAATGTAAATATCAAAAGTATTAAGGCACTCAAGCTAGTATTGGAAAGGACTAAACATACTTGCATGTCATTTCCACGACCAGTAGTTCCTAGATCATCGATTCCCGCTACTTCGGAGGCAAAACGAATACATCTTGTACAGTGGATGCAACGTGTCATAACTGTTTTTATTAGAGGTCCAATATCCTTGTCCTCTACTGCTCTTTTACCGCTATAATTAATATCAATGAATCTGCTCCTATCACTACCAAATGCCATACTTTGATCTTGTAAATCACATTCACCACCTTGATCACAAATTGGACAATCTAAAGGATGATTAACTAATAAAAATTCCATAACTCCTTCACGAGCTTTACGTGTTAAATCAGAATTTGTTTTTACTCTCCATCCTTTCATCACAGGCATTGCACAAGCTGCAACAGGCTAAGCATATTTTTTTATGTTATGGATATGTACAACTACATGGAATTAAATTATATATAAAAAAAATATAAACTAATGAATACCTTAACTTGTTTTTCAATTTCCACAAGACACATTCTGCAATTTCCTGCTACTGCTAGACGTTCATGATAACAAAATCTGGGAATCTCTACTCCTACTTTAGCAGCTGCCTAATAAAGTTATTACATTATTGCAAACTGTCGCTTGAGTGTTTAAGGTGAAATGTAATAATGTATTTATTAAACAAAAAAAAGGATTATTTACCTGCAAAACAGTTGTCCCAGGTGGAACCTGAACTGGCTTATCATCTATAAATACCTCTACTAATTCTTGTTGTAATTTACAGGATGTTGTATGTAATCCCATAGCAAAAAGTCTACCATTTTGTAATCCTGTTGGTAGTTTTATTACCGGGAGTCTTAACATTTTGACTCAATCTTCCCGTTAACTGTCAATTCTATCCTGTTATGTAAGAAAAAGTTATACCTTTAAGTATAGCGTAATGAACGTAACCTAATTCTATGTTGATCAATAGATTTATAACTCTTTATGTCCTCTTAAATCAATAATTTATACTACATATTAATGTAATAAAATTGAATTTATTATCATTTGTCTTTCAACGAATCAATAATAATTTTACTTGGTTAAAAATTACCAAATTTTGTTCCGTCCTAGCAATCCCTTCCAAACTTTGCGAACGTCTACGACAGACGATCTATAAGACTGATCTAAAATAGGATTTGTTACTAACAACATTTAATTTTGTCGAAGGAAATTCGTGTTGGAAAGCGGTCAATTTCTGAACTCATCTTCTATGATGACAATCAGTTTGATATAAATAATTAGTAAATTATGCAAGATGTAAAAATTACATTATTACAATATAGATTTCATTGTTGATTATTCGCTTTCGCAATAATTCTTCTTCTGACATTAAAAAATATATAGTAACTATAAGTAACCACATACAGTTAGTTTTTTACTTGTCAAAAATAATATACCGGAATGACGTCACCGGTGAGACGAAGTAGCAAACCGTCAACTTTTCACCGTAGGTACATACATATATAGCTTTCTCTTCCGGTAGGCAGCTGAAAGACACTTCGTTATCAGAAGTTTTAGTCGAACATTCACTTTTTACCTGATTTTACACGATGGCTATTGGTGATTTTAAGACTGATGAGGGTGTCAAAGATTTAAATTCTTACTTAGCGGATCGTAGTTATATCGAAGGGTAAGATTTGTAATACTATATAGTTTTTATTTCAGTACACGTGGTATTTTAAACATTGGCATTTTAGAATGATCAGACTTTTGTTGGTATATTTGAAAAATTGCTATTTATGTTTAAACGCTACAAAAATAGAAAGCTATTATCTGTATTAAAGTATATTTAAAATAATATAATATTTCACATTTCATTTCTTCAAATATTTATTAAAAAAATATATATAAATTACCTTTTTCTGGCGTATGTTTAATTGACAAATGCAGTTACTGTTAAATGAATGAAGCAAATAAAAGTCATCATGTTTTTAAGGTGGCAACCTACTCAAGCTGATGTAGCCGTCTTGGAAGCTTTAGAAAAGGCTCCAACATCCTCAAATCCTCATGTTTTACGATGGTATAATCACATTAAATCATATGATTTAAAGAAACTTCCTGGGGAAAAGAAAGCACCTATCTTAAGTAGCAGTAATTCTACTAACGCAGCAGCAACAAAAAATGAAGATGATGATAAAGATGTTGACCTCTTTGGATCAGATGAAGAGGAAGATGCAGAGGCTGCCAAAATTAGAGAAGAAAGATTAAAAGCATATGCAGAGAAAAAGTCTAAAAAACCAGCACTTATTGCCAAGTCTAGCCTTGTATTAGATGTTAAACCATGGGGAGATGAAACTGATATGAAAGCCATGGAAGAAGCTGTGAGATCTATTCAAATGGATGGATTAGTATGGGGGGCATGTAAGTCAATTAATTTCCTTATTTATGGAAATCTTGTAAGATGCCTTGAATTTTATAAGAAACTAAATTTGATTTTATGTTTTTAGCCAAATTGGTAGCTGTGGGTTATGGTATCAATAAGTTCAGGATAATGTGTGTCATAGAAGATGATAAAGTATCTGTGGACTTGCTGGTGGAAACAATTGAAAATTTTCAAGACTTGGTTCAGTCTGTGGATATTGAGTCATTTAATAAAATATAAATTGACTGTTTCTGCTTGTTATTTTTAATGTAAACTTAATAAATAATAATTGTTTGTACATATAATTTGTTACTGGATTAGAACTGCTGATGCAATTTCAGTAGTAATATTATTAGTAAAGCTTCGAATAAAATATTTATGTGGATTGTACGATTTTCATATTTAAAATTTTAATACTTATTTGATTTATTTTTTACTTGTTTAGGACAAAATTAAATCTGCAGTTATATATACCTAATAAATGGAATAAAATAATTCCCATATGTTCATTATGAAAATAAATTTTAAAAGGAAATAGAAACAGCATTTCTGTTCCAGTTTTATTTGTCAAACTTATTGTTACTAATAAAATTCTGTAAATACTATATCGTTAGAGAGAGATGGGACCAATTAAGGTTAGGTTACGTGATGCGTATGTGTGGGTATATACAAGTATTTATACGATATATATGTATATAATATATATATATATATATATATATATCTCAAGAATTGAAAACTGATTCTTCCGATGATAAATATGAAATGATATTACATATTATACTTTTACAATTGTTAGCATGATCTATTATCAAGCTATAGAACTAATGTTTTATGACTTTTATAATATGTATAAACAGATGGTATCAAAAAATATGCTTACAGCCCAGCTGAAATATAATTTGTCTTCTTAATAGTGAATATATTTGTATTATTTATTAAGCATCATTTAAATTATAATATTAAATAGTATTAATGCATTTACTTAGCCAGTTATATCTTCTACAGTTTTGAAAATAACTAAAGAGCTGAAAGTTCATGATACATCTTGAATAATAAAAGTGACCTTGAAAGTTACTAACTAAATTTTTACAATTACAAACAGTAAACAGACAGTTTCAAATTCTAGATATCAGCATAAATATTTTAGTGTTCTATTTTATATGCTTATAATTTAATTTTGATATAACTGTCATTTCATTCAACAGGTCAAACAGACAAAAAAGAAAATAAAAGATTCCTTTTAAACTGACCTTGAATGACTGTGTTTAGTATACTAAATATGTATGTAGTATAGCGACGTTCATAGGAATGCAATCCTGAAAAACACAACTGTTCAAGATGACATACACATTCCTATAAATACACAATTTTAATCAAATTCTGCTGTATGATTTTTGGAATTTTTAAACAACAACATTTTTCATTTTAATCCAATATTATATATATACACACACACCTGGGTTTTTTACTGCGTGCCTTAATATTCAGATTAGTTGGATTTTAAATCCTCCTTTTTTTAAAAGATAGCCCTTGCCACTGACCTCCGTTAGATTCCCCACTTCTTTAGGTGACAACACGCGCTCACCGCCCGCGCGTTATATATAAAAGAAGAGGAGAAGACATCGGGGAATACCGTAGTAGTTTGCTGTATCCAACTATTGCAACAACGTTCTCCAACATTAAGAGCTGTAAACATTTTAAGTCTTGATTTGTACATTCAACAAAAATCATATACATTAAAGATGGTTTTTTTTTCAAAAACTTCAATAAGCCCTGCCTGCTTATTGATACTACTATTAGTTTATGGTAAGTGAATATTTATACATATTTTGTTTTAATATACGGAAGCAAATAATTAAATAATTCTCTGTACAAAGATCAATGTTGATCATCATTTTTTATGTAACAGTAAACACGTTCATAGAATGGAATACATAAAAGTATGAGTCCTTGATTATAATGTAGAGGACATTAATTTGAATATCTATCTGTGTCGATCGCATCGTCCTTAAATCATCAAAGTAAAAATAATGTAGCTTAAGATAGCAAGTACCTTATTATACTTTTGCAATTCTTTTGCATTTAAAATAATCCTACGATTTACAAAACTCCATTAAATCATTGATTCTATACAGAAATCCGTTACTTCTCCACCAAATGCTTTGTCTTCTTTATTATCTATGAACAATTATCTTGAGAAATGTATTGTATATAAAAGTTAATTGAAAATTATTTTTATCCATCTTTGTTATACAGGACAATACACATCAGTGACTGGAGCTGAAACGTTATCGAAGGTTTGCTTAGGATGCATATGCGAAGCTGCATCCGGATGTAATACGACGCTTGGCTGTGACGAGGCTGTTTGTGGACCATTTCGCATAACATGGAGTTACTGGGCTGATGCTGGAAAACCAACCCTTACCGACAGTTCAAGTGATAATGGTTAGTAAATTATTAATGCGAGTACAAAAAAATGATAATAATAAAAATAAATTATTAAATCAAAATACTTGTTTTTTGGAAAGGATATCTACAGTGCGTGAGTGAGCCATATTGTGCGGCTCGTACAGTACAAGGCTATATGGATAAATTTTCTCAGGTATGTATGGTTGCAAATAAATGTATACTATAGGCATTCATGTATAGTTATGTTGTTTTCTTATCATCGTGGCACCTTTTTTTAGGACTGCAACGGAGATGGTAAAATCGATTGTGATGATTTTCTTCGTATTCATCGACTGGGTGGCTACGGATGCAGCGGCCCTTTGAACTCAAAATATGAAAATACATACAAACTTTGCATGCAGACTTTTGCACAGCAATAATTAAGAAATTATTGTAATCCATACATACATATTTTTGCTGTACGTGTTAAGAAACCTAATAAATAATAAAATAAAGTTACATTCCCATTTAGATCTATACATATGTATAAAAATATATATTTTACATGTTATTCATTTAAAACATGACTTTGGACCCATGGAAAATTAACATTTTATCCACAAATTCAGCTCTTCTTTTCAACAATAGTTTTTGCTCGTCCAATATACTACTTGAATCTATATTTTTTATTATAAAACAGTTTATAAATAAACGAAGACTTTCTATGAAAGTTTGCAGCTGAGTGGAAACAGAGATTCTTTCAAATACACGTAGACAAGCCTTTTCGTTTTCATGTAATAAAATTTTCAATATAATTTGTTTAAGAAACTTCATGGTATGTTTGTCTAATTCAGTAAATTGAATAACCTGTAACATAATAATAATCAGTAGTAAAAGATATTTCCTTTATAATTTCAATAAAATGTAATACTTACTTTCAAAATTGATAGAGCAAGGCAGTTTTCAATAAATAAGTAAGTTAAAAAATGTGCTAAATTATTTAATTGTTTGGATTCGTACGTTTCCAATGTTTTCAATTTGTCCCATAATGTGTATTGTATCGTCAGCTGAAATATTAATAAATGTTAGAAATAAACCAGTATGTGTACATATAATTGAAACTATAAAATAATACCTGATATTTTCGGTTATATTCACATAATTTTTGAGCCAGTATCGCATAATAAGGATTGAACTTATTTTCCTGTAAACAACAATGCATTAAAACGTGTATGATTTCGCCTTCTTGTTGGTCTTTTAAGCCAAGATGATGAAGTTTTTCAAATGCATCCAAATAATCTTCGGCTGTTATAAGAATACAGAAAATATTTCTTCTAGTGTCTGTATTCATCCTTTGTTTCTTTGCTAATTCTAATATTTTTGTACCAAAATTGAACTTGTTATGTTTCTTTGTTTCTGTTGAGATATCAATAGTATTTGTTCCAGACCAAGCTGATCCTATAATCCACCATTTTCCATTTTCATCGGCTATAATAAGAAAACAGTTAGATATAATTTATTGACTCCTTATTTATATAAAATATTACCATGCAACAGATCTTCTAGAGTCACATTGAACTGCACTATTGCATTGCCTTTACGTATTACACTTTTCATAATTTTCCTTAAATGTTCCACTTCAAGAGGATCATATTGGGGTATTTTATTAATGTTATTGTTCTTTACTGCTAATAAAATTTCTAACATAAATTTGACTCTTGAGCTGCGAAATAATAATAATTTTGTAAGTAATTACTGTTAACTTTAATTTTTTAATTAGTGAACTTGGAAAGCTTACTTTTCTCCATTCTCATGGCTAGCTTTTTGTTGTAGATCTTTTATAAACTCCTTTAGAGCATTTGGATCATCCTTTCTTAGTGAAAATCCTACTGTTTTTAAAATAAGTAATATCAATTCAATCTCTTTTTCTGTAAATTTGGTTGCAAGTTTATGAAGTATCTGATAGATGAGTTTGTGTCCATACACCTTAAAGTTATACAGATGTGAAAGCATAAGAATTATATTGTCCAATTCCTTATTTTCTACATCTTGCGGCTTTTCTATTATTTCAACAAATGTTTTAACAAGCTTTTCTAAAAAACTGGCACCAACTTCAGTACCAACATTTGCATGCAAAATGGCAATCAACATCATATGTTCGCAAATAAGTCTATTCGGAGTCATTACATTTGTAACTAAACTTTCCAGTGTTAATTTTGATAATACAAGATTCATATTGTTACGGCTGTTTGTCATGTACAATGTTTCTATCTGTAACATGAAAATTATGAGTTAATAAGTATATTATCTGTATGGTAGTAATTTACTTCAAAACACTGAACTACCTGATTACTTATATAATGAATGTTTTGTTCCGTTATTCTATTCAAATAGCCTTTTAACTGTTTTTTTAAGGACTGCAGTTTGTCATTATCTGAATTTATATCAGAAACAACTTTTGCAGCTGGTGGAACATATCTATTAGCATTTCGTATAATATTACCATCTCTATCTCTTTTCCTTCCATAAATATCTTCCCACAAACCATCATTATTATTAATGTGAACATTCTCTTTACTTTGTTCAGGTTTTACCTCTTCAGTTTCTGATACCTCTGAATCAAGTTCAGTTACATTCTCATTTGCAGTAGCTGAGTGGTCATTTACATTTTTATTTTTTTTAATATTATGCAATTCATTTTCCATACAAGTGTTCTCCTGGAGATCTTCTTCAACAGTTTCTTCAAAACTTCCTTCAAATTCATCATCAAATTTGTCTGTTAACAGCTTTTCCTCTGTTTCCACTATATACTTTCTATTTTCTTCTACACAAAAATCCAGAAGATCTGTATATACATTAAGGAGTTTTCATAAAAATAATATCTTAATATCAGGAACAACATGTGATATTTTTCAATAAAACAAAAAGGATACAATCTAAACCATCTAGTGCAAAAGATTTTGGAATTGTCTTCTTTTTTCTTTTATTTAATTTCAACTGCTTCTCCAGTTTTTTAATTATTTTATCCTCTTTCAAATTGGCCTGTTTAAGCGATTCATTTCGTGTATTTGTTTTTCCAAGTTCAACCTTCTTAGTTTTCTTTTTCTGAACAGATTTCTTTTGCACTTCGATGCTAGCCGCGATTTCATTCTTGCAAATATTTTTTTTGCCATGAACTTTAACGATCCTTTCATCTTTGTCACTGCCCGAAACAAGTAACCCTTTTTTCTGCTGGAAATAAATTGCTTTGTTAATCTTCTTCTGTTTCCTAAGCTCTTTTCGTACTTCTTTACGAGATTTAGCCATTAAATTTGAACTAGTATTCTTCGCATTTTTATTTTTCAATTTTAATCGTTTAAACGAGCTCATGTTTTATTCTGCTGAAAAGGTGTAGTAAAATTTTATGCAAAAAATATATTTATATTATATATGTACATATAACTTTTAGCCCTGGTTTTTATCATTTACTTGTGTTACAGACATATGTATATACAATTTATAGAAGTTCTATAAGAATTCACTTTATATATCACACATCTTTACTAAAAATAAATTTACACGCTTAATTGTAACATTTATAACGCACTTGAAATAAATTGCGCTTCGTTTAATCGAAAAAGTTCTAAAATTGTGGCACTACTGACTGTGGCGTATACAGAACGACAGGTTATTTGTTACGGTTAGGTGGAAAGTCAATTTAAATGTTAAAAAGTTGTACACAAACGGTAAAATGAAAATGTTAATGAAGATGTTACAAGGTTCTTCTATAGTTTCTGTTACAAACAGGTAAATAGTAAAAAGATTTTATATTAAAGAATGTTAATTTGTTCAGTTTACTTGTAATATCATTATTTTATGAATCTATTTTATTCATTAAATAGTAATTGTTTTTTACAGTGCAGTACAAAGGAAAGCCTTTCCTTTTTTAAAAAAGTGCCATTTTTCTTCTCATAAGGTTCCTAATAATAAAATAACACGAAGCACAGTAGTTACACCATTTCCCCCGTTAACAAAACCTGTTCCTAATTTACCTAAAGCAATTTATGCTACTACAAAGGAAGAGCATCATGTTACTAAAGTAACAGTTTTATCAAATGGACTAAGAGTTGCTTCTGAAAATCGGTTTGGCCCATTTTGTACAATAGGTGGTAAGTTGAAAGAATTTTTAAAAAAAGCTTTAAACAAGTTTTAAAACTTATTCATGTTGAAAAAACATTATGTTACAGTAATAATTGACTCTGGTCCTCGATATGAAGTCGCATATCCTAGTGGTATTTCTCATTTCCTAGAAAAACTGGCATTTGGAGTAAGATTTTTATGATACATTGGAAAGTTACTATTCATAGAATAAAAAATAAAATCAATAATTTACTTTTACAGGCAACAAAAACGTATGAGAATAAAGATCAAGTGCTGCTTACCTTAGATAAACTTGGAGGGATATGTGACTGTCAAGTAGGAAGAGATACATGTACTTATGCTGCATCAACAGAACATCGTGGATTAGATAAAGTGGTACAAATTTTAGGTGATATTGTTTTAAGGCCTAAAATTACACAAGAGGAGGTAAATGCTGCTAGACAAATGATTTCCTTTGAATTAGAATCTTTACTTACAAGACCAGAGCAAGAACTAATACTCACAGATATGATTCATGCTGTAAGTGTAATGAAAAAAATATTTTTTTAAATATCAGATGCATATATCTGAATAAATATATTTTTTTAGGCTGCATATAGAAATAATACTCTTGGTCTTCCAAGGATTTGTCCAAAGGAAAATATTGATGTTATAGATAGAAAAATATTATTTGAATATTTGAAACATCATTATACACCAAGTAGAATGGTAGTAGCTGGTTGTGGTGTAGAACACGAAGATCTTGTCTCGGCAGTTCAAAAGTACTTATATGTAAAACTTAAATATTTACTACCATAAATCACAATTTCAAGATTGTTACTGATTAAAAAATTAAGTTACATATTTGTCGTATAAAATCTTAAATAGTTAAATGAAGTTTATTATTGCTGTTGCAGATATTTTGTTGATGAAAAGCCTATTTGGGAAGAAGAGCAAGGAACAAGCAAGAGTACTTTAAATACCGTGGATGCATCAATTGCTCAGTATACTGGAGGTTACATGCTAGTAGTTATCTTCTAATCGAATTAAATACAGAAAGATATCCTAAAAAGTTACTGATTTTTATAACTTTGTTCTAAAATTTTATAGGAAGAATGCAATATACCCGTATACGTGGGACCAAGTGGTCTGCCAGAATTGTCGCACGTAGTGATAGGTTTGGAGGCCTGTTCCCATGAGGATCCAGATTTTGTACCACTATGCGTTTTGAATATGATGATGGGTGGTGGCAATAGTTTCAGTGCCGGAGGTCCAGGAAAGGGCATGTTTACTCGTTTATTTCTAAACGTACTTAACAGGTAAAATATAACATTTTTTGTTCTCTGAAAAATTAGAATATCATTGTAAAAAAATTATTTTGTAGGTACCATTGGATACATAGTGCAGTTGCGTGTAACCACGTATATATCGACACGGGGCTGTTTTGCATTCATTCATCTTGTACACCATCTTATGTCAAGGATATGGTTGAAGTGATTATACATGAAATGGTTTCTATGGCAAATTGCATTATGGACAGCGAACTAGCGGTATGGTTTTTTATTTGTAATGTTTGTTGTTTTATCATTTTAATTGGATAATCTTTGAATAATACAGAGAGCAAAGAAACAACTACAGTCCATGGTATTTATGAATCTGGAAACAAGGCCTGTTATGTTTGAAGATATTGGGAAACAAGTTTTAGCTATTGGATACAGAAAACGACCAGAATATTATATAGAAGCAATTGGTAAGTTACCTATTGATGAAAAGTATTGATGAAATATCATGCATAACATAAAAGTAGGATTTTTCATTATTTTTGCTTCGATTGCAGATGCAGTATCGAGAGAAGATATAAAAAATGTAGTACGTCGTTTGCTTAAATCACCGCCTAGCGTTGCAGCTCGAGGAGAAATAAAAACCCTTCCTTCGATCGGGGACATTCAAGCTGCATTGATTGACGAACAAGGCCGATTACCTGGTTCTCGTAGTAGACTGTCTCTTCTCCGCTAAAATTTTTGAAAATTATTTAATTTAATTTAATTTATTCGCATTAAATGAAACAATTCCTTTGTATATACAAAAAGTAAAGATAAAGAGAGCAAATCAATAACATATAAAATAGAAAATTAAACGAATAAAAAACAAACTGAAGTAAATGAAATAATTAAAATATCTAAGTATCAATATGTAAAGGCTGTTCTGAAATTTACAAATAAAATCCAGAAAAAAATTATTTGCTTATAAGTGTTTACCGTTTACGGAACGAGTCATAAGCCGGTGATACAAATTCAATGAATAAGTGATTTATTATTTATTTTTGCGTTCTTATAAAACATTTTGTTTCTATTAGGGGCTGACACTAATTTAGTTTTGTAGTCCTATACATATATACATTGACTTTGCATATCGATTGCTGATATTGTCCATTTTATTCTCAGAATACTTGGCTATCAAAGGAATAACTCCCTAGAATAATTTTTTTCTTTAGAGAGAAAGGGTTAAAACACATTACATTTATAATATTCATGACAACCATACGTTATATTTTCAATGTTTTATAACTTATAACGTTCGGTTTCAATAAATTGTTACCCTATGTCAATTATACATTCATTTGTTAATATAATGTAAAAACTGTAGAATTGTTGTTAAAAATTTTTTACTTTCGTACCAAAATGTTCTCTGTGTACGTTCTACACATCCATGATGGAAAACGACTTGTACAGTGTAAGCAAATATTTATATTGACAGAGGTATGTGACAAGAAATTCAAGCCTCCACTTCTTCCAAAGTTTTAAGGAAGGATGCTTTCTTTTGAGCGACGCGGTTCTTCCTTTCTGACAAGGAAAGTTTCGCACGATTCCATCGCTTTTTAACAGGTGCTTTTTCTCTAGTGGCCTTTACGTGTTCCGGATTTGTACGTATAGCTTCATGTGCATTTTTATAAATGCCTTCAATCTGTTAACAGAAATTATAATATCAGTAGATAAATAAAATGAACATCATAAATAAAAAAATAAAAAAATAAAATGTAACAGAGGTTAATGTGAAAAATGCGACGATTCATGCATTTATTTCGCAAAACCAATGCATTTACTATTGTCCAACTGCGACACTGCAGAGATTGCTAAATCAGGCAGTAATTATAAGTCGGACGACTGACGTTATGCGAATAAAATATATAAGGACTTACACTATCGGCAGTAATACCATTCTTGATGTATTGTGAAAACTGTCGTTTAAAAGCTTCATCATCCTCTTCTTCTAATGTTTTCATATAATTTGCAACATGTTGTCCGAAAATATGTTGTCGGTGAACATCGGCGTTAAAAGATTTAGATTCACTATCATATCCAGGGAACCTTTTGGTGCTATCAAAAAACAAAAGAAAGTTACAAATTAGATTTAAAGATAATTTTTATACAATTTTTATGGTGAGTTATACAATATCAGAGACACCTTTTATAATCTTTTAAATGTAAGCAAAAACCTGACATTATACTGTAGAACACAAATAAGTCTTGCCTTGCCAACTCAGATGACGCGCATGTGCCATGAATTCATCATATTATTTAATACTGATAATACTTTGCAATATTCTTAAATTAATTATTAATAAAATACCTATGAGGAATGTTTAAGCCACCATCCACAGCACCTTTCATGGCACCAAAAACTCTAGCACCAGTAGTTGTACGCATAAGACCAGTATCTAAATAACATCTGAATGCACCAGGACCTTTATCTAGTTCTTCAACATTATATTCATCACCAGTTACTTCTGTTGTGCCTGTATACAAAGTATCTAGACCCAACTTTTTCAACAGCTGTTAAAAAGATATAAAATCATGTTATCACTAGTACAAAACAATTGATTATGTTTAATTTTATCAATTAATATTCAGAGTTATAAAATAGGGAACAACTGATTTTCTTCAGTTATGCATCAAAGCGAGCTGAGACTTTCATCATTATATAGAGACATACATGTACAAATAAAGCATATAATGAAAAAATAATGTAATATAAAAATGCTTACTCTTCGAGCTAACAGAAGACCTGTACAATATGCTGAAGCATAATTTGTAAGACCAACTTTAACACCATATCTTGGAAGTTCATGGCTATATGCTGCACATACAATCCTGTCTCCTTCAATTCTGGAATATGCCACCTACACGTATATATATATGCACACTAGAATTAAGTAATGTAACTAAGATATATAAACATCATATTAAGATTTATTTACCTGACAGGTAATATCCTTATTGGACAAACGTACTACTAGCCTGTACTTAGGAGTATTGTATTTATTTTTATCCTGAATTGTTAGTCGTTTGCGAGCATAATAATCAGTCTTTCCCTCGCGTCGCCTCTTGAACTTAACTTGATAACGTTTGAAATACTGCTTGTTTTTAACAACTTTTACAAAACCCTAAAAGTAACATGTACAATCTGAGACTGAGGGGGTATTTTTATATTCTTATTTCTTATAAAAAAGAACAAAAATTTAATAGAACTTTGTTAATAAATTACACCTATTAATTTCTATTATCATGCTTGTACCGTACACGTCGCTTTATGAATCCAATTGAATAATATGCATCTGGCACTTTTATTCAAATTAAAACATTTATATGAATAATAGAAAATTTAATCTATCAAATTATATCAATCATAATAAATTTTACTTACCATTTTATTGAAAAATCTGATAAAACGATTAGACGAAACAACCTCCTCCAACGTTCCACGCTCTAAAGGGAAGTCTTCAGCCTTCCGGTCGTGATGGAACGCTTGTTACGCCCTCACGAAACCCAACGTAATTAAAGACCCTAGAAATCCAATCTAGTTTATTTTTCATAAAATACCTATATCTCTAATATATCAATATCTATATATACCGCAGTTTACCAGAGTCCATAACTGCGAAAAGACCAGTTTTCGTTCTTTGCACATCTCCAGTACGCATCTTCGCCCTGATTGGCGATACTCCCAAACGAAGTGGAAAGCGATTAGCAGAGAGCTCGCTGCGTTCCCCCACCATCTTCCAACCTGCGCGTCGCAGTTATGGACTCTGGTGAACTGCGGTATATATAGCTTTCAAGTTTGTAAAATATTATAATAAATTATAAATTATAAATAAAGAAACTAAATTTAAATCTTATAATTTAAACTGTCCTTTTTTTATCAGAGATCATATATACATTTATATTTTATACAATACGAAGTTCAATTTATTTAAAAATTTATATAGATTTGTTATAATACATGTCTAGAAGAACAAAAATATCACATATTTTAATTAAGAATAAAGAAATTAGAAGTTAAACTATATTATACAGAAAAATTACAAAATAAAGAAAAGGTATTTTCTTTATTTTATTTAAACAAAATTAAACATTTTATCCTTTAAATATATAGATGCAAAATATACATAGTACATTTTTCAACTTTTTATCTCTTCGCCAACTTCTGTTCCCCAATCACTCAAATCTTCATCCCAACCATTATTTTCTTCCATAGTTTCGACCTCATTTAACGTTTTCATGTCAAACACACTTTTCGATGGTTGCTGTACATGCAAAAATTGCGTTTTCTTTATTATAGGTTCCATATCTGTAAAATAATCGTACTCATCCTTGGAACAATTTGATAATTTCGAATTCTTGATATCAAGTTCTGAAATATCAGATAAAATACCTAACTTCTTTATAGCTTTTGAATCTACTGTTTTTGTTACATTTGTATTTAGTACTGTATCTTCAATTTCCGGTGTTGAATTTAAAATTAAAACATCATTAGACTGACAGATTGTTTCAGAGGATGATAGTGAAATACGAGGATGCGTGTCTCCGGCAGTACTCTCTTGTACGTCCCAGTCAGACCACGTATACTCTTCTTCTATAATTGATGAAACAATCTCTTTTTTATCCTCTCCTCCATCTGGCGAAGGTCTTTCAGGTAAATTAACTGTTTTCTCTATTGTATTAATCGAATTCGTAAATTCATTTGTATCTATATTACTCTTATCCTTATCCTTTACTTTTTCTTTCAGTTTATTTGGTCGTCCATCCGTAAACAGTTTTCCTCTCTTTCCACCAATTACAGTGGCTGCACCAAGAATTGGAACTATATAAGCCAGTGCTTTTAATGTTGCAGACACCAACTGATCATTGGTATCTTTGATCCCAACAAGTAATTCAGGAAGTACTTGAGATTTTAATTCATCTACTTGAAATGCATGCACAAACGAATTGAAATGAGATAAAAGTACTAAACGAATTGATAAATCTCTTATACAAAACATCTGTAACAATTTAGGCACCAAATGGACTTTAAACGTTGAAATTGTAAATAAATTATTATCTGTACCGTCTTTTCGATCTGTAAAAAAAAGAATATAACTTTTAATATGAACTTTTAACGTAAATTAAACATAGAACAATATTAAAAATCTTTTACCCCTTGGTTTTAAAATAAAAGGTAGAAGTTTCTCTTGTGCTGTTGAATCTAATAAAACTATTCTTGAAAGTAATAATCGTCCTAACTGTTCTGCAACAATATTTTCAGGAAATGTTCTCAGTTGTGTTATTAATGTTCTGTAATATGATAAAATGTTTTCAATAATAATTTACAATTTTTTAATGACAAGTATTTGCTTTTGTCAAAAATGTTTACCCAAAAAACATTTCTTTTTCCTGATTATTCTGTAAGGGTAATTCTTCTAGAAACGCATATATTTTCATGAAATCATGAGTGAAAAATGGGTGTAGAAGTACATTTGACAACTTGCTTCTTAACTCTGGATCTGAATTCTGCAAATTTTCCTTGCAAAATTGTTTAAATTCTAAGAGGCCTGGAATATCTTCTGAAATTATATAAAGTTGTTAAGTCTACTCTTTATCATTTTTTTGGCATATAATAAATATTAATTTACTTATATAATTTACCTGAATCTTTAAATTTTAATATGTCTTCTGCTAAAACTCCAAATGCATACGCATCAATTGCTGTAAAATTTGTAGGTACAGCTGTTATATCTTCATTAGGAGACACCGCTCTTTCGTACCTGTAACTTCTTATCTTTTTTAAATAAGAAGAAGTTAACTCTTTAGATTTACATATACATTCTAATCCACCAAGTTTCCAACATCCTTCTGGTGTAACATAAATAGAACTTCCACAAATATTATTGTGCGATATAAATGCTTTTTCATGAAGAAAAACCAATGCACGTAGAATGCTATATAAACCCATACATATTTGCAATGTATTTTGTGTTTCTATCGATTGAATTAATGGTCTAACTTGTTCGGTAGTTAGGAAAAATTTACTGCCTTTAAACCATGAAGAAATATATTTTAATATACAAGGATGCCTATATAACATCAGGTTCTGGAAAATATATTTGGTACGGTTATAAATATAAATTATTTAGTTAATTAAAATAATATTATAAAAATACGATGTAGAGCTCATATTATTAACTCGTACATGTATTTATGTCTGTAATCCTATCATATACGGGGTAATCAAAAAATTAACGTTAACCTTTGCTGCTTTCTCTAAAGGAGAAGGATTTCCAAAATTTGCATTATAATGTAATGATGGTTCACTGATAAATACAGAGACTTTTTCAGCATTATAATCATTTATATGGGCTGTATAATGTATCCAAAAATCTGTTATTTCCACAGATTTCTCGTCAATTTCCAGCCCGCTAGGGGCACTTTTTTCATTCCCCATTAATCTTTTTATTTCTTTGGTAAGGATTCGTTTTCACAGAACAGTCATTAAAAATAATAAACTAGTAATAAATTCGTATTATTTATTAAAAGAAATTGTCTAAAAGATGTATTATTTATTTCACGATCATTTAAAATTGACTGTTACTTTGTGTTACTTCACAAGCATCAACCATTACAAATTCCGTTCGGCCATTTTTAATCTGTCTACTGTGAAACGATAACATTACTCCCCTCATGTTCTATATGATTTTAGCGCCATTGTCAAATTTGATGCGAGCGTCGAGGCTGAACTTCGAATTCCGCGTCGGTAAAACAGTCAACGTTTCATCGAAAATTAGACCGAACAGAAACTGATTTAAGCGCCACCTCAATTATCGCATGCTATCAACTAACGGCATGCTATGCTACGTCACCTTTCGCATGCACCTAAATGACCGAAAATACTTTTCTGAATTTAAACTATTGTTTCCCAATTAAAAAATATATAAATCTTTTTATAGTAGCTCTTAGCTTGATATCGCTTTCTAAAAGTTATCTTTAGAAAACGATATCAATTACCAGGTCACACCACGTGGAGGTGGCTACGTTAGTGACCCACCCTAAAATCATAAGAACGTGAAACCATTCAAAACAGACAACATAAAATAAAAATTTAAACAATACAATCTTGAAATAGAAAATAAAATTAACATCCTAATATCAGAAACAATTGAGAAAATAATAATAATTTAACAATAAAATGCTGTAACGGAAAACATAATTATTAGGATTAGAGATACAATAACGTGAAACCATTCAAAACATACAACATAAAATAAATATTTAAACAATACAATCTTGAAATAGAAAATAGAATTAACATCCTAATATCAGAAACAATTGAGAAAATAACAATTCAACAATAAAATGCTGAAATAGAAAATAGAATTAACATCCTAATATCAGAAACAATTGAGAAAATAACAATTCAACAATAAAATGCTGAAATAGAAAATAGAATTAACATCCTAATATCAGAAACAATTGAGAAAATAACAATTCAACAATGAAATGCTAAAATAGAGAATAGAATTAACATCCTAATATCAGTAAAAATTAAAAAATAATTCAACAATAAAATGCTGAAATACAAAATATAATTAACATCATAATTTCAGTAAAAATTAAAAAATAATTCCACAATAAAATGCTGAAATAGAAAATATAATTAACATCATAATTTCGATTACAACTGAAATGAAAAATGCTGAAACAGAATATATAATTACCATTACAATCTCAGGGTAGGTTTTAAATAAATAGAACATAATTAAAATAAGAACATGAAATATAATTCAAAAAGAAAAGAATAATTTATTTCAATAAAGCAATAAACGAAAAAGAAATAGGGGAAATAAAATCGCGAGTTGACCATACAACGAGCTGGGTATTGAACTCGTAAAATGTCGAGTTCAATACGTCCTGGACGGTATTATTCATACCGTTCAAGGAAAAACACAAAAAATGAAAAAACAAATTAGTGAGCATAGTGACAGAATGACTGTCCATCCGAAGATGGAGAGCCATTAGTAGTTCCCCTCTTCTGGGCAAATTTTGCCGGGGCTCTTCAGCATATAGCCTCTTCTTTCTTCGGCAATAGCCTCACAAAAATCACTCGCGAAAATTTTAGGTTTGCTCAGACATTTGTAAAAACGTAACACGTAAACGAGCAACGATCCCTTGAATCGCTACTCGCATACCTGCACAATTTTTGCAAATGTCCAAGCACAAAACACTTTTTAATTTCACTTCACTTCACTTCACTGCACTTTCACTTTAATACTTCATTTTTGTAATCGGGTCTAGTACCACGACTACGACTCACAAACTAATAAGGCTTGGCCTTGAAAAAATCAAGAGAGAATGCTAAATTAATTAATTAATCAACTAATTAATTTGCATTTTCATTTTTCCTCTCGATTTTTTAATTTCCAACCCCAGATACAAGCTTCTCACGTATTAGAGGAGAATACGAAGAGAAACATGAAAGCTTGCTCTGGCCCTGCCTACTTATAAACTAAACTCAATCACACCAGAAGTAAACTACCTGCCTGCTTATCGCTATATTTAAAAAAGGGCAAAAATCATTCTCACAAAAATTCACTCCACGGTTCTCATACAACCACCCGGGTGCAAAAATGCCTACACCTAGAGAGAACGTCCCGGGACGCCTCCGACACCCGAGTTCAATTCAACTTTCACACTCTAATAAAATCATACCTTTTTTGCTGAAATCGACTGACAAATAATAGTGAACATTATGCTAAAGTAACACATTTCATTTTCGTATTCTATTGAATTATGTAATGTAAAAATTTTTCAATTTATTCTTGATAAGTATTTTGTAATAGTAAGTTAAGATTGTTAATAAACGATACAAATCCCACATCCTAACCACACACACACATGTGGAACTTCTATCGTGGTTCACTATTGGTTCACTACTTTTGTCAGTCGCCAAAACACTTAAAACTAAACCTTGTCCACCGCCCTCCACCCACGCGAGTACATCTAAGTACCCGAATGAGCTTTGGGCATAAAAATGAACAAGGCCAAAGGTATTTTCACCTACCAGTTTTCTTCATGTGTGCTGAAATGCCTAAGCTAAAACGTATGATTAGCAAAAACTAAAGATGATATTCTCACTTTATTAAAAGTAAGAATATCGGCGAAATTTCGCGGCTCCGATTTAGTATATGGGCTGGCCCCCCAGGGGGGTTTATTTTTAATGAAAGTGACTCGACTTTGCAAATATAAACCTTGAAGAGCAAATACAGAAAAGCAAAATTGAGCAACTATGACATAAAACATGGTGCACTGCTAATATCAGCTGGCAACGAAGGGTCTCACGCCCCCTAGACTTACGCCAGACGCTACATACCACCCACCCCGCCTGGACGTCGTAACGCCAGGACAGGATGCACCCCTTCGCTAAGAGCGCTACCCGCCCGTCCAACACGTTGCATCCAACGGTGTCAGATTGACGGACGCTCATAGTATAGACAAAAGGACTACAGTTTAGAATATGGTAACACATTTTCATATGTTCCGTATTCTAAAGCTGCGCCTGCAAAGGTCCAGTAATGCATGGGTTTATCTCCCATGAGATGATGTTCACGGTCTTATGCCGCGGAATCCTTGTAACTAATTTGATTAAATAAATAATACATTGGATTGAGTTTAAAAACCAAAAGGATTCCCACCGAATACTAGTCAGTGCAGTGTCATATTTACTCTCGCGTTGGAAATTTTTCGCAACACTAATTAAAATAGAAAATCCTGATCTAAAAAGATGACTAGTACTTAAACATCTAACGGGCTAATATTTCACTATACTGATGAATGATGAGTGTGAATGATGAGTGTTTAGGGTCGAGAACCGTGAACGTGACAGAATGAATTTCAAGTACGAAAGAAGACCTATATAGAATGCTTGAAGAGCAAATACTGAAAAGCAAAATAGAGCAAGTATGACGCAAAAACGGTGCACTTCTAATATCAGCTGGCAACGGAGGTTTTCGGGCCCCCTGGACTTACGCCCGACGCTACATACCACCCACCCCGCCTAGGAAAGGATGCACCCCTTCGCTAAGAGCGCTACCCGCCCGTCCAACACGTTGCATCCAACGTGTCAGATTGACGGACGCCCATAGTATAGACAAAAGGACTGCAGTTTATTAAATGGAACATATGGATGTGCGCCACATTCTAAACTGCGCCTTGAAAGGCCTAGTAATGCATGGGTATATCTCCCAGAGATGGTGTTCACGGTCTTATGCCGCGGAATCCTTGTAACTACTTTGATTAATTAAATAAAACATTGAGTTCAAAAACCAAAAGGATTCCCACCGAATACTAGTAAGTGCATCGTCATAGTTACTCTTGCGCTGGAAATTTTTCGCAACACTAATTAAAATAGAAAATCCTGATCTAGCAACATGACTAAAGGGGAGCTTTAAATTATGCTTGAAGAGCAAATATGGAAAAGCAAAATAGAGCAAATATGACTCAACATTCGTCCACTGCTAATATCAACTGGCAACGGAGGTTCTTAGGCCCCCTGGACTTGCGCCCGACGCTACATACCACCCACCCCGCCTGTTTAAGGCTCTAGGCCCAGGCAGGGTGCACCCCTTCGCTAAGAGCGCTACCCACCCATCGAACACGTTGCATCCAACATGTTCGAGTGGTGGACGCCCATAGTATAGGCAAAAGGACTTTAAGACAGCTTAGCGTATGGGATGCAACATACTTAAATGTTCCGTACTCTATGGCTGTGCCTGAAAAGGCCTAGTAATGCATGGTTTTATCTCCCATGAGGTGGTGTTCACGGTCTTATGCCGCGGAATCCTTGTAACTAATTTTATCAAATAAAAACCAAAAGGATTCCCACCGAATACTAGTCAGTGTATAGTCATATTTACTCTCGCGCCGGAAATTTTTCGCAACACTACTTAAACTTGAAAATTCTAACGGGGTAATATTTACTCTCGCGTTGAAAATTTTTCGCAACACTACTTAAACTTGAAAATCCGAACGGAATAATATTTACTCTCGCGTTGAAAATTTGTCGCAACACTACTTAAAATTGAAAATCCTAACGGGGTAATATTTCACTACACAAGCGTATGCGGGTGGATAAATGATTATGTGATTGAGTTCGTGAGGCTGAAGTGCGAATGATGAGTGTTTAGGGTCGAGAACCGTGAACGTGACAGAATGAATTTCAAGTTCGAAAGGGAACTTTATACAATGCTTGAAGAGCAAGTACTGACCTCCCTGGGGGCCAGTCCATATACTAAACTAATGCCAATTTCACGAGTAAAATCAGAAAAACGTTTCAATTTCAAGAGCGTTTTCGTTATCAAAGTAAGTAGTTATAATAATTAATAGTATTCATGCTTATTACTTTGATATTGAAATCCGCTCATCGCGAAATAAATTCTTGTACATATAAAAAAGAAAGTGTATTGTGAATTCGGAGGGTCATCCGACTTCTCTACATTTTTAAACTCGAAATCTATATATGCAAATATGTACAAGAAAACCCTATCCTGAGCTAAGGCATAAAATATACAAAAAAGCAATTTGCACGATTATCATTGTATAAAATGATACAGTGATATTCGTGTGTCACTATGCTCGCTCAAAAAATAAAAATTACAACCAATTCCCGTGTCGCTACGGACCATTCGTCCTACGACATGATGGGAACCGGAGGAACTTTAAAGCATGCGACTCACCGATCGTTGACTTGCACCACTGCACTCGCCACGCATCCATAGCTCGATTGTTGGCTCGTCAAAGAAACGGTACCTCCACTGGCCAAAGCACTCATCTGAAAGCACAAAAATCACGATTCTTGAACGATATATGTTTTCTCTCAATTTGTTGTAGTTAATATGTTGATACATAGGATAATTCAAAAATATGCATGCAAAACTAAATGGGAATAACTACACCATAAAACACGGTAAAACACATGCAAGTACATCCCAAAACACTCGAAGATCAAAACCATAGAACACTATAAAATATTTGCAAAATTATAGTAAAACACATAGGGTACCACTCCATAAAACCCACTAATAAATCCGTAAATATATGGCCAAAGCACAAAGGAAACCACACCATAAAACACAATAAAGTACATGCAGGTACATGGGGTACCACACCACACAGCACACTAATGCACTTGTATAAAAATGTCAGAACACATGGGTGACCACACCATAAGTCGCACTAATATACCCGTACAAATATTCCAAAACACATGGGAAAGACTATAGGAAACACCATAGGCACACACAGTAACACTTGAGGTAACACACTAATAAATCCATGCACAAATATCCATGGTGTCAACCCGTACCGGTATATGTTTGACAGCTCGATCCGTATCCTTCGGCGGTCGCGATAAGAGTGATTAGATTTGACCCCTCTCTAGGTCGCGCTTGTACTGGCGCGCTGCGCGCGCAATCAAGCATGACGTTCCGCTTCACCGGTTCCGCGGCCGCGCCGAGCGGTTAGATTTAACTATTTCTATCTGATATTTGTTAATATTTGTTTAATTATTATTTTATATTTTGCAATTGTTTATTAATCAAATTATTGTTATATCTATTTAAATTGTTTATTTCTTTACATTTCCGCGTGGGTATATTGCAAAATTTTGTTTAATTATTCTATTAAAAATTATTTAATTATTTAAAATGTTTGTTAGTGGTTTTATTTAAATTTCTATCACCAATTACGCTTTGGTGTGATATTATTCCTAATCGATACAGTAGGATGATACAAAACAGACGAGGGGTCTGTACAACCCTTCAGTTTGGCTGTGCCTGGACACACGTGGTTGCTATGATGATGTTTAACCCCTTTGGAACAAATATACGTTCATCTTTGAAATATAATCGTAGTTTTAATTTTACTCCCACATTTGATACATATATATTTCTACAAAGATGATACCGAGGAAAGCTTATTCAGAAACTACACAATTAGAAGATGAAGAACCATCTATTTTATCTTCTGATCCAAATGAGCGGAAATTGGCTCGTAGACTTCGAATTAATCGACGTCGAGAAGCGCAAATTAGGTACGGAAACAAGTTATTTTGCAATGCCAGATTTAAAGTTGAATGCGTAATAATATTTTATATGAAAATTTTAAAATATTCGACTTTTAGAAAAACTAAGGCTCTTGATGAAGAAATTATAGAAGAAACCCCTATTGAAAAGCAAATCCTTGATGGCATAGAAGCTTTAGAACAATTGGCTTCAGAAGGAGATGAAGTTGTAGGTGCAATTTGAATGCTTTAAACAAATTACACCGGATATTATTAATATTTTCCTTAAAATAATGCCTTAAAATATTTCCTTAAATCCAATATATTATCATAAAGTATACATATTGTTCTTAAATCTATGTATAACTACAACATATTTACAGGTTTGTGGTGTAAGGGTAGCATGTGATGCAAAAGAGTTGCAAAGAAGAAAGGAAATGAAAGAAACAAGAGAAAGATTGTTAAAAATGCTCGAAGAGGAGGACAAAAATTGCATGCAGAAATATCGTGAGATTACTGAAAAGTGGCCTAGTATTGTTGCATCCAAGGACCCATTAGACATTCATAATGAATTGGAGGCTCAAAACGTAAAGTGCAATGAAATCCTTGAGAAAAAAGATGCCTTAATCGCGCAACTGAAGCAAGAATTGGAGAATGCAGATATAAAATATGAAGAGGACGTGAAGAATCAGAACGCGGATATTGATTTGCTTATAGAAAGAATGGAGAACCAAGTTAGCATACAACATTTCTTTTTCCATTTTTAGCATACAACATTTCTTTTTCCATTTATTCGTTTACCTGCTTTATAATGTAATTTCGTACAGGCGCGTACAATGGCTAAAGCATATCGTTACGAATTAAATTTGATCGAAAATGTAATCGATTCGGAGCGGAAGATAGCTATAAAAGCCTCCACTGAAAAATGGGAAACTTTGTACAAAAAGCTTCAAGACGACACGGTTGAAGCGAGGGAACAGAAAAAGTTGATAACGCGCGAGTACGAAGAAGCTATGAAGAAAGCGATCATAGAACACCAAGAGGAATACAGGAAACAAAAGATTTCGTTCGAAATGGAAATACAAAATCTTCAGCAACAGATTCAAACTATGAAGACTGCGTGTTTAATGAACGTTGAGAAGTTGGATTATAATTACACCGTGTTGAAGCATCGAGAAGAAGAGAATCTAATTGTGAAGAATCAGCAGAAACGAAGAATTAATAAGTCTATAACATTACATATTAATTTAATGCTTATTAGTCTACAGTATAACAATTATTTAACATATTGACTAGATAGTAATGATAATGTTATAATACTAATTATTGATAATGCGAATATTTATTCCAGACTTCAGGATGTATTAAATGATTTAAAGAAAACATACGCGGGCTTGGAAGAATCGACAAGGTTGGAGATCCAGAAGCTCACTAATCAGATATTGAAAGTACACAAAGCTATACAGGAGTTAGAAGAGAAGTCTGATCAGCTTGCAATCATAAACGATACAAAGTATATGCAAATCTGGGATCTAAATATCGAAACCGCGAATCAATTAGTCGACAAGGTAACAACTAACGACGTGTATGTAACGAAGATCGTTTCTTTTTAATTAGTGTATTTTAGATTTTATCAGCAGATAGAATCATACACGAACAGTTACTGGGAGTGGAATGGCAACCACCGGAAGAACAATTATTAAAGAAAGAAGATTTGGTATCGTACTGTGGAGCGATGTGCGCCATAAAACAGAGTAATATTTTGTAAAACGATGCTTATATACAAACTTTCTTGTAAAATATGTACACTAGATAAACAATATAATTTTCTATTCAAGAGAAAGAAGAAGCCAAGAATAGGAAAATGATTTCTAAGTCGTACAAGCCACCAATCACTCTGGAAGAAATCAATTTAGAGCGAAGTCTACTGAATCATATTGCTAAATTAATTTCCAATCATTGTGACTATATGATTGAGTATACTTTGAAAGATCTACTTTCTGATTACACAGAAGACGATAAGTTACTAATTCGATTGGACAAAATATTTGATGTAATTTTTCTTGAATAAGTAATTATAATGTTGTTAGATAAAATATGAAAAGATTTGTATTTTCAGGCATTGAAAATTACATCTGAGCAACAACTTCAATTTTTGTTGAATTTCTTTTTACCATATGCACACTGTCCTATTTGCAAAGCCAAAAATATACCAAGGGTTTGTGGAGTATCCAGTGAAACCACAGAAAGTTCATCGTCCACGTGAGTGTGTAAAATATCTACCCTAGAAGAGATGTATCAGCTTCATTTAAATTGCAACATTATTAATAAACATAAAATCTTTAGGAGTACGTTACCTGATGTTTGCGGCAGCACCGAACTTAACGAGGAAGAAGGTAAACTGGTGGCTGCAATGGAAGGCGCATTTTGTTGTGATAAATCACAGAATGATGATAACACAATTGTTACAAGTAGTTGTACTCCAGAGTCTTCGTCGTCGACCGAAACACTTCCTGAAAATGGACAAATTGTGTCAACTTGTGTGGGTGAAGGTGTTGTAGAAGTCATTGATGGTATGTGACAAAGATTAGTATACTTACATGAATCGTGAAGAGAAAATATTATTTTTTCTGAAAATGCAGAGAAAATATAACGGTTTAATCATGTTGATTTATTACTTTTATACGGTGTTTTCAGCAAGTGGTAAACCAAAACGGCAATTAGTTTGCGACAAAGGTCACTTGTTGGTAATTGAAACCGAATTCGTTTCGAACGCGTTAAAAGATTTCGTGAAAAGATACGAATTCGTTAAACAAGATGAAGCCTCGTCTGACGATTCTAAAATATTAAAAGAAAAAGAAACGGTATCGAGAAACATAACGGACGAGGATATAATAATGTTTTGGGACCGATATAGAGATATGTTTTCGGAGGACAGAGAAAGATTATGGGACAATTTATTTGTTGGTCTTAAAAAGTATTATGATATATTAAAAGAGAGACATGAATTAAATGTTGAAACTGAATCTTTGCGGAGACAAAATTCAGAATTGCGTCGATTACTAGAGAAATACGAGACAGAGATGGCATTGAATGATGAATAAAAAATTTGAAAATAAATTGAAAATGATATGGAACTCTTGATATAAATTACAAGGTTCACGGAGACGTAATTTATTCAGAATTACAATATTATATATTTTTCCATTAACTTTTAAATGGACATATATACATTCATACAATATCAGTGCCTTCTTGCACTATTTTAACTAATGGCCTGTTTACTTCATTCATATTACATTATAAATAACTAGCGCCAAGAATAAGGTGTATACTTCACAAACCGAGTAAACGATGCGTGTTTTATGAACAAAGATTACAAGTGGTATTACGTGTATACCTAGAGGATTCAGTACTTTTAATCAAATCGATTTAATGAAAAATAATGATTCTAGAATTATTCTTTTAATCTTTTCTAAGAATAAAACATTTACATTTGAATGGTTTATACATGTATTAAAATAGATGTATTCATTTAGTTGCACTTCTATACGTAATTTTTGAAACCTCCTGGTATAAAGTTGTTCGACAGTAATTAAATAAAATTCTTAGGATTTATACCATTCTTAGGTTTTTTCCAGTATGAGAAAACCTTTTTCTTTTTTATAGTTCTAACTTGATTCAATTTGCTAGTGTGTCTTTTCGATGTTATATGCTGTAATATAACATTATATTATTAACTGATTAATAGTAGTTATTCTTGTAGTGGCAAATGTAACATACCACATTGTATTGTGCTGGAGAGTTGAAAATTTTATTGCACATGTTACACGAAAGTGACGTGCTTTTAGATCCCGAGTTTTCCTGGACATTCATAGTAGTTGATGTCATTGAATTGCCAAATTCTTTGCCATCCCACTCACCTAAGCATCAATGTGCGGTCAATACTATCTATGTATCACAACCGCTGATGCGGTTAAATGTGATAATAAATCAGCTTGAACACTACATTCATGCTATGGGAAAAATAAACATTAATATAAACAATTCTAACAAAAGACGTCATTATATAACTTTGAACATGCACATGTATATGTGTGTAAACAATTTTACTTTTTTAAAATAAACAAAATGCATCTTTTAATCATTTTATTCGTGTAAACTATCTTATAAAAATTCTACTAAATAATAGAACAAGATACTGATAATACAATTTTTCATTATCGAAAAGATTCGATACCGGATGTAACAATCGAAATATCGATCAAGATTTCACTTGTTACAGAAACTTACGGACGTGGAATAAATAAAATAAAATAGAAAATACAGAAAAAAAGATGTGTATTTTACATATCTGCAAAGAATTTAACAAAACAAAAGTCAAATGTCCTCCCGAGCTATATCAATATAACTGATTGTAATGTGTAACTAAATAACTCGTGATCAAGTTATACTTTTACGATAATCTGCTCATAAATAAATAATATATGTACAATTGTTTCCTGACAAAAATAAATAATAAATAATACGAAATACATAATAAATAAATAAATAATAAATAAACAATAAATAATACTGCATAAATTATAACAAACATGAAAATATCTGAGCATTTTAACGACCGTTACATTAAAGCTATTTAAGCAACAAGCAGTTGATTTCGTGTTAATTTAAAAAAATATATGGAACGTAAATGTAAGCAATAACGTTAGACATGCGAACGTAAATAAAAGTAGGCAGTAAACTAACACAACAACATTCTTTCCTATTAGTTTATCCATAGACAGAGTGCGACTATATCTAATCCTATAGGGTACTGATTTTCGTACCACATAGGGTTTATTACCTCTCATTGCTTTCTTTTTATGCCGGCTTCCTATAAGAGATAAAATTCTTTTGAGATACTGTGGGAATAAAAAAAAAAGAAAATATATACATTAGTTTACAAAATACCATTTAAATGTGTTTGAAGCTGTTGTATCGAGTTCAGGCAAACATTACACACATTGCATTTTAATCCATTTGTCTCTTCATCTTTGGTAAATGCTACTTTTGTTTCTTCAAGAGATGCCATTATATTTTTGGATCTCATCTGCAAAATAAGCATAGATATCCCTATGTTCCTTGCTTATATGTATTATTTTTCTTATACAAACCTGTTTAGCATGGCGGGCACCTTGCAAATGGGTATCTAATACTGTTTGGCTTGTAAATGAAAGATCACAATCGTTACATCGAACAAGAGGTTTTTTTGTGGGTAAATTACCCATTATATTGTCCATTACTGCTTTGGTTACAGGGTCATTGAGGCTTGGATTCATTATGCCTTCTGTTGATACAGCCATTATTGGAACTGAAAATTCAACGCTTTAATTAATACATCTAATAATAATATGATAAACACATTTAACTAAATTCTAATATACAGTAATGTAAAAATTAGAAATTATATTTGCATATTGTCGCAATGCTTTATAATATTAGTAGTAGAATAGTTTTATTTTAAATAAAATTGTTTCTTACTTTAATACTACGAACGTAAAATAAGTATAATGATTTTAATAATAATGGTTATTAGTTCTATCGAGTTTATACATATATACACCGCTTATGAATTATTTATTTAATTATATACTCTTTTGTATGTGTGTATCTGTCTGAATAAGGTTTAACAATGATTAGCTTTCGTAGTAAACTTTTTACTTCTTCATTGAACCTTCAAAGGTATTTAACGGACAACAAGTGTTTATAAACTTCCGGTACTTCACAGATACAAATTTTCGAGTTGGTTGCCTGATTCTTTTAGTAACACCCTCGAGCACGCTCGTTCCAATTAATCCCATGAGAATAACGCAATCTGATTGGTCGCGCCCTACCTCAGCTCACATATACTTTTGGTCGTGACATATGATTGGTCGAAATGATCATATCACTAATTAGCTCGTATAAAACTAGGAGATTAGTCGATGTGTGCGTAGTATCCCCTCTTGCCCCTGTGCCGTCCCGCGAGACTTCTTGTCAAAAGTAATGTAAAATTATTACAGTTTACATATTAACTTGTTACTTATAGTAATTACTGATAATTTAAACATTTTGAGATAATTCCAAATATAAATAGAAATAGAAATCATATAAATTTTTAAAATACTTTTATTAGTTTAAAGCAATTTCCAACATTTCTTTAATATCAATTATTTTTTCTCTTGATTTTCCTAATTCTTTCCCTCTTTCACATTCTGCCTTGTCAATTTTTTTCCAATCCTTATATGATACCACAGGTATGTTTTTATGATTGAGAATTTCAAGTAAACCTGCGTAACCTGATTTATTTTCTATAACTGATAATTCTTTGTTTATTAATGCACCAACTTGAAATGCATTTGTCATTGTTGATAATATAACTCCTACTGGACCTGTTGCAACCCAACCAGCAGCATAAAGTTTATCTTGAACTTTACCTCCTGAATTTTTAACACAACCAGTTTTAAAATCAAATGGTATCAATGAATCTATTTGAACAGATTTGTAACCAATGCTACGAAATGCTATATTACATAATATCTCTTCAAATGATCCAGTAGGTACTGCAATCTGTGTAGACATATCATTTCCTTCAAGTCTATTTATTGAAAATTTAATACCCTCTACACTATTAGAGCCTAAAAATTGTAAAGGGCCTCTTAAAAATATTGGATGTAGTTCTTTAGCTTTTCTTATTGTATTTGAAGATACTTCATCAACATGTTTTAACATAAGTTCAGTCAGTCTTTTTCGTGGTCTTGCTAAAGTGCCAACTATTTCTCTTACATTTAAAAAATCATCTTTACGCCAATAAGTACTACAGCCACCTAATTTTAATATTTCACGCAGTTCAGTAATTGTAAAAGATGCTTGTAACGGCCCTCTTCTTCCTACCACAGATACTTTACGTACTTTGCTTTGTGACAATTTTTCCAATGCAAATGATGTTATATCAGTATGCTAAAATAATATGATTAAATTATAAAATCTTATATTGTAAAATATATTTCATAGATGATTTAAAACATACCTTTAATTTATCTATTGGAGATAGTAGAATTCTTGCAATATCTATAGCAACATTACCTTGTCCCAATATAACAGCTTCTTCTACATTTAAATTAATATTTAAATTACTGTCTCTTGGTAATCCATTATACCAACCAACAAAACGTCGTCCTGATATTACATTATCTAAATTTTCTCCAGGAATATCAAGTGTTCTATCTTCTTCAGCACCATATGCCTAAGAGATCAGAAAACTATAATTAATACTCATTATCAAACGTTAAATAACAATAATTCAGTGTTTAATAATCATACCAATAACACAGTATGGTACAGTTCTTGCAGTTTCTTTATAGTAACATCTTTTCCTACATTAACATTTCCTATAAATTGAAAACGCGTATTAGATGCAATTTTCTCAAAAGTGTGAACAACATTTTTCACTTCTGGGTGGTCAGGGGCTACACCAAAACGAACTAAGCCAAATGGTACTGGTAATTTGTCCAATACATCCACCTTTATATCACTGGAACTCTATATAAAATTGTTGTATTATGCTACTATTTTATAGTAAAAAAACATTGTCCCTACCTTTAGTAATTGTTGAGCAGCATAAAATCCTGCTGGTCCTGCTCCAACAATACATACTTTTGGTGTATGTTCAGTTGAGAATAAACGAATGCAGTTGCAAATTGTGCCAAATTTCATATTCATTGTGGTAATTTGTACTAAATTAAAGAAAAAATTTAATTATAAATTAAAATTATTTTTCATTACAGTTGTGTAATATTCTTAAAAGAAGACAGCCAAGGATTGTTGTTTATCAATTATTTCAAATAAGAAATAGGTATTGAATACTTAAAACATAATATGTATGTTTAGTATTTTAAAATATTAAATATCATGCAAAGGCATACTAACTGTAATAATCATACACCATTTACAAATATGTAGTTAGTGTTTATTATACCAAAAATGATACAGTTCTAGCTTTTTACAGAGCATATATTTCATGTATTACTTTTCCCCTCGACGATATTTTCTTTTATTTCACATAGTACATAATTAATGTACGTTTTTATAACCGAATGATTAAATTCTTCTGCCGAATAACATAAATCAAATCCTAGAAAACATAATGTTAAACAGCGTGTAATATACAAATATAATTGGAATACATTAATGAAGTATCTTTTTACCTTCATACAACACTGATACAGGAATTATCTCCAAAACAGCTCTTCCTTGTTTTTGAATGTTGAGCGAGGCGGTTTTAATTTCGTGTAAGAATTCTAATGTTTTAAGATTATAATTATAATTTTTTAAAGTAATTTTCAATCCTATATCATCGCAAGCTTTTATTTTTAATAAATTAAATGCACTGCTCACAAGACAAAGAAGCCCAACATTAAGATAAGTAAGTAATGAGTAACCAATTAAAACTAAATTTTCCCCACTGTTTAGATGTTGCATTGTATCGTAAATTTTGCTGATTATTTCATGACTATCATACTCGTCAGTATAAAAAAAGATTAAAGTTTTATTTTGCGGTTTAGTAAAAATCTTGTTCTCCAATTTTCTTATATTTTCTATGGAAGGAAATTGTATTTTGTACCCCATTTTAACAAGGATGTCATCAACATCATTCTTCACTTTTAAAGCACTTTTGCTACAAAATTTTGAATTATATGCTCTATGAAAGATTTTTCCTGAACGTATGTGTAAATTCTCTGGTGGTTTGGTAAATTCAAACTAAAAAAAAAGAAAATCTAATTGTAATTATGTTACACTAAAATCTTAGATTAATTAAAGAAGTTTAAGTATAATGTAATAAGAGAAAAAAGATAGCTTACTTTCCTACATGTACTGGATGATATATAGAGCTTTGATTGATTGAAATCATTACAAAAATTTTCTAATCGATCCAGAGGTGCTAAATGTTGTTTTTCACGACGTTGATGATACGATCCTTGTAATGTCTTCTTATGTTCATTCGTATTAGTATTTTTTCCTAATACAATTGCTTTTCCTACAATTTCTCCAGATTCTAGTTTTTTTAAATTATATTCCTTTATATATTTATCAGCAACCGTATGTTGAATTTGTTTCAAATCACGTAACATTTTACGATTGTCAGACTTAAATGTAATAATATTATTCTCTATGACTAGACATTGTTGCGTTTTAAAAAATCTGCTGCATTCTGTGATCTGTTCTATAAAGGCAAGTGGAATATCATGTTTACTAAATATTGCCTGCTTAGGACCATATTCATAATATTCTCTAAGCTTTTCTAAATAGGGTGAAATAAATGTTGGTCCTTTAAAACTTGTGCATACCATATATGTCTCTGAATTTCCTTCTTTACTTGTTATTGGTTTTATTATATCAACATGGTTGAAGCAGCAAGATAATAAATAAATTAGGCATACTGTATTGCACTCAAACATAGTAAAAATTTTTAATAAAAAGCTACCTCCAGTAGCTAACAGGTGTAAAGCAGCTACAGTTTCACAGAAATGTAAATGCGTAAGAACACTTTCTTGCTCTGCGGGAACATCTGTACAGTCTATACTACCATCAGCAGTAACTAAAAATATATCATGATGTGGTTCTGACGTTTTCATAAGTTCATCTAAATTTTTTAAATTCATAATATTTCCAGTATTGTCTTCTCCAAAACACCAGTGACTTAAGGTGTGTCTTATGAATCTATCATCATCAATCATTACTGATGATAGATTACCCTCATAATAGGGATTTAATGTTGTAGCAATCCAATTCCATTGAATGTCAGGTATATTAGTTTTTAGCCAATGGTTTAAAGATGTAACGAAAGCTCCAGGTGCTTCGCATAAATGAATAGACTTAAAATATTTATTGTTACGATTAATATGAATTACTGGTACCAAAGGAAAGGATGAAACTATTTCATAAAATTTACACCATGCTTGAGTTAAAAGCTCTGGTTCAATGTCAATTCTTAGACGTGTCATAACATCTTTTGCAATATTTCTAAACCTTGTATGTGCCTGCCATTCCATAGCATCATAATTATCTAAATAGCTTTTTATATTATTTAATTCATCTTTTAACATTTGTAATTCTTCCACTTTCCACAGATTGTCTTCGAACATTGCTTTTGGTTCAGGCAACGAATAATGTTCATTGCTTAAAATTGAAAAATGCTTTTTGAATAAATTATTTACATATTCATTTGTATTTTTATGTTTGTTATGGCATGAAGGTTTCTTTATCGCAGACGGTGTTTCTGCTGTTTTCAAGATATGCTCTTCTGGTTCCATTGTCTTATTTAAATCATTTATTCAAATTTAGCTACATGAACGAAACAATTGTCGTATTCAGTAAATTAAGTCAATTCTATATGATTCCTTCTATGTAGTTTATAAAATGAGAAATGGTAAATTGTGAAATTGATGAACAATACACATTAGATTTGAAAGATGATTTTAACTGTTAGGTTAAGTTTGTCATGCAAATGCCTCGGCTGTCTCCTTGTTTTTATACGTTTACAATTATATCTCACCTTCTTATGGTACAATAAAAAGAGTTTTATTTAATTTATTATCAAATAATAAACCGAATTAGTTTATTTTATAAGAAATGTAAACAAACTACACTGTAATCAAAACATAATATAACCAGTAATGTTACTGTGTAGCACGGTATGCATAATTATATGTGTAACGTGAAACGTTATCACGTGAATATGTTTAGAGTGGTGTGGCGACACTGCCATGGGAATATTTATCGATAGTCTATTGTATCGATATGTCTTGAATGTTCTTCGAGGACCTTTGTATCGATGGTCATAAATTAAGAGCGAAATTCGAACATCGTCTATGCATACCCTTATACAAAAATAAACAAAGAGTAAATTGTAAACCCCTCGACGTGGGTGATAGAGCTGAGAGAAAGCCGGAAGTCCAGAGAATGGAATAGTTTCACTTGGAAAATTCCTAAAAACTAATTTATGATAGACCATAGCTAATTCGTTGTTTTCGACCAAGTCACGAACGGTCCTTAAGGGTTACGAAGTCTTTTTCGATATCCTGTCTTTTCATGCACTCTAAGAGGGTCGTAAATTTCCTCAAGAGTTGCTTTGGCAAGTATAAGGTCTTGTCGTTTCCTAATTTCTCTGGGTCCCACGCTTTCTCTTAGCACATGTGCGCTGCAACGTTCTAGCGTCTTGGCGGAGCGCCTCCACTTCCACGCGCTTGAGGGTGGACCACAGCCAGGAGAAGGGGCCCATACGAGACGGGGTGGACTCCTCCACCATTGGACGAGGGATGATCCTGAGGGAGGATCCAGGATCCACCAAGGAAGGGGCATCGACCGACAACGCGCGAAGATCTCCTCCGCCAAGCGCAGAATTGTCAGAATGATTTTGTCACTCGTTACGGACAAGTCGTTTTCGCACAGAAAGTTCTAAGCCTTGTTAACACAAAGTCAAAGTTCTGTTTTAAATTGAATTCAAAATATTAAAGTACTCAAAACAATAATAACAGTTTACTATTTTGTATATCCGCGCCTTGAGAGCAGAGCGCCTCTGCGCTCCACGGACTGTCACACCTGCACCTAAATCCCCGAATATCCCTATTTTCCGCGACGGACACGCAACATATGCAATTTAAAACGAAAATAATTAATAATAATGTTACAGCTACAATTTAATACATATGCTTAATTCTACGAGATAAGCATGTACAGTACGAAACAGATATGAATATTTTTTAATCGAATAACCAATAATAACTAATGAATAAAATAATTGCTTTCATAAGGTGCGAGGAGAGGGATTATGATAATATAAAAACAAAGCATTATTCATAACAGTAATTTATTTACATACTAGCTTATATTACAATTATCTTTCGTAACACGAATCTCGGATGAGCGATAAGGTATGAATGAGTGATTAATAACTATTTGCGAAAAAACCATACTGTTTATCTTTTCTCAATTTTGAAAAATGCTTAGAAGGACATTAGATAAGTCTTCTTTATCTTCAGGCTGTAGAAAGTTGATTGCAAGAAGTCTTCAAAATTTCATAGTTCTAGTATTGACATGAAAAATATTATATAAACTTCTATCTAATATTTTCATCACTTCTTGTACCCCAGTTTACGTAAAGCCTTCACATCCACGTCGCCGTAATAATCTTCGCTATAAAATTTAATAATTTATTTAGTCATAATATTTTTTTTTGTTATATAGAGGACATTCTTTTTGTATAATTTCAATTTTGATTGTATGCCGCGCCCGTAAAAAAGGTTTGATCAGTGCCATCTAACGGATGGGATTCGAACTAACTATTTCTAATAGGAGAACAGAAAGTGCAAGGAGGTCTACCAAGAGGTAGACTATACACATGCAGGGAAAAATCATTAATAACTCATTTTCTAGGCATAATTTATGAACAGCTTTCAAAGTTGCTACGAGTATGTACTTTAAGAATAAATTATAAAAGTTCATAAATTATTTCTAGAAAATGAGTTATTAATGATTTTTTCCTGTCGGTGCATAGTATACCTCCTGGCATACCTCCTTGCACTTTCTGCTCTCCTATTAGAAATATGTATGTATTTTTCACGAGAGAGTACTACTATCGGATGAACGAATTTTGGTTTCGTTTGCGCATGTTGGTTCTGATTGGTTCTGCCACGCTCCGCTACCAAGGTAACGCGCAAGCGCCGTACTGCTGTACGACGTAAGCGCCGTTGGGCAGAAAGTATATCCGGTGATCATAAACTTGTGAATTATTCACTACCTCTGTCCTATAATAAGCCGTTTCTATATTAGTACAATTTGTCCACCGTGTATATGGCGGATACAATGGGAAGTAAATCATGGTGGGGTAGCGCTACTGGTGGGATAACTTTCTGAGCTCAGTCGAGCTGCGCGAAACGCTCATACTTTCTCGTGAAAAATACAATAGTTAGTTTGAACCCTATCTACTAGATGGCGCCGTTCCAAAATAATTTACCGATCACTTCCCAGAATGATATCCCGATGACTTCTACCCCTAAATCTCACTATTCTAACTTTCGGAATCGATTTTATGCAACAAAATATTACAAGAAACACTTTTAATTATCATCAGCTTATTATTTCTACAAATCAGTGATTAATTCCAAATTTATTAGTTATGATAGATTAATTTAGAAGATATTATATTTGATGGTTATCAATACCTTGCTCTTTTTCACAGAAATATTTTCAAAATTCAGCTGAAAGCTTACAAAATAAATCATTAATTTAGTTTGGACCACAACAGAACATTCACTACAATTTTACTAGAATTTTATAAATATCTAGTTCGAATTATAGACCTCAATATCCCATGAATTCGTAGTGCTAAGTTCTTGTGCATTACAGCATTGAAAGAATATATGTTTGTTGCAGTTATTTTTAAGTAACAAGCATGCAGTAGTTAGATTCACGAGAATTAAGTATCCAACAGAAAGCAACACGAATAAAATGCAGAACAATTAAATAATTTGATTATCGAGAGGGGGTTTCAAAAGCACATAAATATTTCACGAATTTTTCATCCTTTTATTGTACGAATCTTTCACATCACTTAAAAATATACGGACGAGTCTAGTTTACGCAAGCATGCTCAACCGTGGTCAAGAGTGTTTAACGACGAGCTCGAATTCAAACCCTTTCCTAAGAATTTCTCATTATTAATATATATATTCAAAGAATATCTGCTCGGAATCTTTCTATAACAAATTCAATAAACGTATCCCCATTTAGAACTTCTCTTCCATTTTTATTCATCCAATCGAACGTCTCACGATAAAAAGAATAATAATAAAAGTCTACGCGACTCAACAGAGAATGAAACAAATTATTATCAATGAGACGACACGATTTCCAATATTCCTTAAACTTTATCGGACGGCAACGAGGTAGAATAAATAAATAAAAAAATATGGAACAATTTTATTCATCTATCCACGCAATGGCGATGTGCAATCAGTCTCTGAATAATTTCACCCACAATCTCAATCAGCATCGATTAAAACGCGTGGAGAATTCAAATCGAATAAAATGTCCATTATTTATCATCCCCGTTGCCATCATCAACGATAGGAATAGAACTTTAACGCAGAGGCGGTAGATCTACCCTTCACGTGTCAATTCCGAGCATAGAATCTTAAAATCACTCTAAATTCAAGGCAAATCACAGAATGGAATCGAGCATCGCTCTTGACCCACGGCGTTACGTATGTACACTAGCCTACAAAAATCAAGAAACAAATCAATTTCACTTCAAACAAGGGGAATAAATTAATCTTACTTAAACTACGAAAAATAAATGATTTTATACAGGACCGTGTCTACCGCTAGGCAAAATAAATCGCGTGCCCGGGGCCCGCACATAGGTGCTTATAATTACCTTGGACTTTGAAATGTAATTAAAAAATATTTGCATAATTTTCATTCGTATGCCTAGGGTCGGAGAAACTCTACACGTGGTCCTAAGCTGTATAACATTCTGTATTGAATTTTTGAAATAATTTTAAACTAATCATTCTGTTTCTTTATTTTTATCGGCCAGTGTATTCCGAGGTATCGAACATCATGTTCTCTCGAGATTGTATGAGTTGTGTGTTGTGTGCGCGCGCGTGTGTAGGTGTGTGATAGAAGAAAGAGTATCGGGTAAAGAGGGATGGGTAGGATGGAGGTAGATAGGGGTAGGTAAGTGTGATAAGGCGATGGGGATAAAGATTTAGAGATTATTCTTGAAGGGGTGCGTTGGGCCTCGCAGGTGCCGACGGGGGCCTCGGTTTACCCTGAGTCTTCCTGTTGTCGCCAGAATGTTGAATTCCGGTTAGAAGCTCGCTCTTCCTAATGCTCTTCAGGTCCAAGTCACCGTAGTAATCCTCACTGTGAAGCAGAATTTGTAAAAGCGTTTAGGACATGCGTGACCTGCCACCTGTTTCTTATTGTTAGTGATGGCCATTTGATCTATATTGGCGATTCATTAACACTCACTCAATTAGAAATAATTATTAGCCCATCAGTGGTTGCCTAATGTGCAGCCTCGTGTATAGTTAATTACATTCGTGAAGAAGTGTTGTACATAGATCAGTTTAGTACACTTGTGCTTGTGTAATTGATAAATATAGTTTGTCGAGAAATTTGAATATTAACCCTTTAACTGCGGGTACTTTTAGCATAGCCGATCGCTCTAATTTTAAATTATATTACTGAAGTGATATTCTATTTTAAAAGATTTTTATTATTGTATTTATTTTACTTTTATTTTAGTGGTATATAAGCTACAGCCGCTATTTAATATTAGCAAAAATTAACATGTTGTTTATATACCACACCTGCCTCTGGCTATAATTTTAGTATGTGGTTTATAAACCACACTCGCAGTTAAAGGGTTAAAATACATTCGTTATAATCGTCTTATATTAAATTAATTACTTCCATCTGTTAGAAAATTTCGTTGTTAATTAACAACATTAATTATTATCACGATACTCCGATCATTGGGTACCTTAAACCTGATTTATAAATTGTTAATTAAATAAAATATCCTTTCTTCGAAAATTAATTAAAACTCAAAACTAGGAACGACACAAATACTTTTAATTCGATCTTTCAATCTAATAATTTATGTTAATGAAAATTTAATATTTAATGATCTTTTATTATTGATTTAAACAACTATCATGATCTTCATAATACGTTCCAAAGACACTTATGCACGTTATTCCTGTTGTCAACGAAATATTATATAAATATTAAGTTACATAAAACCGATCGACCTGTTATGAGAGCAAAATGTATTCATTTATAATTACATCACTCGAAAAAGGTGAAATATCTTTCAGATCATGCTTGGAACGCGTGTTTCAGAGTTTTAATCACACATGGGCTATCTGGTTTATCCAGAATTCGTTTTTACATAACACCTGGTCTCAAACCTTCTCGATCCTGCTTAAATTCGCTTTCGAGAAAGCATACTAGGAAGTTTGAAAATAAAATGAGAAAAAAAAAAAAAGAATCATTTCTTTCCAGTTCAAAGCGTGAAATTCAACCGCTACACTTTCGCGTTCTAATTACATTCAGAGAACGAAAGAACGTCTATTTTACTCGGTTTCATAATCTGATTACTTTCTTCCTATCCTGTCCAGGATTCACTTCGAATAATTTATTTAATAAGTTTTAAATGAAATTAAAAATAATTTCTGATTTTCTAATAGCTTGGTTTTAATTCCAAATTATTATTTATAGCTTTTCAAACGAAAAATCAAAATTCATATTCGAATAATTTTCAAGTTCTCGATAATATTACCACCTGAAAGATAAGTGTTAATTATAAAATGTACTCACCATCCAGGAACGTCTTCCGGATCCTCGCAGGCGCCGCTTCCGTCGGCGTCACCGATCTTGAAGACGGTACCGATCGGGCAACCGTATTCTCTGGCGATACCCTCGAGGCATATGTAATATTTTCTGCAGTCTTCAGGATGGGCGTGTCTGCTGAAGCTGCCGGATGCTCCGCTCACTTCGCCTGCAGCCGGGCACGCGAAACCTCCTGCGACCTCTGCGCAATGCGATAAATACATAGAACTTGATCAGATGTAGCCAAGAGAAAGGTGAACGTTTATATATATATTTTTAATCGTACAGATTGTAAAACGGCGAACAAGGGTACGGCTTTGAATTCTAGCGACCGAGCTGAGGAGATGATGAAGAAACGCAGGATGTGCGTGGGGATTGCCGTCACGTATCGGTTATCGACGAGCAACGTAATGAATAAATAATATCTGAAGACGAGGAACGATGCTTCGAAGGAAGTTTTTTCAATGACATTTCAATAAAAATGGAGTAAATGGCACAGGTCAGAAATATTTTATCTAATCTAGAACATGCAACTGTGAATAGGAAATTTTTTAATTTTGATTGTAATCACACATGGGCTATCTGGTTTATCCAGAATTCTGAATGAGTCAGAAATATTTCACTAAATAATTAAATTAAAAAAATGAATCATTCGAATGACCTACCTTCGTTTTTGCATTCAGGCACTTGATCAGCCCACATGCAAACTCTGGCTTCGCGATCGTAAGCGAGTCCAGGGCTACACTGGTACCTGGACGCCTCTCCGTTCCAGCAGTTCCAGAAGACGTCGCATTTCTTCTCGTCGGGGAATATACCATAGAGACGAGGACAGTGGGGAGTGCTGATCGCTGGTTCCAGTTGCGTCCTCTCGCCGCAGTCAACGTTGTGAAGGTAATCGCAGTTTTCGGTGAGGAACTTGCTATCAGAGGCATCGAAGGCGAGACCATTGCCGCATGTCTTCAGCTCCGCCGCATTGTTATCGCATTTCCAGTATTTGTCGCAGGATATGTGGTGAGGGTAGAAGCCAAAGTCGTCTGGACATTTGAAGGATTCTTGGCCGTTCGCGGCTGGAATCGTAATAAATACGTCGTTGATCAAAATTGCAGAAGGAGGACGAAGAAAGTTTCGTTTCAATTTAAGAAAGTCTAACCAATTATTCGTTTTTTTTTTTTCAGGTGGAGAAAGCCATTTGGAGGGGCGTATTTTTGACTGAGGATAAATGAAAAGGTACTCTGATGGAAGCTTTAATTTTCAATAATAGTAAGTGAAATTAAAAATTATAGACAGAGAAGAAGAATTAAAACAAATTAGTCGCGGTTTTAAAAGTCCTGCGAGATGCTGTAATCAGTTTCAAATAATTTCTAAATTATACACTTCATCGTGGATAGCTCGTCTAATCCCGTCGCGGCTTTTCTATCGTCATAGAAAAATATTTTCTGTGGTTAATCCCGGCACAACAACACTGTAATCGTGTCAGAGATAGCCCGTAATCGCGTTCAATTTAACCGTCGATCGGCCGTTGCTTTCGCGAGAAAATTAAACAATAAAGTGACTGTCGACCGCAAACATCCTTCGTTTCTATTCGATTTCTCATCACGATGCGTGTACACGATCCACGAAGGAGGTGTCGATCCGGAGACAAAGAAGCATACAGGACGTACAGTCCTTTATTACCAATGCTAATGCCCCGTTTCTTATCCTGCATCGTCTCGCGACCGTCAATAACACCTAATAATCAGTTGTACCCTCCCTTTTTTTTTTCCTCGCGGCGTATGATGTCTGAATAACCTAAACGTCTTATGTAAGGGACACAAAGCGACTTTCGCCAGGCGCTTTCACTTTGGGCCCAGAGCCAGGCCCAGCTATCAGCAGGCCGCTATGGCTTCGTGACTTGGGCCCTCCCAGCATCCCGTTCACTTGCCTCTCCTCCGTACACAGACATACGTTTTCCTTCTCCTCTGTGTTGCACGCGTGTACACTCTTGTTTTCTGTACAATCGGCTGCAAAGTAGGTTTCTCGATTCGTTTTTCAAGTTGGAGGAGACTAGGGAGAGACTAATAATAATGGCAAATGAGATGAGTAATGAGACATTTCTGCTTCTACATTTACTGTTAATTAAGATAAGCTCGAGTTATAGGGGATTGTACAGTGGCGAGCATGGTAGTTTTTTCTAGGGAAAGGGAGATGAATATTTGAATTAGTAATCAATTTAAGAGCGAATTGGTTAATAATTGATAGGCTTAATGAGATTTGTCTGTTCAGTTAGTTACATCCCCTTTTCCCTAGGGAAGGCTCTTCTAGAGAAAATGGTAATTATTATTAAAATACTCTCTGCACATAAAAATATAAAAAATTTAAATTAAACGAAGTACTTATGATTATAAAATTTCTCACAGAGAAGCCCACCATGCTCGGAACTGTACCCCGGCGACTTATATTCACTTTCATTTTTCTCGAGCTACTGGTCCCAAAAGTAACGCGTCCGACTTCCTAATGGACCAAGATTTTTATTAACGAATCTTAGCGAACCTAGTCAATTTTTATGGACGATAGGACCATTCGCGATGGTCGGTGATAAAAAGAAGGGTCAAGATCTGGGCCAAGGTTATCCTGTTGCAAGCGAGGAAGGGGAGGAAAAAAGGAATGGAAATGGCGTGTCGAGAAGGTTTCTCCGCGCACGGAAATTGAATACGCCTTTTGATCTCGTTCTACTGGTAGATCGTTCGGAAGAACGGGAACGGTGATGGTAATTTTTCAGTCAGCAAAAGGCTTGAGAAAGGAATGCTCGATTTCGTTGATCCGCGCGAAGAAGTTTCTAGATCGTTCCTTGGTTTACACCTAATTAACCAACGAATATATCTTTATATAATGTATTATTTGAACGTAGTCGTGTTACGAATGATCGATTTGTAGATACAGTTAACCGCACGGTGAACTCATTTTCCTTTCTCTAGCTATTCATGCGTTATATCGTATTGTAATCTAGCGTTTGAAATAGGTAGACCTCCACTTAGCGGAATAATTAATACACTTTCAGATGAGAAATCGTTTTGGTATACGGTAAAATTCGATATCGAACACGCGAGCTATCTAAGCCGGTGAAATTGTATCGATTAGCAAAGATAATTATTAGAAAATTTCTGGATTTTTCACAAAATCATGCGTTTCCTTTATTCAGTTCGAACAAATTGAATGGAACGTGTTTTAATCGTGACAATGATGGAAGAAGAGTTCACTCCCTTTGTGATTCACACGCATATGTCACACACTAAATGTCCTCCACTTCCGGTAAAACTATACGTCCTCGAGTAAACACTTTCATCCCCCGTTCTCATTCTATAATCCTCCCTTTTTCATCCTCGTAATCGCGTTTATCTCGGGTACGTACCGGCGATCAGAATGGCGGCAATCACGTAGTAGTACGTCCTCATGGTAACGATTGTCTGTCTTCCCGCGTGGTTTCCTGTCTCGAGGTACGGTTAATATATATATATGTGTGTATATATATATATTTGTATAAAAAAAAAATTACTGTCACTATTGCGAGCACAGGCTCCACTGCGCAGAGAGAATTCTGTGTTTGCGCCCTGTCGTTCTCCACCTTTATATAAGTCATTGGTCACGTGTTGTTCCTCTTCCACCTCTTCTAGAACCTCCTTCTCTTCAAGAAGAGGTACATTGGTACCTCGCTACGTTTCTTCTCTCCCTCTCTGCTCCTCTCTCCCATCTCCCTCTCCTTTTTCCTTTATTCTTCTCCGTTGAAAATGTCACCCAAAGACCCCATAATAACGTCTCTGTCTCTCTTTCATTCTTCTTTCCACGTCCCACCGTCCCGCGACCACCTTGCATTCCCTTAAATGTTAAAATCATTTTTTTATACCCGATAGCTTCGAGGATTCCTCTTCCTTTATACTGGCATCTTTATTCCCGACCAGCGGGACAGGTTTTGATCGAGGCTGGTTTTTACCGCGATTCCACCTAAAAATTCGCCTCCTCATTTTTATCGCGACGAATCGCTTTGTTCCTTTTCACGATGGATCCTCGAGAGGATGTTGCAAGCATTTTGATTAGACCGGCTGGACGGAAGGTACGGTAGTTTGCGAGTTTCTTCGTGGTGGTAGCATGTATTCAGTCTCAGGTAGAGAAATTTTGGATTAATTACGAAGTCGATAGCTTTCGCAATTTTTTTATTAAAAGGGTAATTATAAAAGGGAATTTTTTTAATATACGCCATTAAAATTTCTAGCTTTCAATTTGAAATTATCAGCATACATTTTTATTTATTATTGAATAATTTTTTTATGAAGGAAGATTGTCCATCTTTTGGGAGAAATAAGATCCATCTTGGTCTCTACTTCATCGCGTCAATTGAACGTTCATTTTAAATTAATTACGAAGTCGATAGCTTTCGCAATTTTTTTATTAAGAGAAATGTGCTTTGGAATTTTTCTAATATTTCCAGCTTTCAATTTGAAATTATCAGTATACATTTTTATTTATTACTCAATCATTTTTTTATGAAGGAAGGTTGTCCATCTTTTAGGAGAAACAAGACCCATCTTGGTCTCCTCTTCCTTGCGTCAATTGAACGTTCATTTTAAATTAATTACGAAGTCGATAGCTTTCGCAATTTTTTAATTAAGAGAAATGTGCTTTGGAATTTTTCTAATATTTCCAGCTTTCAATTTGAAATTATCAGTATACATTTTTATTTATTACTCAATCATTTTTTTATGAAGGAAGATTGTCCATCTTTTGGGAGAGATAAGAGCAATCTTGGTCTCTACTTCATCGCGTCAATTGAACGTTCATTTTAAATTAATTACGAAGTCGATAGCTATCTCAATTTTTTTATTAAAAGGGAATATTTCTAATATACGCCATCAAAATTTCCAGCTTTCAATTTGAAATTATCAGTATTTCCTTTTCTCTTATTATTCAATAATTTTTTTATGAAGGAAGGTTGTCCATCTTTTGGGAGAAACAAGACCCATCTTGGTCTCCACTTCCCCGCGTCAATTCATACAAATTCCGTGTATACGTTCATTGAGCTGAATTTTTCCCATTCGCAAATAGTTATCGTACCGATTCCATTCCCTTATATCGTACTACGTGATCTATCTGACCATCAAAATTCGTCGAACTCGTGCAGGTGCGACTATTTTTGTACGCAGACAGCGTACGATTTGCAGAATAATGACCGATCGTAACGTGATTATAATAATAACAATAATGGTAAGGCCAAAGCGGTTAGGTGATATAAAATAACGGAGGAAGGCTGGAAGGGGGCGAAGGTCGAGCACGAGCAACGTGACTCACCGTGACACCCAGTTCTGATACACCACCCTGTTCGACATTCCTGCAGAGGTTAACCGACAGATACTAGTCGGCCATCGTTAACGCTAGATTGTCGCAGCGAGTCAGTTTGACTCATTTATGATTTGATTGCTATATACATAGAAAAACTTGAATAATTTTTTTAAAAACATATCTTGGTTTTTAATAGAATTATGAAATGTGTACAAATACTAATTCCTTCCCTTTCCCACTTTATGCTTCCAAAAATCCATATGTCCTATACCTATTTTGACAGACGTGAGTCCGGCAATCTAGTGTTAATTCGATTCTGTGTAAAACTTTAGCACGGGGACGATTCGAGCTACGATTTGACATTTATTTCCTTACATCATCGATTCGCGTTTCTGTCACCTGTTGCGTTTCTTCTATAAGAAAGTTCCTGCGATTTTGCAACCATTTCGACATTTTTCTCTTACACCTTGCGGCATTGGTTTCGTCCAAGCGAAATTGCATTTTCTAAAGAATTTATTGAAGTATATAAATTGATTCATCGACACTTTCGATCGTACGTTAATCACCTACCACTTTTTGAAACCTCTCATGGCAACGAAGCTCCTTTAAAGAATGATTGAGACAGAAAGTGAAAAAAATTAAGCGAAACCAAAAACCAGTGTCTTTGATTTGATATTCCAGGCTGCGCTCGAATTGTGTTCGAAAGGAATTTTCGAAATTTCACAATGTTGTAGAGAAATAAAAGGAAAAAAGAAGAAGAAGATATTCTAATTCAACGTAGAGCGACATTGCGAGGATAGTTTGAATGAAGGCAGACAGGCGCATGTTAATGCGGGGCGCTTTCGACGACAACGGAACTTTCTCGCTCGGCTTAATCCAGTTTCTCGAATAAATCGCATTGCCGAGCCGATGTTTACGCTTACGTGCGCGTCCACGATCCAGCGATCTAACGCACAGCAAAAAACCACGTATCGATCTCGCGGGTTGATCGACCTTGGATCCTCGTGATTCAAAGCGAAGGCGAAAGTGTCCCATGAACAGTATTATACATCCTGAATCAATTTCAGTCGTTCAGTTGATAATACATAATAAAATGTTGGGCAAATGTTGGAAGCCACCTCCTTCTTAACTAAAGAAAAAATTGCACCCAAGTGTGCATAGCGCATAGTCCGCAGCGGAAATGCAGTAGTTGAAAAGCATTAACAAAATGCAAGGGTTAAATTTGAATGAAAATAGAATGTCATCAGTCATTGTTCTCGGAATGAATCATCAGATTTAATGAGTTATTAATGATCACAGGTGACGTACAGCATTTATTAGTATAGGTCATAGTGATATTCAAGGCCGTAGTTTAGTGAATTAATTACGGCCATGAAAGTGGATAGAAATATAATACGCTTATAGGCTTGTTAATTAGAAGTTTCAAGCGCGTGCTTAACGATTACGAGGCGAAATAATATTTTTGCGGATCATTGTCGTAAGGAAATTGCCTGGTTGGTGATCGATAACTCGTTCCAACATCGAGATACAGGCGTAGCCTGTTACACTTCTTTTATCGTTTCGCATTTCCGGTAAAAGCCTCTGTCTTGATTTCTTCTCCGTTTAATTTATAGCTAGTTTGTAGCTATTTTAGAAAACATTAATCATCAGCAAGCAATGATAGAGAAATAAATTCGACTGAATCTCTTTAGAAAAGAACCGTCGGAACTGTTTTGCGGCACCTTTGACTGTAAAGGGTTAAACGTGACGAGAAGGCGGAATACGCGGAGGACAGCCGAATACGAAGGAAGGGAGTATCGTACCGGATGGTTAATGCAAAAACACCTTCCGGATAACGGTAAGGCTGCACCGTGGGTGCTTTATTGCGGTAGCAGTGGGTGTTACGTGCCGCAGCGTGCCAAGGATGCAGGTGCCGCGCCTCTCGTTGATTAATATTCGGCTGGTTGGTCTCCTTAAGTCAGCCGATTCGAACAGGACAACTGGACGTCCTCCCCCTGGGTGGTTTGCTCTTACCTTGCCCTGAATCTCTGTTCAACTTATATGCACGCCTGTGCAATATATACAGGGTATCTCAAGAAAGATTCGCTTAAGATTAATAAGAAAATATCCTTAATATTTCTTCGGCATCGTTAATTAGATAGGCATTTCTGTTAATTAGACAATTTCGTACATTCTGAAAATTCGAACAATTGGTGAATTTGGATTTCAATTTAAAATAGTTACACTATTAGAATATTTGAAGGGGTTAAAAGTTTGGATTGCATCGAATATTAATAAATATTTGATAATTTAATAAATGATTGATAAAGGTACAATATGTACGTTTTTTAAAGACACTCTGTATATCTTTTCCTTGTTTGTCATTTCTTCGTTGTTCTCTCACGATGTTAATTTCCTTTTGTTCGTTGCTAATTGAAAGCAGCCTTTCTCGTGATAAAAAATTTGTCGTCGAAGGCTTGCTTCTCGATATACTTGGAAACGCGTTCAAGTCTCCCACCAAGGATAGCTGGAAACATGAATGCCGGATCAAGCGATGAACGGGGTGAAAATAACCGCGTTACAGTTCCTATGATTAATCGTATCGTTTGCATTCAAATCTATGTTTCTCGTGACTTCAAACGCGAAATACAAGAGGTGAAGATTCTTGAATAGCTTCCTGGGATTTTTAATGCCAGTTCGAAGAGAAATATTGCATAATCTTAACCAATGTTAAAAGGGAAATGCAATTGCAAAGTTCTCTATGCTCTTTTCAGATTATTCAGGACACTCGTAAAATGTCAAATAATATTAAATATTATTTCAATATTATAATATTAATAATATAATATAAATATTGTAATAGTGAAAATAAATAAATAGATGTTGAACAGCAGATTGTTGAGTTGTTGCATATTCAATGGCAAACAATATTTAATAATATTTAATATTAATATTAATTAATTAATTAATTAATATTAAATATTATTAAATATTATTTCAAGGTATATTTATTTAAAATACTCGAAAAAGATGTAACAACTCGACAATCTTCCGTTCAACATCTATTTATTTATATTCACTATTTTACTCCTGCATATGATTTATGATATTTTCGAGGAACAAAGTCGCCGGTTTTTTAAAGCTACCGTTAGGATCGAGTCTTTTGTATGCGAACGATATCCGTTCGCGTCACCGGAACCAACCACGCCACCGTGTGTATCAGACTCGATTCGGGGAATTATGCGCCCGATGCGGTATAATTATATTCGTAATTGACGTAACCGCGTGGGTCTTTACACTGTA